TGTCCTGGCACCTCACTGGGCTGTTGTGAGCAGTCAGCCAGCCAGGGCAGGGATGGTGTTAGGAGGGGCCTGAAACCTATACATCCTGCCTGGAGAGAGCTACATCCTATGCTTTCTGGAGGCGCTGGGGTTGGATGTGCCCCAAGTTGGCAGTTGAGCTGGGCCTGCAGATGCTCACCAGAGAGCTTGCAGAGGCACAGGGCCCAAGGTGTCCCTGCCTGGAGTTTCAGTCAGCTTGTGCTTTGACTTTTCAACCTTCGTTCTAGGGCGGTGTGTAGGGAAGGGGGAGGGGCCAGAGCCCTGCTTGTCCCCAGCCCTCCTTAGCCAGGCCTTCTCCCCTTCTCCTCCAGGGTCCATCTTGCTCTGTCTCTGCAGACAGATGCATGTTTTCCCCACTTGGACAGAGGAGCAAACGGGCCCAGGAAAGGCATGTGGCCTATCAGGGTCACAGAGCCCATCACGCCAGCACTGAGCCAGCTTCACCCACTTCTTAAGCCAAACCCAGCACCTCTGACACATCTACTTAGCTCCCAGTGCCCACCAATCCCACCCTGCACTGGCCCGTGCTCCAGGAAAAAGGCCTCTGTTTGCTCTTTACGGATCCCAAGATTCTAGGCGGCTGGGCAGTGACCTCTGTTGTCTGTGGCTGGGAATGCAAGGACACTTAGTGTATCCTGTACACCTGTCCATACACTGTGTCCTGTGTGCGCGACTTGGGTCAACACTGGCTGAGACAGATGCTTTCTCACCAAGGAGTGCAGAGCTCCATTTTACAGTGGAGAAACAGAGGTTCGCTTTATGCCTCAGTTTCCCACTCTTCACTATAAAGCTTACACCCCCCTCCGTGTACCCAGGTGTAGAAAAGGAGCAAAACAGAGGACCTCAAGGAGAGAGGCGCAGTCTATTCACCCTGCTTTCTCAGCCGGGCTCCCCGGACCGGAGATTCTGGCACTTCTCTTGATCCTTTCCTGGAATCCGCCAAATCTGTCTCCTTCCTTCCCACCCCCTCCCTCCTCATCACCCCTCTGCCTCCTGTGACTTCCACTGGCTGCATATCCAGCTGATCCATGGCCAAGATAATCAGATTATCGTGGTTCCAGAATAATCTATTCCATATGGCTTGCCAGCTCGGTGGCTCCAGGAGCCAGAGGTGTGAGGAGAGGGGGTGATCCCAGTTGGAAGGGCCTCCCTGGGAGCCTCAGGCTGGAGGGAGGCTGCTGGGAAGGAGGGAGGCAGAGGAGGTGGGAACCTCCAGCGCTGGGTCCCTGTCTGCTCTGGGTTCCAGGCAGCCTCAGTCCCTCTCCAGCCCAAGCCCATGCTCCTCCATCTGCAACCTAGGGGATGCTCAGGATGGGGGGTCCACTCTGCATTGGGAGGGGGTTCACTAGAGCCACTGCTTCCCAAAAGTGGTCAGATTTCCTAATTCTGGAGAGATTTTACTTTTCAGATCCAGATTCTGGCTCCAGCCACAGGTGAGCCTGGAAACCTTTTCTTTCCTCTCCGTAGGTCCCTTTGACATGGAGGGAGGGCTTGAGGCCTCTAAGACCTCACCACCAGGCCAGCACCCTCACCCTCCGGGCAGCCCTCCTGGAGGAAAGGAACCCCTCGAGCCCCCCAGACTCAGAGGTGGCAGGGGCAACACTGCCTGTGGCCTCAGACAGAGCCAGACGGACTCCAGCTCTGCCCCTCTCGCCACGTGACATGGGACAACCTCTCGCCATTCTACACAGTGAGTCAGTAACACCCACATCACTGCGCGGCTGTGAGTTGTGAGCCAGCCAAGCCAGGCCCCTCGTGCAGACGCTAACAAGCACGTGGGTGCTGCATGACGCACATCTGGGGGGGTGGTTTGATCCTCGACATGGCAGCACAGCCGATGTCACTCATCCCGAGGCCCAGAAGCAGAAGCTGGGGCCTAGAGATGCACAGTGAGTGGCACAGGTAGGACATGGCAGGACACTGGCCACACTCCAGATGGGTGTCCTAAGCTGTCTGAAGGTGGGGGCTTCATAAATAACAATCACTCCCCTGAAAGGACTTGCCTTTCAGGCTGACATGAGGTATGGTGTAGGGGACCCCCAAATTAGGAGCTTCCCAGGGGATGTGCCTGCCAATGAGGCTAAGCAGGCTAGCGGTACAAGAGCTGCTTCCTTCCCCTGGGGACTCCGGCTCCAGCAGGGACAGGGATTAAGGGCTGCAAGGGGCATATTGACATAGCACCTTTGATTAGCACTCCTGTGTCAGAGGGGCTGGCCGGGAAATGAGGGCACTGGGCTGGTAGGTGGGGGGGGGGCAGTGCCCAGGACCCGAGCTTGGCCTGAGGAGACCGACTGGTTCCTAGCAGGAAGGCTGAGGCCCATTCTCCAACCTGTGGGTTTTCTGCCCTGTCCTGCCGGCCTCCCACCCCAGCCTAGGACCCCACTGAACTCTCACCTCTGCTCAGTGGGGCTGCCCCCAGCCTCATTTCCCAGCCTTACACTTTGGCAGGCCTCGGCAGGCTCGGGCAGGGGAGCAGGAGCCACTGGCTCAGGCACTTGTCAAAACACAGGCCCCCGAGGTGTGAAGTCCTCACCCCAGCAGGAGGGCGTGTGGGCCTTGCTGCCCGGAGAACTCATTAACTCTGGCAGCTTCCAAATGAACCCACCAGAGAGGCTGGTGATAAGGAGATCAAAGGTGACAGAGGCCCGGGGAAAGGGAAGAGGGAAGGCTGGCAGGAGGTGGCAGAGCCCAGGCTCCAGGTTGGGGTCCCTCCTCTGCTCCCACTTGGCTCCGTCGGGCCCACTGAGCATAGCCTTTGCACAGTCTGGGCCCAGAGACCCCAGGGGCAACAGGAAAGGGAGGGACTCCCACGTGGTACCTTCAATTTGTTAGCCTTTAGGGCTGAAGACCCTGTCTCTTTTGTGCCATTTTTCGTGAGCTCTTTGTCTCCACCTGGGTCTTTCTAACCCTCCCTCAGCCCTGACACCACAGACCCTCTTGTCACACACACTTACGGTGTCCTCTCCTGCTCCAGGTCTCGCTGGCTTCTGTGTAAGCACTCAACGGATGTTAACTGTTAGGTCCCAGATCTGAGGACCCTCGGGAGCCAGAGCTGTGTTTTCAGGATAGTCTTGTCCAAGTATGTCTTCATCAAATACAAATTCACTTTGGAGCATTGTTGCCAACAAACCAGTGGAGATCACAACCATGTGGGAATTGGAGGGATTTTTTGATATTCAGAAGGCTGGCAACAGGGTGCCCGACCCTCTGAGATCCTCCCACCTGCCTTTCCAGACTTTACCCTGCACCCCTCCCATGCTGTGTACAGCACACTCTGCCAAGTTCAACCACTGTTTCCTCCAGTCCAGCGGGATCCAAGGGGCCCAGTCACTGGGCTCCAATACCAGGTTCTTGGCTTGAATCTGGGGCCCCAAGAAGGCATCCATCAGCCAGAGTCCAGAAAGGGCAGACCTGCTGACAGCTGTAGGCTGAGGGGGCCAGGCTCTCCTTGGGAGCATATGGGTCCTATACTGTGCACCCAGGGTAGGTTGGCACTGCCCCTCCTGGGTGTGACTGTGGGCATAAGCATTCTGAGGCTTCTGGGACAGACTGCCGAGGAGGGGGTATAGAAGGTGTTAGAGGAGGTCAAGTGCATAGAAGATAAAAGAGACAAGGGAGGGGGCAGTGGTGGGCAGAGATGCCAGGGGAGAAGGTACCAGGCCGCTCTGCATTCTTTCCTACCAGCTCACCATCAGTCTCACGAGGCTGGAAGGCATGGAGGATGTGAAACATTAGGCTCTGGCACTCTTCTCACAGACATGAAGCCAGTCACCAGGTACTGCACAGTCCGCCCGGGGAGCACTGTGCATGAAGGAGCTGTTAGGACAGGGTGCAACCTCCAGCCCGAGGGGTCAGGTAGGCGATTTAAATTCTCTGCGAGATTTCCTATGTGACAATCATGTGGTCTGTAAATAGAACTATTTCATTTCTTCCTTTCCGATCTCTGTGCCTTTTGTTTTTCCTTATTGCACAAGTTAGGCCCTCCAGCACAATGCTGAATAGGTGTGGGTAGGAGCAGACATCCTCACTCTTCTCAGTATTAGGGGGAAAGCTTTCAGTTTCATATGATATCGACTGTGTGTTCTTTGTAGATGCCTTTTATCAGGCTGACAGAGTTCCCCTGTATTCCTAGTTTGTTGAGACTTTTTATCACGAAAGGGTGTGGAACTTTGTCAAATACTTTTTTCTGTGTCATTTCCACTGATTTCATTGGGAAAGCCTGTTATACCTGCCTCAAAGTGACGACGCCAGCTAGAGGCCAGTGGTGGCACCAGGCCAAGCCTGATGCTGCCAGGCTGAGGGTGTCCTGGAGGGCAGCAGGTTCACCTGTCCCTCCGCTCAGGTGGTCCAGCAACCTGACCTGATGTGGCCAGCTTGTTGGAAGTGCCTGGGATAGCTTCTTCATAGTGCTTCCCCCAAATCATCACCAGTAGGGAAGGGTGCATCCAGGCCCGGCCTACGTCACCTCCAGCGGGAATCAGGGCCTCACTCCTGGTCACTAGCAGATTCTACAGACCTGGATGCAGCATGCCCCTAGGATCCCAGTTAAAAAATTGGAAATGAAGGTGTGAAAGAATTAATTTATTTGCATAAGGTCCCCAAAAGGCGAAGGCAACCCCAGACCTAGTACTGGACATCGAGGTCTGTGATCCTGCTTCCTTTAACTTGCTGAGCCGGCCCAACACCCAGGGCTGTGCGCAGGCAGGAGGCCCGAAAGGCTGGGTCGGGTGCCTGGCGATGGCTCAGGTGGGGCCAACCTGGTGCAGCCAAGCGCCCCGCACCTTCGCGACCCCCCCCCCTGTTGGTTCAAAGGTTTAGGCCCCGCCCCTCCAGGCCCCAAGCCCCCTTTGAAGTGCTGATGTGGCCTGGAAGGAGCCACTTCACACCTCGGGCTCCGGATAAAGCGGTCGCCCGGGATAAAGCGGTCTCCCGCCGCTGGTCCGAGCACCGCCGCTGCTGCCATGGCCCAGTCCCTGTGCCTGCCGCTCTCCGAGGCCTGGATCTTCCCCACGGGCTGGGGCGCAGCTCAGCCGCCGCCACCCTCCGACAGGGGTTGCCGCTGGTCCCCCGCCTCGTCCCCGAACTCCTGGGGCAGCGCCCCGGCCAGCAGCCCCGTGCCGAGCCCTGGGCCAGCCGGCGCCCGCTCGGCCCCCCGCGCCCCTCGTGCCGGGAGGCGCGGCGCCCGGAGCGGCCGCCTGGGCAGCGGGCAGCGGCAGAGCGCCAGCGAGCGCGAGAAGCTGCGCATGCGCACGCTCGCCCGCGCCCTGCACGAGCTGCGCCGCTTCCTCCCGCCGTCCGTGGCGCCCGCCGGCCAGAGCCTGACCAAGATCGAGACGCTGCGCCTGGCCATCCGCTACATCGGCCACCTGTCGGCCGTGCTGGGCCTCAGCGAGGACAGCCTGCGGCGCCGGCGCCGCAGCGACGCGGCGCTGCCCCGGGGCTGCCCGCTCTGCCCCGACGGCGGCCCGCACCTGGGCTCCGTCGCTCCCGCCGCGGGGTCCTGGGGATCCCCGCCCGCCTGCCCCGGAGCCCCAGCGGTGCCCGCGCCGCCCTACGACGAGGCCGCGTGCCCCGAAGGCCTGGCGGTGGGGCCGGGTCCCTCGTCTCCGGTTAGTATCTCCTGCCCCCGCCTTCATAGGGCGCCACCTGTCCGCTCCCCAGACCTTCGCAGCCGGTGTGCCAGGGACGCCTGAGCGCCTGGGGAGGGAGGGGAGGGAGGGGAACCGGGTCCCTGAGAGTGCAGCCCACGAGCGCTGAGGGTCACGTCGTTCCCTCTCCCCCCGCAGCTCTTCCCCAGCCACGTGCTGTCCCAGCTGGATACCTGGATGCCCCCCTCGCCCCTACAGTGGCCTCCGGTCTGAGTGGTTGAAGTGACAACGAAGGACAACTGGCGCCCTCTGTATGAGCACTGCAGCCTTCTTGGCCTCAGCACCTTTGAAGGGGTCCTACCCCAGACCCCCTCTCCTGGCCGGGGGCACCAGCGAGGCCGACAAGCACATTCCTGCCGGTGAGAGCCCGTCCCCACCAGGACAACCTCCCCGAGCCCCCCGCAGTCGGGACCCGTAGAGTAGACACTTGGAGGCAGGCAGGAGGCTCTGCTTAGTATGTATTTATTTATTTGCGAATAAACTGTGCTGGTGTCAATTGGCAATTTCTTCTTTCTTTGCGTGAAGGCGAAGCTCCCTCTCTCTCCTCCAGAGGAGAACACGGGAGTTTCCCGCAACCTTCAGCATCCAGAGCGAACAGCCCAGACCCCTTCCTCCCTGCCCCGCACCTCCTGCTCAGAGGGGTCAGCCTGGAGACTGGGAGGCGCTTCACATGGGAAAGTGGCAGAAAGCGGAATCTGTCCATCTTTTCTTTGAATCTGGTGGGGGAGTGGGGCTGGAAAAAAAAACCACAAGTATTTTTAGAAAATACATCTCCATTAGTGAGTACTCATTGTATCAGGTCCTTTAAACAATTTATACACAAATAACCATTTTGCAGAAGCCTAAACTAAGGATTAACACTCCAGCTCTGGTAGGATTTTGTGAGCTCCATTCATTCAGGGGACTGAGGGGCACCAGCTCCAAGGGGCCATTTCACATGTCTTGAGTCCTATTCCCCTTGTGATGGAGCATTCTGGCCTGGACTCTGGGATTTTCCCATCGTCCTTCAAGCAGGCTTCCTTGCCATGTGGTTTAGGGACTTACAATAACATCAGTGAGCCCATCCTGAGTTTATGGACCGTTGACATCCCAGAGGCCTAGGTGAGATGACAGGCCCATCTAACTGTATCCAAGTCCACACAGCTGACCTAGGACCAGGCCAAGCTATCACGCTCCTGTTTACATTGGCTGGATTCAGATTAGGGGAGGGATGTTTGGGAAGAGGGGAGGCTTGAGCCCAGGATCCTCGCTTGGGTCAGGGGGTCTGGTGAGTAACCACACTGGGTGGGTAAGGTGGGTAAGGGAACATATCCTCTCTGTCCAAGGGTCCTTCGCCCTCTATGGATACCTAGTTCTCTCTCCACCCTCTCCCCCAGGCTTCTTTAAAATACAGGCTTTGGTATTTGTTTTTTATAAGAACTTTGTTGAGCCTGGCTGGTGTGGCTCAGTGGTTGAGCGTGGACCCATGCACCAAGAGGTCACCAGTTCGATTCCTGGTCAGGGCACATGCCCAGGTTGTGGGCCAAATCCCCAGTAGGGGGTGTGCAGGAGGCAGCCAAACGATTTTCTCTCTCATCAATGTTTCTCCCTCTCCCTCTCCTTTCCTCTCTCTCTAAAATCAATAAAGAAAGAGAACTTTATTGAGATAGAATTTGCATACCATGAAGTTAATCCCTTTAAATTATATTTGAATGGTTTTCATATATTCATTTATGCAGCCATCACCACTAATTTTAGAATACTTCATCACCCCCAAAAAGAAACTCTGAAACCTATATAATTTTATTAACCAATATCACCCCAGTAAATTTCAATAAAACATTTTTTAAAAGGACACCGTGGTTTCATTAGTAGTCACTCCTCACTATTCCAATCCTGGACCTCACCCCTGGCCCACTACTCTACTTTCTGTCTATAGATTTGCCTGTTCTGAACATTTCACATGAATGAAACACAAAATATGTAGCCTTTTGTGTCTGGCTCTTTTCACTTAACATAAGGTTTTCAAGGTTCATCAATGTTTTCTGTGTATCAGTCCTTCAGTTTCTTTTGAGTATTCCATTGTATTTATAGACCACAGTTTATTTATCTGTGATGTTGACGGGTTTGTTTTGAACCCACCTCTGGGATCATTTCCAGGGCTCCTGGTCAGGCCAGGAGGGGCAGTAATTCATATTTGGGGGGCACTGCCAGGCTCTTCAGGCGCACCCTGGCCCACTCTGGCCATATTTGGCTTCAGAGAGTGGGATCCCAAAGCAGAGGCCCTGCAGCAGGGGTGGGACCTTACACCTTCACTGATCACCCCACTTTCCCACACCTCCACCCCCCACCCCCCTCACTCTCCCCTCCCAGGACCCTAACCTGGGTAGATAGGCCTCTTCTCCAGGAACCTATCAGATTTAGAAAATCTATTTGCATGGCAAAGGCCCCATGGTTTAGGAGGGGGAATTAAAGTTATTAGCAAGTCTTTTCACAGATAAGTGGAGCTTGTTGGCCAGCCCCTCCCCTGTGGAGGGCCTCTCCTGCCTCTCAGAGCTGGGGGCCTCCCACTGTTTATTAGCACCTGGGTGTGATTTTCATTAACAGGTCTCTGCTAATAAGACGGAGGACTGGAGATGAGAAGGGTCACCTCCCACCGCTTGTTGTCACCACCCCTTCCTGGGCCAGCCACACTACACCGGTGGATGCCCTGTTTGACCATTCAGAGGGACAAGACAGTCACCAGTGTCCAGGTAGGTGAGCCGTGAACGTGTATTCTCTCATCTCTCAGCTAACCTGTGAGGTGAGGCCCAGGTAATGAGACCACCTTAAGGCTGGCAGAGTAGCCCGGCCAGTGTGGCTCAGTGGTTGAGCGTCAACCCATGCACCAAGAGGTCTCCGGTTCGGTTCCTGGTCAGGGCACGTGCCCAGGTTGTGGGCCTGATCCCTGGGGGTGGGTGGGGGGGTTGCGGGAGCGACCAATCGATGTTCTCTCATTGATGTTTCTATCTCTCTCCCTCTCCCTCTCTCTCTAAAATCAATCAAGAAAAAACAAAAAGATGGCAAAGTGCAGTCAGGAAGAGGGTGACCGATAACATGTTCCTATGAATGTTCAGTGGCAGCCTTGGGACTCGGCCCCAGGTGTGACTCTGGAGCCTTTGTGCTTACTCATGGCTGCACTGCCTCTGCGACAGCTGAGAACCAGCCTGTCTCAAGGACAAAGGGCACTGGCTGGCGTCTCACCTCACCCGGGGCCCTGGCAGGGTGTCCTGGTCCCGAGCCGTCCGGAAGGTGTAGTGAGAGAGACAGCATCAGCACCGGGTGCTCCCGGGCCAGCATGCTGACTCTGGCACCAGCGGTCACGGCGCTCACACAGCCTGACGGGGTCACGCGCAGGTGACGGAGAAGCAGACCGTTCTAGAGCCGTGACAGTGAGCCAGGCTCTGCACATAGGACATTGAGCTCACCATCTGATTTCAAGTCATTTTAGCCTCAAAGCCAGGACGAGGCGGGTAGGTGTGTGCAGATCAGGACGCAGAAGGTGGAGGAGTTTTCCACGAAACTAGTACATGGCTTTTGGGGTGGGGACAAGTGTGGGTGGTAGGCGACAAACCGGCCTTTGGACCGGCCCTGGCAGGCAAGCGTGCATGGGTACATGCGTGCATCTCGGGTGTGAAATAAAGCTGTGTGTGCACACGGGCAGGAAATGTGCTTCTGCGTGTTGACTGCACACGTCCCTGCTGAGACAGCTGTGCTGTGTAGATGCTGGTGCTGGATGGGCCACAGTTTTAAGGAGTGACAGCTACGCCGATGGTACTCAAGGATGTGTCAGGGTCACACTAGAACCTGGTGGGGGGAGCAGAGGAAGGGGAGCGTCTCGGTTGGGGACCTCTTCATCAGGGGACATTCAGCTGGTCAGTACCAGCCCCATGAGGGAGGTGTCTCGCCAACACGGAGCAAGTGTGGGACTTGGGAGGAGGTCGGTGGAGACACAAAAGCAGCTGCCGGCACACCCTGGCCCATGTGGCTCAGTTGGTTGAACGTAGTCCTGTGTGCTCTGAAAAGTCACTGGTTCAGCCCTGACTGGTGTGCTCAGCGGTTAGAGTGTTGCCCTCACACTGAAGGGTCTTGGGTTCGATTCCCTATGAAGGGCACGTACCTGGGTTACAGTTTTGATCCCTGGCCCCGGTCAGGTTGCATGCAGGAGGCAACCAATTGACGTGTCCCTCTCACACTGATGTTTTTATCCCTCTCTCTCCCTCTTGCTCTAAAAATCAATAAAAATATATTTAAAAAAGAAAAAGAAAAAGAAGCTGCCGGCACAAACCCTGCATGCAGTCTGTGGTCAGGTTATCCTGGAGGCTGGGACTCCTGAATCCCCTGCAGTTCTCAAAGGCACCACACGGTGTCCTCAGAGAGGCGGGTGTAGCTCTTGAACTGCTGAGACCCTCCATCCAGTTGTCCTTGGAAGGGCAGTTTTTAGAGAAGAGAAAGGTGCCTCTCTGCTTCTCTTCTGCACCCCCTCGGACTCTCTGGTCTTCTCTAGGGTTCCTGGGCTGGCAGGCAAGGGGCAGTAGTGGCACAGTTCCTGCCTGCCACCTCGCCTGGCACCTCTGCCTCTCACTCCTGTGTGACCTGGGGCAGTCGCTCACCCACTCTGAGCCTCAGCCCCTCCAAAGCCATTCCATAAAGTTACAAGCCAGCTCGGAGAGGGAAAAGAAGTGGGTGGAGAAAAAAGGGGGCCACACGGAAGCTGGAGTGGGCTTGGTGTCGTGCTCTGAGCAAAGTGGCTGTCCTGGCCCATCAGGTGGGCGGTCCTCACAAGGCCTGGGCCCTGCTTAGTCAGGACTGGGCGGGAACAAGGGTACACACCACAGCCACTCTGGAGTCTGGAAACAATGTCGCTGTTTACTTGGGTGACACATCTGCCCCCCTGAGGGCTCTGATAAGTGGGATAATGATTGAAACCCCCCAAATAGCCCCTTTCCCCAGACGGGCTCTGTGGAGGTCCCAGACTGCAAGTCCAGGCCCCTTGGGCCTTCTGAGCTGAAGCCGTTTGTCGCCGTGTCCAGGGCCTCCTGGGCGAGGCCTGCCTGCTGCTGGGACCTCCGTAGGGAGCCTGGGGCAGTGGCTCCGTCACTTCCTCAGGGTCTCTCTCTGGAGAAACAGGGAATACCTCCGCAGCCGGGTCCAGTGCTCCTGCTCCTTCACCTTGTTCTCCAGCTTCTGAAACCTGGGGCCACACAGTCGGACATGAGAACCTGCTTTGTCCCGCAACCCCCAGCCTGGCCCCCAGGTGCCCAGGGCAGACCTTGACCACCCTGTGCTAATTATCAAGAACTCTCCAAATGACAACGTCTGCTTCATCTTGGTCCTCAGGACTCAGCTTGTGCCCAGCAGGTACCCAAACACCTTTACTGAACGAATGAGGGGCAGCATGCAAACCATCAGGTGGACAGGGACAGACAGCACAGCAACTTAGGAACTGAAGTTGGTGAGCACGGGCCCACGTTAGACACATCAGGACGCCAAGACACCGTTTCATAAGCATTTCTTGAGCATCTGCCAGTGACAGACACTGATGCAAGTTGGGAAGACCAGAGTGACCACAGCAGCACGTCCCCGTCCCCAGTGAGTAAGGGCGACAGAGTGAGGGAGCACTTTTAACAGGAGGCGTCTAGCACCGCAGAGATCAAATGCAGATGGAGGAAGAGACCCGCCTGGGCAGCGTTCCCAGGAGATAAAGGGTTTGAGTTGGGTCTTCCAAAAAATAGAGGGCAGTTCTTTTATCTGTTTAAGTAGCGAACGCACACATGCTCACGTGCTTTTCCTGCGCATGCGGCACCTGCAGGCCCTTGCAAAGCCTTTGGCCTCAAAGAGCCTGACCGTTCGCACGTTTGGGGCCTGTGCATCCATAGATAATGTTCTGGGGAGTCATATAATAAAGGGGGTCGGAACACCATCCATTACCGTCCTCCTCCAGCCTCAAGGGAAATGTCACTTGGTGTCCACACAGGACCTGCCCAGTCCCTCACCGAGGGAGTCATGTGCCCGGTGGGCCCTAGGTCTGTTGGATCACCCCAGAAGCTCACTGATGGCAGAAAATATGGTGGGTAGAACCTGGGTCGTGCTTGGCCCATATTCCACAGGGAGAGAGAAAGACTGTCTCTGTGTGTTTTCTGGTGTCCCGAAATTTGTCTCTTGTAGTCAAAAGTTTGACCCAGCCAGAGATGGCAGACACAGAGACGGGGAGTGGAACCAGATGGAAATGGTGCCCGGAGGCCTGGGCTGGATGGGAGCAGAGGCCGGGCTGGGGCGCAGCGGGAGGGCGTTGCCACGTGGCGCCATCTGGCCCCCTTTCAAAGCCCGGAGGCGGGCTCCCTTTCACACTGCCGCTTACGAAAGTCCCAGGGCAGATTTTGTAAAAACAATTTGGACAGAGTATTGCAGGTCTGAAACTTTGACTCTATTGCCACACAAACCCATCGCCTTAAAGTTTCACCTAGTTTTAGGGCCAATGTAAACTTTCAGACACAAGCTACAGATAGAAAGAAATAAGATAGGATGAAAATCTTTGGGATGTACGTGGAAATGTGTAATAAATAACGAGGGTAAAATGTTAACGATAGATCTGGATTGTGAGTGTGTGCGTGTTCACTGCAACATTGTAAAGCGGCTGTGTGTGGAACATTTTTCATGATAAAATGGGGTGGGCAAGCCCCAGGTATGAACCTCAGAGCAAACAGAACAGGAGAAGCTTTAAACCATGGCGTTTCCCAATTTATTGCTGGGACCCAGTTCGGAAAATGAGCTGCCTCAACAGTGTGATGGGAACACCGTGCGGAGGTCCAAGTACGTGTCCCTTTGGGCGGGGGCGCCACAGCCACACCGCGCGCCCCCTCCTGCCGGGTCCCTGGACCCGGGAGCACTTTCCTAAAGCTCCCACTGCTTGGCTAGCCCGAGCCGTGCCCCTGCCCCCAGTGCCCCACCTGGTCACCCCCTGACCCAGCCCTCTTCCCTGCAGAATGTTCCACGCACTCAGCACTGTGGGGCCTCCCGGAGGGGCAGGGGTGGGGCCTGGGGGCTGAGCTGTGTTGAAAGGGAGGAGAGACAGCTGGGAGCAGGAAGGTGGAAGAGGCTGCAGGCAGGCAGGCAGGAGGGACTGTCTTCTCAGAGCAGGTACAAAGTGCGTGGACAGGAGGCATGATCTCAGCTCAGTGGACGTGCCCAGGGAGACACCTGGGAGGAAGTGCACTCCCTGGTGGCGGTGCCGGGATTTCTGGTGATGGGATTATGGAGTGTTTAGATTTTCTTTTCTGCAGTGTCTTGTTTTCTAAATTTCTACAAGCGTGTTTATGACTATACCAGAAATAGTGACTATCACGTTTTACAATGGGGACCACTCTGAATGGCAGTAGTTTTACTCTCAAAGCCACGCTCACAGGCTGAGGGGCTCAGCAGGGGTCTGAGCACTAACCTCCCCAGCACTGTGGTCGAGGGAGGGACTGTCACCTAGGGACTTAGGCTCCCCGAGCTGAGAGCTGGCGCCGCTGGGTTCGGCGCGCTCCCACAGGGTAGGTGGCAGTCGGCTTGGGGGGAGTGGGATGGCTGGCCCTTGCTGGGCCAGTGAAAGGAGGGGTTTAGACAGAAAGGTCAGCAATGGAGACAGGAGTCCTCCGGCCTCATCCAGCCAGAGCAGAGAACGCCATGCTGTGCCCAGCACCCCAGAGAACCCTCGCTCAGGCCGAGGCCTAACCCCGTACTCAGGACTTTTGTAAACCAATATTTGAAATTTACCAAAATAATATGCTTGTGTGTGTGTGTGTAAAAGTTGCAAATAAGGACAATACAACAAAAAAAACACCACCACATACTTCATCACCCCAGTGTAAGTGCTGTTATTTTGGAGGGCACATCTCCAGTCTCCTCTCTTTACTGAGTGTCAGCATTATACTGTAAATACCACGTTATAACCTCCCCCATCGTTTTATCTTGGAGACTTCCAAACCTACAGAAAAGTGGCACATGGGACAATGAACCTTCATCTGTGTTCACCCGGGTTTTTTTGTTGTTTGTTTGTTTGTTTTATCCTCACCTGAGGACTTTTTTTTTTTTTTGCATTTATCTTCAGATAGAGTGGGAGGGAGAGAGGGGGAAAGAGAGAGAAACATCGATGTGAGAGAGACATGTCGACTGGCTGCCACCCACACAACCCCAATCGGGGCTGGGGATACACTGCAACTGAGGTACGTGCCCTTAGTGGGAACCGAACCCAGGACTCTCTGGTCCGCGGGCCGACGCTCTAACTGTGGAGCCAAACTGGCCAGGGCTGTGTTCACTCGTTTTTAACATTTTCTCACCCTCTCTTTCTCTGTCTTTCTGTAGAAATATTTTCCTGGGTTTTACCCATTGTTACCATGTTCTCCTCTCTGGCTCTCTATACATTTGTTCCTGGACCACTTCAAAGTCAGCTGGAGACATTGCAATACTTCACCCTTTAATTCTCAGCTGCATCTCCTACGAATAAGTCATGTCATCGCGGGTCAAAATAACCTCTCTGTGAGGAGTAGCCAAGCATTCTGGGTAAATCTTTAATCAGGGGACATGTCAGCTGTCTCTTTCTTCATTGTCCTCCTACCCCAAGACCCTTTGGCCATATTCCTTTCCTGATGAGTAGCATGCTTCCCTCCAGGAGCTACTGAAAGCCACCACAGCACCCCACCACAGCCCAGGAAGGAACTGCAGTCATGGAGGAGGTGCTGTGGCGCCCCCTCGTGGTGATGCACAGTATTTCCCCAGGTGTGACCTTGGGTTAATGCCGAGACCCATCATCACACTTGTAGCTGCTGTTTATTGAGCGACCACCCTGTGCCTAGCACTTTGCATATATCACATCATTGGCTACCTATGAAACCCGAAGTTCAGGTATCATGAAGATGTCTAGGATACAGCCTGGCACATCGTAGGTTCTCAAGAGATATTTTTTGAATGAATGAGGAAATGGAGGCTCTGAGAAGTTAAGGGACTCAGCCCAGGTCTCACAGTCAGTCAGTGATGGAGTCAGAATTCCACTGAGTATCTTAGCCCACCTCTTCCATCCCTCTTGAGGAAACAGCAGACAGAGAAAGAGGGAAATGGACTTTGTGGAGACAGGAGAGATCACAGCCTCTCAGAGCTCAGGTGACAGGACACTGAGTGCCTGGGAGGGAGGGGACCTGCCCAAGTCACTGCCTGTGCCGTGGCCAGCCTGGGACGCGACTCCAGGGCTCCAGCGCTGACCCCTCCACCTCAACTGTACGGGCGGAGCCTGGCAGGAATCCACAAGCGTGTGCAAGCCCCCAGGATCAGTGTGGGGAGACAGCGACACCTGCTTCTCCAGGTGGGCCGCGTCCTCACAGGCTGTCACAGCAGGAAGGAACCCAGCAGGCCTGGGCCGCAGGAAGGGGCGGTGGAGGAGGCAGAATGCCTGACACCCTGTGGATCCAGATGGTGGATAAAGTAAAGGCGTCCTGGACTGCGGGCTGGATGGGACCTACAGGCTCAGGTGCGACTGTTCACTGCCGCTGAGCACGCGCGCAGCCGGAGGTGCTGGGTGGACCTGGTGGCCTGGCTGTGTTCCGGGGAAACTTCCTTCACACAGGTGGCCAGGGGCTAATCTGGTCCGCAGCTCCCCGCTTGCCAGCCCTGATTGTGTCTAATAACCCAAACATGCCTTAGAAGGTTGAGAGAGCAGAAGGAAAAGCCAGGCTTGACAGAAGGCAAGCACCGGCTGGAGGCCTCCTTCTTCTTCATCCTGAGCTCATTCCACGTTTCCTGCCCATCGGAACGGGGGTCGGAGTGTGGGGGAGACTTTAAATGCTGAGAGGGTCTCACCATCAAACCCACTCCACTCCTCCGTGGCCAGGCCCGGCCCGGGCAGGGGTGGGAGACAGGCCCAGGACCCTACCTCTTCTGGAGGAAGCTCTCGCATCTTTTCTCCAAGGGCAACGCCTGGGGGAAGGCCGTGGTGTCCACGTCAGCCTGAGAAATGCAGCAGTTTCTCGAGATGTTCTCCAGCAGTGGGTAGGAGTCAAAATGAAAATAGAAGACAGAGTATGGGGTGTCACTGGCCCCATCCGGATAGTCTCCTGTGAGGAGATAAGAGTGGTGTTCTGTGTAAGCATCACTTTTTCTGTGGTCTCTGTGGCCCAGGGGGTCCAGGGGTCTGCTCTCTGCTCACAAATCTGGGTCTTTGGGGCTGAGCTGGGCCTGGAGGAGCAGGAGTTGAGAGACAAGGCCTTCTTGATGTTTCATGTGAGTGAGGACTTTGGGGCTGTAGTCATGGGAGACGAAGAGTGGGGAGCACATTGGGTGGGGTTGCCCTAGACTTTGGGAGGGGACTGGGGAAGTCAGAGAAGTGGTCAGTAGGCCGCAGGTCTGGGCAGTGCTCTCGAGGTCCCCCGCCCTACCTCGGAGCAAGAAGTACGGGTGGTGCAAAGACACGACACACACTGGCTTCCAGGTCACCGCCAGGTGGCAGGGTCTGGGGGGAGCAAAGGCACAGACCACCTGAGGCCCAGCCACATCCAGCAGGTGCACACAGCCGTTCCTGGAGACGGTCAGCACCTGGGAGCAGAGAGAGGGCACAGGGGACTGCCCTGCTGGGTCCCTCCCCCGGTGTGGGGCGTCAAGAGGGAAGACAGGGAACTGGCGTGCCCTGGGCACAGCCTCTGGACCCTGCTCATTATAGCGCAGGAGTGTGGTGCCGCCCCTTTGGTGGTCCCAGCAGCAGCGGGCCCTCGTCTGGGTGCTGTGTCCATCCTCCTTTGTCCTGGCTTCTCTGTCCAGTGCCCCTAGCTTCTCTGCTGTAGGGCTGGCCCCCCGCATGGCCAGGGTTTGGTTCTACATCTGGGCCAATGTCCTTCCTCCCACCTCCTTGGGGACCCTGCTCAATCCAATGGCCCTCCTTGCCCGACATCAAAGACGGGCCTCTCCTGCCCGGGCTCTTCCTCTCACTCCCCTCCAAAGCACCCTCCTTGCCCTGCATCCCCCTCTGGCTGCCACACCCCCCAAAACACACCCTCACCCCGTCCAGGCCTCCACCTCCCCTGCTTGCCGTCTATCCCTGTCGCAGACATTCTCCGCCGGGCACTCGGTTTCCCTTCCGCACAGGACACTGTGCTCTCACCTTCTTCAAAGTCTCCCCCCTGAGCTTCCAGGAGCCCCTCCTGGCTTTCCTGGGGCTGTCCCTCTCGGCCACTGCGTTAGCTCATTGTCCTGGCCCTGTCCGTGATGGCAGGGCCCCCAGGAACCTCCTCTCTGACCGGGGGAAGCCACAGTTCCCACCGCTTTAACCACCGCCAACCACCGCTAACCGCCAACCACCGCTAACCCCTAACCGGGTGGCAGGATCAGTCTGCACTCCCGGCCCCGGGCTCTCTCCAGGCCACCACACCTGCCACACCTGCCACACCCGTGGGCAGCCCAGCACTGAGTCCCGCATGGCCACACCTCTCACTGCATCCTTCTCAGTCTGCTGCTCCCTGCTCCCACCTGGGCTGCGCTTCAAGCCCCACCCTGTACAAAGGCAGGTCTGTACCCTCCCCGGTCTGGCCGCTCTGCCCCCACCCCGGGCCCCTCCCTGTCCACGGCTGGAGCATCTGACTCTGCAACTGCTCCGACTTCCCGTGGTTCCTGAACAGCGTTCCCTGGCCCCGAGGCGCTGCCTCCTCAGTTCAGTGTCCTGGCACCTCCTCCAGAAAGCACCCCCTTGTGCAGGTCAAGTTAGGTGCCCTCTCTCTGTCCCCAGCATCCCGGGCATCACACGTCACAGCCTTCTTCAGGCTGAGCAGCTGCCCGGTGACCGTGCCGTCCCCACTGAACTGAGCGCCAGGAGGGCGGGGACGGTCTCCTTCCTGCCTGTGGACCCCGACGCTAGTCTAGCGCCTGGCACGTGATGGGCACTCAGCAGGCGTTTGTGAAGGAAGCGTGAACACAAGTCAGCGAAGGGACGAGAGACGAGGAACCTACCATGCCCGGTAAGGCTGGGGCCGGGACCACCGCGCAGAGAGCCTCACCCGGGTGCTTGGCGGGCCTGTAGGAAACAGCACACAGACTGTCACCCTTTGCTCTCCTCACCCAGACGTGTGTGCTGGATCAACGCTGTACCCGGGCATCCGGAGAGGAGCTGGGGACTGTTCACAGCCGTCCGGTCTCCACTGGCAGGAGAATGCAGGTCAGTGTGGTGTAAGCAGAGCCGCACAGCGCGGCCGAGACAGACCGGGGCCCAGGGCGCCCTCACGGGGCGCGTTGCAGCGTGGCAGAGCGAGCTGCGGAATAAAAGCATTAGAGACGAAGCTGGAGAATGCGCAGACTGGGGTGCCATTTACACGCTCCCTCGAGACGCACGGCTGGAGACACACACCTGTGGGTGTGGTTAGTTCCGGAAGGAAAGCAAAGGAATGAGTTTAGGAAAACGATGTGGTGGATTGAAAAAAATAAATTGGCCATAATGTTTGGCAGCAACTCCTATCAAAAGGTGGAGTCTCACCCGGCTGGTGTGGCTCAGTGGTTGAGTGTCACCCCAGGGACTGAGAGGTGCTGGTTTGATTCCCAGTCAGGGCACATGCCAGGGTTACAGGCTCGATCCCCAGTAGGGGGCGTGCAGGAGGCAGCGGATCGATGTATCTCTCATATCAATGTTTCTCTCTCTCAAAGATTATTTTAAAAAGAAAGGTGGAGCCCTGGCCAGTTTGGCTCAGCGGTTAGAGCGTCGGCCTGCGGTCCGGAGAGACCCGGGTTTGGTTCCTGCTAAGGGCACGTACTTCGGTTGCAGTTTGTCCCCGGCCCTGGTTGGTCGTGCGGGTGGCAGCTACTCGATGTGTCCCTTTCACATCGATGTTTCTCTCTCTCTCTCCCTTCCTCTCTCTCCCTCCCACTCTAGCTGTACAAAAAAATGGAAAAATATCCTCGGGTGAGGATAAAAAAAAAAAAAAGAAAGGTGGAGTCTGTCTTTCCACTGCCTGAATGCAGGTGTGGCCACGTGACACGCTTTGTCCAAGGCAACAGCAGCAGAAGCTCAGTAAGCCTGTGCCTGGGGCTACCCTCGACGCTGGGAACCCTTCAGCTGCCGGATAATGGAGCCGGAGACAGCCTGTAGGAGAGGCCACCAGGATGAGAACCAAGTGCCCTGGCCAGCAGCCAGCCAGCTCCGGGTGTGTGAGTGAGGCCACCCCCTGGGTGTGTGAGTGAGGCCACCCCCTGCGCCACCCGCTGCTGCAGGCACGAGCGAGCGCCTCAGCAAGACCAGCAGACGGGCTGCACAGCTGCGTCCGGGCCGCACTGCGCCTGCAGAGTCGGGCTAACAGCGACCGTTCTCTTCAGCCATGTAGCGGTGGGTGGCTCGTTTACACAGCAGAGCACGGCAACAGCGGCTGCCTCTGCGGAGGAGAGAAGGGCGTGTTCGGGGAGAAGTGCGGGTCTGAGCTGAACTGGAGATGATGTACTTCTTAAGCTCGGGGATGGTTACACTGGAGTCTGTCTCTGTGCGTGCACACACATGCACACACACACACACAGGCATTGCACAGGTCATTTGTGTGCATAAAACATTTCACAATTTTAAAAAGAGAGAGAGAGAGACCCTCGGGGAAACTGGTGGACCCTGTCCTTGGCCGTGTGGGGTATGAAAGGTGTTTGTGCCCTCATACCGTTTTGTCAGGACAGTGTTCCGTACGTACACCCACGTAAAAGACCGGCGATGTTGAGCGGCTCATCGGGAGAGGGGTGACTATGGGGAAGGAGGGCCCCAGTCGACAGACGGTCAGTGTTGCACCACCATCGCCGGCCACCAACCTGTCAACCAGCACCCTGAGGGTGGGCCCCCGGGTGCCCTGGGCTGCCAGCAGGTGGAGAGAGGAGTCTGTGCACAGCACCACGCACATCATCTGCGATTTCACCGGCCCCTCGAGATACACGTTCCGTCCCTCGTGGACTATGAAGTATTTCAGGAAGTGAATGCTCTGGCAGGGACGTCCCTCAGGAAGGGCGATGACCCCAAGGGGGAAGCCTGGAGAGAGACGCGCAGGTCAGAAAGGGAGCAGCGCCCGCCATGCAGCTCTGGCTCGGTGCCAGTGACCAGCAAGGACGTGAGGCCCTGAGGACAGAATCAAGCAGTGGACGCCCCCTTTAGGACAGAGAGGAGCTGGCTGGGGGGGACCAAACCCTAGGAGCAGCCCGGTCAGGAATTTGTCAATATCCAGAAAGATGGAAACACGCTATTGGGAGAGGAGCGGGAAATGATGATCATTCTTCTGCCCTTGAACTAGCTTTCGCGGTTACGTTGGTGCTGAGGGTGCGATCGGGAGATTCAGGAGGGCCTTTGACACCGTGGGGAGGATGTTTCCCTATCTGAAATAACCACTGAAGCCCTCAGATGGGACTGGCCCAAGCGAGGACAGCACATCACTGACCACGGCCTCAGAGCGGCCAGCCCTGCTGTCTGAGCTCGAGCTCCCCAGTGAACGGGGGGCTGCCGCTGGTCCCCTCGGCACCAGGAGGAAGGCCACCCCGACTCGCAAATGAAACACACCCAGTTGTGAATGACAGGCCACTGCTTCTGTTATTACTTTTTTTAAAGTTTGGTTAGAGGGAGACACTCCCTTAGAGCCGGATCGATTTAAGATAAATAGACGACACCGATTTTTAGCATTTACAGAGCTGGGCCAAGCACCCTGGGACCACCAAGGTGCCACCCACCCAGAATAGCTGCTGGTCTTTTTTTTAAATCCTCACCCGGGGATATTTTTCTGTTTATCTTCAGTTAGAGTGGGAGGGAGGGAGAGAGAGAGAGGGACAGACAGGAAAACATCAGTTGGTTGCCTCCCGCTGGACAGTTGCCTCCCACATGACCCCGGCCAGGGCCAGGGCCAGGGCCGAACCGTGATGGAGGTACATGCCCTTGAGCAGAACCGAACCCAGGACTCTCTGGTCTGTGGGCCGATGCTCTAACTGCTGAGCCAAACAGGCCAGGGCAAGCTGCTGATCTTGAATTGACCACTGCACAGGTCTCAGCTTCAATAGCACTGAGGGTCCAGCTGACAGCATGGGGTAGGAAGGGCAGGAAGGAAGACTGCTTGTCCTGAGAGTGTGGGACCTGGGGGAGGGCGGCCGAGGCGCCGTGACCACCTGTGCAGTGCGGGGAGTGATGGTCGGACTTCGGGGACCTGGCACAGGGCCGGGCACAGAGCAAGCGCTCGGCAACCACATGGGGAAGGGGACGTGTCCGCCCATGCCCTGTTCAGTCGATATCTGTGGAATGAATGAATGAGGGAAAAGCAGGACCAGCCCCCAGGGGCCTTTAACAACAGAGGAACTGCCCTGCCAGTTCGGCTCAGCGGTTAGAGTGTCGGCCCGTGGACGGGAGAGTCCTGGGTTCGGTTCCCGCTAAGGGCACGTACCTCGGTTGCAGTTTGTCCCCGGCCCCAGTTGGGGTCGCGCGGGTGGCAACCACTCGATGTGTCTCTCTCACGTCGATGTGTCTCTCTCTCTCTTCCCCCCTCCCCCGCTGGCTCTATCTGAAGATAAATGCCAAAATGTCCTGGGGGAGGATAAAGAAAAGAGCAGAGGGCCTGGCAGGAGGCCCAGAGTGGCAGGAGCTCAGAGCCCCTGGTCTGAGGACCCGGAGGTACGTGGGTGCTGAGCAGGGGTGGGGCTCACCTTCGGCCAGGTCCCACAGCGTGAGCACACCATCCTCGCAGGCCAGCACCAGGTAGGAGCAGCAGGAGCTGAGCTGAGACACGGCAATGGGCGCAGCGCAGGGCCACACGCCCTCGGGGTCTAGAGGGAGGACACCTCTCACCAGGCTGCCCCCGACCTCGGGGACCCAGGCCGGTCTGCCCGTCTGGGACGTGGGCAGGACCACCTGTCTGGACTCTGCATCTCTCCCTGTCTGTGTGGCGCTGTCTCCTTCCTCAGGGTAATCGGACAAGTCGCAGCTATGAGACTTCACAGTTGTGAGTGCCAACACGGCGGTGAGCACTTTCACGCCTCACTCCATTTAATTCCCACAACGGTCCTATGAGGGGGTCCTGTTAGCTCCCCATTTTACAGAGGAGGAGCCTGAGGCAGAGAACGGCCCGATTCGCCCGAGGTCACACAGGCCGTCAGTACCGAAGTCCAGCTGCCTTGGAAGGAGAGACGTTCTTCCTTGTGGATGTTTAAATGTCACTGTGGGAGCGTAAGTCTAAAGTACAACACAGGCTTACAGCTCAAGGAATCATCCCCAAGTGAGCAAGCTCGTGTCGCTGCCTCCGTGCGTTGGTGGAAACCAACAAACAGCACCCGTATTTCCTAAGGGTCTTTCCATTTCAAAAGCTCTCACATACAGAACTGGATTTTGCTATTCACAACAAGTGTGAGCAGTAGACAGGATGGTGTGGTTACTTAGTTCCCTGCCTCGGGTGGGAAATCTGGGGGTCGGGGCGTCAGGCAATGGCCTGAGCCACACAGGTCTCAGACAGTTGGGCCGGGACTGGCATTGGCCTTCTGAGGTCATGGCCACCTTCTTCTGACCTGAGCTGCCTAGAAGCCCTGGGGACCTGCTTGGGCTCTGTCCCTGTTGGCCTCTTGTCTTTAAGAAGCAGGACAGGCCCTGGCCGGTTTGTCTCAGTGGTTATGGTTAGAGCGTCGGCTCTCGGACCACAGGGTCACGGGTTTGATACCCAGTCAAGGGTGTGTGCCTGGGTTGCAGGTTCGGTCCCTGGCCCTGGTTGGGGTCATGTGAGAGGCGACCAGTCAATGTCTCTCTGACATCAATGTTTCTCTCTCTCTTTCTCTCTCTCTCTCTCTCTCTCGCTCTCGCTCTCTCCCTTCCTCCCTTCCACTCTATCTAAAAATCAATGGGAAAATATCCTATGGTGAGCATTAACAAAACAAAAACGGAAGAGGACAGTTCAGAGACAGAGCCCAGGGTCACGCCACCGCCACACCCCCACTTGTGCCTGCACAGCGCCGGCGCCCTGACGTGTCAGCCACGTGCTCGGGGCCGAGCTGGAAGGGGGCGTGTGCTGAGGGCCCTGAGCTGAGACAGCGAAGTACCAGCTTTATCCTTCAGGGTTCTGTTAAGTGAATAGATGAAGTAGTTGTGACGTCCGGTCCAGTGTATGCCAAGGGCACAGGCTACCCCTGGGAAAGAAGAGAGGAAAAGGGTGTCACGTAACGAGTCTGGGTGGCCTTTGGTTTGTGTGGACCGTGTTGCCCAACAGGAAGTCAGCTTGTTGAGAGCTTCCCCGGGAGGAGGGGCTGGGCACCCCCAGGAGGGCTATTCCTAGGGCCAGCTAACCTTCCTGGGAAGGGGTGGTGGTCAAAACTGTCCTTGGCTGTTCTCACAGCTTCTAGATCATTCATGTCCATTTGTCTGTCGGTGTTTTAAGAGCATCTTGTACACAGTGAATTATACCCAAGAGCAGCCTGGCAGGAAGTGTACTCGAATCCTCCTTGGGGACGGGTTACTCCCTCAAGACAGAGCCAGCACCGTTCTCAGGACATGTGGGCCACAGGGCAACCAGGGACAGTTCAGCTGCAGTTGGCACCAATGTCCACCTTGCACCCACTCCCGGAACAGGGTTTGCTGTGGGGGACACCTCTAGAAGGGTTTGCTGAGCCACTTCCCCAAGGTGACTGGCCACCTGCCCGGGACAGTCACCTGCTTCATGTTCACTCACCTGAGGGGCTCTTGACCTCTGTTGGCATCGAGATTATGCAGCTAGGAAGGAGGAAGTGGAACGTGGCCACACTGGGAGAGAAAGAGACACTAGTCAGAGCCATGGCCGACGCCTTGGCAAGGAGTGAGGCTGGCAGTCTTGGTACCAGGACCGGAAATGGGTAGTGAGGATGGACCTTCCCAGGGACCGGGGCCTCGAGGCAAACTGCATTCCGTGTGCCGGTCCTGGTGGGTGCAGACCTGGGAGTCAGCGAGGGCCGGGCGGGCAGGGCTGAGAGCCTCTCCCAGGCCGGGAACAGCGCCCAGCACCGGGCAGAGCCATCTCGGCCCGTGAGGAGGCCCTAATGCCCAGGTTTGGGTGATGTGCACAAATGCACGTCTTTTTCTGGAGGCAGCACAACCATTGGTGTGCTGAACAATTGGCTCTCTCTCTTTCTCTTTCTTGTTAATCTTCACCTTAGCATATTTTTCCATTGGTTTTTAGATAGAGTGGGAGGGAGGGAGGGGGAGAGAGAGAAAGACATCGATGTGAGAGAAGCACATTGATTGGTTGCCTCCTGCACAACCCTAACTGGGGTCGGGATCAAACCTGCAACCCAGGTATTTGTCTTTGACCAGGAATCGAACCCACAACCCTTCAGTCTGCAGGCTGACGCTCTAACTGCTGAGCCAAACCGACAAGGGCTTGGCTCTCTCTTTTATTATTTTTTAAAAAGCTCCAGTTTCCTGATTTATAGGCCTTGCAGCTTTTTGGGGGGTAAACACTCTCACAGCAGATGGCTACCAGCGGTCTACCAGCTGGCCTGCCCCGGTCCTAAATGCCTCGCTGGTCCCAGTCCAGGCCGCAGCTGGCGGCTCTTAGGGCTTGGCCCTCGGACTGTGTCCTGAAGGGGCAAACTCGAGGCCCACGTGGAAGAAGAGAGCGTTCACTTTCCTGAGAAGCCAGAATGTCACTGAGCAGCTCAGTAGCTGTGAGGGGAGCCGGCTCATGAGACCAGCTCAGCAGACACGTCCAAGGCCGGTGTTTCGTTTTCACGTGGGTGAGTGAGGCCTATCTGCTGGCCGGGGTCAGAAAGTGGGGAAGCTTAACAATTACACCTTAGTATATTACATTTAAGAAGGCTGGGTGGAGATGGAGAACATTAGTAGTAGTGACTTAGAGTTCTAAGTCTAGGGTCTTCTGTGTTGTCTAGATAACCAGGAAAAAAAAAATTTATGAGATGGTCTCATACATAAAACAGTCATCTCCACAGCTATCCATTCCTTCTTGAAATCTGTCTTCTCAGCCTTCGTCCTCACTGTTTAAACAACCGCCATACAGCTTCTCAAAAGATCCGCTGGAGTTCTCAGAAAAATGCCCCAAACCAGAACACTTTTGGACCCCGGATTAACTCAGGTCCTCGGGTTGCTTCCTGTGGGAGAAGTTCTGGGGGTCTCGGGAGCAGGGTGGCGGGCTCACCTGAGCGGCTCCTCCTCCCACTCCCCATCCAGGTACTTCTTGTAGGTGGCGTTGAAGATGGTGGACTGCTGCTCCCACAGACTGTCCTTGATGAAGTGGTTCTGCCCCGAGCCCAGCCCGTAGCAGCCCTCTGTCTTAGCAAAGACTTCCAGGGGGCTTTTAAATGTGGTACCTAGGTTGAAAATATTCCGGAATTGGTCAAACCATCTGGCTCCACCTTCCTGATTTCCCCCTCCTTCCTCCATGCTTCCGAGCTTCCTGCAGAATCCCTCCTCCGAAATCTGGTCTCACAGGTGTGGACTGGTGCTCATTGTTCATTTGCATTTCCCTGATAACTAATGATGGTCAGCACCTTTTCATATGTTAACTGGCCATTTGCATAGTCTCTTGCCCATTTTGCACTGGATTATTTTTCTTTCTTAATAATTTGTAGGAATTCTTTCTATATTCTGCATATGAACCATTCATAAGTTCTGTGTGTTTTGTGAATACCTTATCCCCGTAGGTGGCTTTCTCTCTCATGCCTTTAGCAATGTCTTTGGATGATGTCAAGTCCTTAATTTTAATGTAGCCAAATTGGTTACATTGTTGAAATTATAACTACTTTTTGTGTTTTGTTTAAAAACTCTTTCCCTACCCAGAGAACATCAAGGTATTATCTTATTTTCTAAAAGCTTTACAGTTTTGGCTTTCGTGTTTATTTCTATGATTATTCTGGAACTTACTTCTGTGCATGGTGTGAGGCAGGGGACAAGTTTCACTTTGTTTCCATGTGGGCAACCAACACTGCTCACTGACCTGACCGTCCCTGCTCCACTGCTCTGGAGAGACCCCTCGCAGGTAGCAAGTGCTCACCGATGCCGGGTCTGTTCTGGCCTCTGCCCTGCCTCGTTCTTCTGTCTAATATATCTATCTGTCTTTCTGCAGTTTATACATATGTTTCTGTGTATATATTATTCACTCATCTATTCTATAAATGCCTCTGCAGTGAACATCCTCTTAGATACGTCTTTGAGGTTGTGAATACTAAGAGGACCTACTCTGTGTCCTCTGCCCACAACGGGTTCCCCTCTGCTCTTGACTAACTCCCGTTTGTTCTTCACAACCTCTCAGGTGTCCCTCCTTCCAATACAGCATGTGCCTACTCCCCAGGCAGAGTTGGTCCCTTCTTTCCCTGTGTTTTCACATCCTGGGAGTTCGTCATTGCCGCACAGGTCACATCCTGCGGTGGCGGCTTCCTCATCTCCTTGGTGGAGCAGCAGCGTTAGGGCACAGGTTTGTGTCCTACTTATCTTTGTGCTTGGTGACCTAGGGGCCCCAGCAATCCAGCAGGTCCTCAAGTGACTTCTGTTCAGTGTCGTTTCCTTATGACCTTGAGGTGCTGCAGACACTTAACCTTTATTTATGTCAACTAGTGTAAAGCTGGTTCTGTTTTACATCATTCCGCTTACATTTGCAGAACCTACTGATGAGGTTAGGGACTTACTGCGCCGATGAATGGACTAACACAGGGGTGGAGGAATGAATGAATTCCAGCCAGCACTCAGAAGAGAGCTGTCTCTCTCCTGGCCTCCCGATCCTGTTAGTTAACTGTGTCCTTGTACAATCATTTACAACTTTTGTCTTTAGGTCCCAGAGTTTATAACTTTTAAAAAAATGTTCCTCTTCAGAACTGTACTTGTAATTTGGATATTGCTGCTAATAAACTGAAAAGATGGGAAATGTGGGACAAAACCAAAGAAAGAAAGAAACTGAGACATCAACGGCACAAGGAAAGAGAGTGTTAGTTGAATCATACTGACCTGTAATTGGTTTGGGTGGTTTGATCTTTATTATGTGAACTGGAAAACTCAACTTAACGTCTCCTTTAAAACAAATGTTTATATCCTACAATAAGGAAAAGACACAGCTAATAAGACAACAAAGGAGATAGAACAGAATCATTCATAACGCTCATTTCGAGGAGGGCAGGAAGAGAGGGTCAAGGGAGGAGCACAGGTGAGAGAGACAACAGTGAGTGCCTAGCAAAGTGGTGACTTAAACCCAAACATGTCAGTAATCACACTAAATATAAACGGCCTAAACACCCCAATTAAAAGATAGAGTTTGTCAGCGTGTATAAAAAGGCAGGACCCAAGTATATGCTGTCAAAAATAAACTAATTTTAAATGTAAAGACACAAATATATTAAGAGTAAAAGTATAGAAAAAGATATACCTTGTAAAACTAATCAGAACAAAGCTGGGTGACTCTATTAATATCTGACATTATAGACGCCCAACCAACTGAGCCACACAATAGATTTTAAAGGCATACTCGTTAATATTGTTGTTGGTTAAAAATAACAATAAGTGGCCCTGGCCAGTTTGGCTCAGCGGTTAGAGCATCGGCCTGTGGTCCAGAGAGACCCAGGTTCAGTTCCCGCTAAGGGCACGTACCTCAGTTGCAGTTTGTCCCTGGCCCTGGTTGGGTTGTGTGGGTGGCAGCCACTCGATGTGTCCCTTTCACATCGATGTTTCTCTCTCTCCCTCCCACTCTATCTGAACAAAAATGGAAAAATGTCCTCAGAGGAGGATTAAAAAAATAAATAACAGTAAGTGCACATTGTATAGAAGAGCAGATCGTCTTAAAACAATATTTACTAAGGACCTAACTATGTGTTAAAGACATGGCACAAGGCCCAGGGATCACATAAAATTAAACTGAAATGGTAGAGTCCCTACCTTCTAAGACCAATATGAAACGACATGCATTTCTGAATACTGAGAACAACCTCCTCAAACCACAGTCTGGGAGGTTTCAGGGAATGCAAAGCATGAGAGGGTTATCTAAGCCTTGAGGGGAAGAGAAATTACCTAGGAGGCGGGGTGAAAGGCCTGGGAGCCCTTGGTAAGAGGTGACTCCCAGACAAGGGACAGAGTGAGTCTGCGGCCGAGGACACTCTGACTCTAACCAAAGCGGACCGACTTGGGAGACATGGGCCAGTGGGCCTGTCACCCCTCTTCCAGCCTCCAGAGGCCCCACTCGTCTTGAAGGCCAAGGAGGGCTTCGGGTAGACATGGCGCAGGGAGGGAGAAACCCGGCAGATAAAAACATCTTTCCTACCAGTTGCGGCTGCCTGACTTTTTTCTTTGGATTCATAGCGACTTGAGGGTGCTCCAGTTCCTTGAGCCAAGACTCCTTGGGCAATTTATACACATCCAGCCAAGTATCTCCAGCTCCTGCATTGGGAAACAAGGGACCATTGAGCAATGGCAGGCGGGCGCCAAGTGTCCTCTGAGAAACAGCCTTTCTGCTCAGAACCCCTGACACGGAGACCAGCAGACACCCCTGCACAGCAGGGGCCTCACTCCTGGACACCTTGCTCCTGCCCTGACGCCACGGCACCTGCACTGACCTAAGTTTCTGACCAGGCTCTGCCGGGCCCGGGCCGCAGATGTGCCGGGTTCCACATGGCAGTTCCACTAACACTGTCTCACAGTGACTCCTGTAGAGTCAGTCACTGAGAGAAGGGGTGAGAACTGGGAGAGATGCCCCCAGAGGACTCTTCTGACCAGTGTTTGAGATGACGACCCAGGAGGGGCTGTGGGACTTTTTCTCCTCATAGAAAAGTGCTCAGCTTCCATACCAGATACCCGTGGGATGGGTTCCTGGCTAAAAGATTCCTTAAAAAAGTGGTCATCTGGTCACTTGGCCTCTAGTACTTCGAGAAAAGGCTGGTCTATGGCTTGAAGCCACCCAGCGTGGCGCTTCGTTTTGGCAGCCCTGGGAAACGGCTACAGAATAAAAGTCTCCTTTGATGCAGAAAGCATCATAAACACACATCTTCCCCAAGCACTTGACACGTGAGGGACCCAGGCAAGAACACAAATAGAGGCCCATACACCATACGTGTAAATATTTAAAAGTTAAAAATCAAGGTAACAACCCATTAAAAAAAAGAGTTCCTTCACCACAGTAGTCATTGCAACAGACAAGATCCAGTGATGAAGGCTGAACTTGGTGGGCAAAGCTTTAAGGAGAAACAGGATATTTACAGTGTCAAAGTACCTCCCCGGGTGTTTATCGATCACTGTGGTGGTGTCCCCCCAGTCTCCCTCCCGAAAAGCCCAAAGTTCTTTGATCCTGCCACCTCCAGGAGGCGGTGTTTAAATCCTCCTCCCTTCAGTGTGGTCTGGGCTTGGTGACTTGTTCTAACAGATTCTGGACGGGGGAAAACGGTGGCTCAGCAGTGGAGGAATCTGGCAGACTCCGCGTTAGGTGTCAAGGTTAACAGCGGAGTAGCGAGTCCCGTTGCTGTCACAACCCCGATACAGTGCCGGGAGGAGAGCCCTTCACCTCTGTGTATCTTCCCCCAAAATCCTTTACCCCAGAGGAGTCATGAGAAATATTAAGATAGACTGAAATTGAGGAGCATTAGTGCAAAATATCTGACTGGTACTCTTCAGAAGGGGCAAGGTCACGAGAAACAAGGGAAGACCCAGGCACTGCCACAGTTAGGAGGAGACGAAGGAGACATGTCTAACTGCAATACGGTGTCCTGGACTGAACCTTGGAGCAAAAAGTTACATTAGTGGGAAAACTGGTGAGGTCTGGGGGGACAGTCTTAGTTAGCAGCCTTGTATCAATGTTATGTGCTTCAGTTTGACAAGTGCACCGGGGTGATGTTGAATGCTGGTACTGGGGACGCTGGGGAAGGGTACAGGGGGACTCTGTACTGTCTTTACAACCCTTCTGAAAAGTACTTCTAACTAAGAGGCTTGAAACAAAAGTGATTATCTGGAAGAGACTGCGCAGCGGGACCTTCTTAACAGCCCCTGGTGAGTCTTGCCTTGTAGGAGGAAGGCTGCGAAGTCCCCTCCGTGCGAGACCTCCGTCTTGACACAGGTGGTTTGCTTGGCTGTATCGTCCTGAAAAGAAGAGAAGGATGCGTGTCAGGGCTGGGTGGTTCTCGCCCTGTTTCACCTAAATCCTTTCGAAGCCCGGGCATGAAAAGATGCCTTTTTGTGGATATGTGTTTTTGGGGTTTTTTTAAACCTGTGTTCTTTTTTTCCTTTATTGATTTTAGACAGAGAGAGAAGTGAGAGGGAGAGATAGAAACATCTATTGGCCGCCTCCTGCACGCCCCCTATTGGGGATCAGGCCCACAGCCTGGGCAAGGCCCTGACCAGGAATCGAACTGGTGACCTCTTGGTGCATGGGTCAATGTTCAACCACTGAGCCACACCAGCTGGGCGCATGTTTAACGTTTTTAAAAACTGCCAAGTTGTCAGAGCCTTGCACTTTGCCACCAGCAGTGCACGAGAGTCCTAGTGGTTCCACGGTCAGTCTCTAAATTTAGGCCTCTGGTTCCCTCGCAGTGACAGGTCGTGATTTTGATTTGCGTTTCCTTAATGACTGCGATCTTGAACATCTTATTTGCCTTCCATATATATTCTTTGGTGAACTGCCCTTTCTTTGCAAGTCCTCTGCTCATTTTAAAAATTGGGTTGCCTCCTTATTTTTGAGTTTTGCTTGTTCTTTACTTGTCTGGACACAAGTCCTATATCAGATATATGATGTGACTTGCAATTATTTTCTCCCCGTCTATGGCATGGTTTTTTTTTTTTTTGTTTTGTTTTTTAATCCTCACCCGAGGACATTTTTCCATTTTTTGTACAGACAGAGTGGGAGGGAGAGAGAGGAAGAGAGAGAGAGGGAAACATCGATGTGAAAGGGACACATCGAGTGGCTGCCACCCGCACGACCAACCAGGGCCGGGGACAAACTGCAACCGAGGTACGTGCCCTTAGCGGGAACCGAACCCGGGTCTCTCGGGACCACAGGCCGATGCTCTAACCGCTGAGCCAAACTGGCCAGGGCTATGGCATGTCTTTTTATTCTTTTTATGGTGCCTTTTGCAGAACAGAAGTTTTTGATTTTGATGACATTCAGCTTATCAATTTTTTTCCTTGTATGGATCGTGCTTTTGGTGTTGTAGCTAAAAAATATGCCTAACCCAAGGTCAGAAAGACTTTCTCCCATGTCTTCTAGAAGTTGTATAGTTTTAGATTTTACACATAGATGTATGACCCATTTTGAGTTAATTTTTGTATATGGTGTGAGGAATGAGTTTTTAACATCGACAAAATCCAATATCACTTTTTTCTTTTGTGGTTAGTGCTTTATATGTCCAAAAAGATCTTTGCCTGCCCCAAGGTTGCAAAAAATATTTTCTTGTGTTTTCTTCAGGAAGGGTAATGTTTTTAGCCTTTACATTTAGGTCTGCAATCCATCTCAAGTTAATTTTTATCTGTGGTGTGAAACAGGGCTGAGGTTCATTCCACCTGTCCCCACCCCCCCATTTCTTTAGCCAGCATCATGTATTGAACATATCCTTTTCCCACTTAATTGTTTTGGGGCCCACCAGTAACATTTATTACAAGACAAACTGCAATTAGAAATCCACCTTGAGCAATGCCTTCTCTTTTTTGGATTCATTAACTAAAAAAAAAAAAAAAGATGCCACATCCTGAGAACCTACAGAAATAAGTAATATACAGGCAGTGTGCTAGGGACAAGGGGTACACGGCCGAGTAAGACGCGTCCCTGCCCACAGGGAACGTGCGGTCCACAGCAGAGGCCGTCCTGTAAACAAATAAGTGTGCTGGTGGAGAAAACCCGGGGTGGAGACTCTGTTCTGTATGGTGGTGGCACGGACGAGGGAGAGAGCCGGGAAAGGGTGTCAGAGAAGCAGATGTCTAAGCTGGTCTGGAGGCTGGGAGGAATGTGACATGTTAGGGACTTGTAAGTGGTTATTAGATCTGTTGGTCCAGTGTTGAACCTGGACTGGAGATTCTTAGTAATTTTCTTCTCTCATCCAAAGAGTAAATAAATGCACGGTGTTCAGCACATACCCTCTGACGGCCAAGGCATCTTGTCATTGGCTGGAGAAGGCTGTCTACCAGGGAGGTGTCCGTTTTTTACTATTCTGGGACAGCTGTCTTCGCCCCTGTCTTAAAAGTACACTTGATTCGCTACGGCGTGTGGCCCAGCTCTGGGAACTTACCACTTCATTGATGGTTTTGACGAGGAAAAGTCCATCTTTACAAAGGTAAAACAGTCTAACGATACCTGAGACGAAACAAGCGAGAATGTAAGACAGGCAAGTGAGCCCAAGGAGACCTGGAACTTTCTCTCGGATGTTCTGAAGTTGGCACCATCCGCTCATGCACACTTAGGGCTTCTCCGGGCCCCTCCACTGCCCCTGAGGGCCAGGGTCTCCCGGCTCCCCCACCCACACCATAAATGTTCAAGTGGTTCTGCCTCCTGGGCCTCTCTGCCCACCCTGGCCCTGTCCTCTTCTCCTGGGAGCCTCCATAGCCCGTCGGCCACACCATCCCCTCCTTGAATCCGTCCCGTGTTGGTCGTCATCCCATACTGCCTTGCAGTGTTATCCATCTCCTGCGGGTGTTTATTCCTCTAGTGAGTTCACAGATTCTTGAAAGGAAAGGGTCAGATCTCACCCTTCTAGGTGCCTCACCTCCCACCCCCAACAAACTCCTCATGCAGTTGACTTTGTTGATTTAATAAGTAATCTCTGTCGTTCTAATTCCCGTTCAACCTTGGGCTCCAGTACAGAATCCTCATCCCCCATGACTTCTTACCTCTTTCGTTGGGTGCCTCATCCCCCATGACTTCTTACCTCTTTCGTTGGGTGCCTCCCAGACACTCATAACCTGCCCCCCCCCCCAATACAGACCTCACAAAGGCAACCGGCTCACTGGGGGTGAAAGTCTAACTCAGCCCAGCACACACCCATGGGACACCTGCTCTCCGACCAGAAATGTGCTGGGAAGGCCCGGGTGGCCCCTGCCCGCCCTCAGATTTATCACACGGAGGGCCACACACACACGTGAAATTGACCAGACGCAGCAATGACCTCCTCCCGAGTATCAACATCCCCACCCCCAGTGCAAATGGAGCTGTTCAGCTCTCAGAGCCCTGCGGCCTTATTCTCCTGCAGCGGCTACAAGGAAAGGCTCTGTCATCTCCCTGTTATCTAAGGTGGATCGCAGTCATCCTCTCCACTTCCCCCTCACCTACCCCCTACCCCCTACGCACACTCCACCACTCACCAAGCTTTTCCATGTCATTTTCCTTGTCATTTTTAAAGCTTTTTATTCTGAACAAATATTAACCTTAGAGAAAACTTGCAAAAACAGTATAAAGAATTCCCTGGTGTCCCTCACCTCCCTTCCCCAATGTTAACATCTTACATAACCACAGCCAAGTTTTCCTTGTCATTGGAATGGCCCCTGCTCTGATCCAGACCTTCATCATTTCTCTCCTCAGTGAATGCAATGGTTCTCCTAGTCTCTCTGCCCCTTGTTGGACTTTGCTAACTCCTACCAGCGTGCCCTTCCTAACATGTCAATCAGGTCAGGTCACTGTCCTGCAGAGACGGTGTCCTCCGGGACACTGTGTCTAGTTCTCTATACTGTGGGCCCCGTGAGGGCCTCGTGTTGCCTCAGGATGAGGGGGAAAAGCAAGCCCTGGTTTATGTGAGTAGCAGGATTGCTGAGTGCCCCCAAGGTGTGGACTCTGGGGCCACGCTGCCTGGTGGGAATCCTGCCTGCGGTGTACTTCCTATGTTCCCTCAAGTTAGTAATTTAACCTCCGCGCCTCAGTTGCCTCTTCTGAAAAACAGGGATAAAAAAATTATACTGACCTCCTAGACTGTAGTGCGGGTTAAATGGGACAAACATGTGAAATGTGGGAAGAGTGCCTGGCAGACTGTTCCTTGCTACTACAGGACCCGGGAGGACCTGCCTGGCCCCGCCCACACCTGGGGAGGAAATGGCACTGAACAACAGTCTACAGTACACTTGAGTTAGGGTAAAAGGAAAGTGAAGAACAAGTACCCATCTCATCCAACGGAACAATGAGTATTTCGCTCCCCAAATCTGTGGCCCAGATGGACGTGACCTCAGCCTTGATTTTATCACAAACATATATTAGTTTAGCATCATACAGATTATAGATGGAGAATCCTTTGGCTCCTGCAATAAACACGTAGTCTTGGGAAATGGCCATACATTTTGGCATTTCGCTGAACTGGGAAAACAGAGAACAAAGGAAAAAGGAATATTTTTAGCTGTCATCGCCTGCGAGTAATATAAGTTAACATTCCAAAGAGGGCGTGGGCCCTTCCTAGATATGATACCATCCCCAAACACAGGGCTCATCTAAATATCTTGCCCACGTATCAAGAAGTCACAGCACTCCATTTTTAGGAGAAAAAGGCCAGAAAAAACAACAACACAGAAGTGGAGAGTAAATGTGTATTCACTACTCTAAGCATGGCCGTGAGCCCTGTGATGAGCGGACAAGTGGCCCCATTCCCTGTACTTCATTCATCTATAACTCCATGCAAAGAACTACAGCTGAGACACTGGCAGGTTCTCAGCCATTAAGCCAGGGAGTGATTACTACATTCAGAAAGATTAAAAAATACCAAGAGCTGAACAGAAAAGATCTTCTGTGTAATCTGCCATTAGCCAGAACAGCCATTGCCCGGGACGACTAGATCCATTTCAGTAAACAATGGCATGCCTAAAGTCTTTAAAAAATGCAGCTCTTACTGAGTGAAGTTCCTGGGAGGAAATCCTCCCCTGGATTCGGTGTTTTCATGTTTTAACACTCAACTGAGAAAGAGGGATTCCTGCTCCATACCTTGCTTTCGAAAACTGGAGGGTAGATGGTGGGCTGGATCCGGCTGACCTCCGCCTCCCTCAGCCTGTCCCTCTCCTCAATAACTTCCCACGACCTGTCAAACAGAAGGTTCACCAGCTTGTTGATCATTCGATAAGGCTGAGGCAGGGAATCCAGCTCCTGGTCTGGGTCCTTGAAGACATAATCCTCTTCATCCTTGGACCAGTCCTTCTCTGTTGGGGACGGCACCTCCAGCCGTTCCTTGTGTGTAAAAATGGGCAGTCTCATCTTTTGGGCTCGACTTCCGTCGGGGGACGACATCATGGAAGGTGGCACTGGGAACGGCTATGACACTCAGAAGCGCTGATGAAGGAAGCAAAGGTGCTCTGAGAAAATAGGGAAGTTAAACAGTAGATCCTCTTCTCTAGCACAACAGTCTATGGGGTCTATTTATTCTAGACTCTAGTCTAGAGACTGGCACTTTCCATATTTATTACGAAATTGTTACCACCTTACTAAAATACTCTCTTTGTGTTAGTAAGGACATCAGCAGAGACAGGTATTGACTATTTGCATCTTCCAGGCCAGCCCAAGATGAGGTGTGCCAGGGTGGACACACAGGAATCCAGCATCCTTGTTGCCTTTCTTCACCTCCTGATGAGGGACAGGCTGTCTTTCTGTCCCGAAGAGAATTCATCCTCTCTCCCACAACTCGTGCCTTCTCCTGGTTTTTCCATCTCCACAAATGGCTCTGCTCAAGCCAGCTGGGTACTGAGCCATGACTTCCCCTTCTCCTGTCCCTCACCGCCAGCCAGAGGCATTTCAAGTACTTCCAATAACTGCTGTCTAATTTGTGTTGTGCTTACCTATACTTGTGTCCCTCATTAATCTATTCCTGAGGCCCAGAGCTTAGCACAGTGATGGGTACATGGCCAGCACTCAACAAGTTTTTTCTTGCAGTATTGTCCTCCCTGGGATATGAACTTGGAGAATACTTCTTCCAGGCACTTTCCTGTGCAAAGGGCTAGGAAATTTGTGGGGCCAAGAGGATATACCACCCCAAAGTCTAGATGGCTCTTTCTGGAGTCTTGACTATGTTCAGGGAACCTATACCCCTGAAATGTACTGCTCAAATGATGCTTTCAAGAGTCTCTTTCCCAGCTTTTCTCTCATCTGCTAATGTGTGCACCCCAAGACCTGAAAGGTGACCAAGGCATGGCTGTTTGCAGGGATATGGGCAGAACTTGGGCGTGGCTTATATACATGTATACACTGTATGCAAGGCCCCTCTAAGTGATGTGGGTGGGACCCAGAAGAGAAGGGGGTGGGAAAGGCCGGGGCCAGCTCTCCCCATAATACAGTATTCTGGGCGATCTCACTTTGTAATTACAGGGGGTACATTTTATAAAATTGCTGCTATGGCCCTGGCTGGGTAGGTCAGTTGGTTAGAGCATCCTCCAGACATGCCAAGGTTGCGGGTTTGATCCCTGGGCAGGGCACATACAAGAGTCAACCAGTGAATGCATAAATAAGTGGAACAACGGGTCAATGTTTCTCTCTCTCTCTCTTTCCCTTCCTCTCTCTAAAATCAATAATTTTTTTAAAAATGTTTTAAATTGCTGCTATCCCCTGGCTGGTGTTCTCAGTGGTTAGAGCGCTGGCCCATGCACTGAAGGGTCACGGGTTCCATTCCTGGTCACCGGCACGTACCTGGGTTGCAGGTTCAATCTGGCCCTGGTCCGGGCACTTTCAGGAGGCAACCAATCGATGTGTCTCTCATCAGTATTTCTCACTCTCTCTCTCTCCCCCCTCCCTCCCTTCCACTCTCTAAAAATCAGTGGAAAAAATATCCTCGTGTGAGGATTAACATAAAAAAATTGCTGCTACGGAATGGATGGAGTCCCATGTCTTCAAGCCCCACAGGGGGCACGTTCGGTGCCCTTTCACTGGAATATTTTTGCCCCCTTTGTTCATGTAACCCCTGTAGGATTTCGTCAGGACCCATCTTCAGTTAGCGTTCCTAATGCTGAAAAGCATGCCCCCACTTCACCCGGCCCTCATGCTACAAATCCACTCCTGGAACTGGCGCATCTCTGCGCATGTGCTCCCCCAGACCTGGCGCTGGCGTCGCTTCAGGGAGACCGAGACGCAGATGTGCGAAATGATGGGGTCCTGCAGTCCCCGAACAGAAGCTCAGGGGAGTCTCCATTCGGGATCCCACCTGGGGTTCCTGGGCCTCGGGATCCGCCTGAGCCCGGGAGACAGGCCCCCTCGGAGCCCCTGGGCGTGGGGCAGTCCAAGTGCACGCGGGGGGCCGCTGCACCGCACAGCCGAAGCCGGGGTTTCGCTCACCTGGCCGGCGGCTTGGCGTCGCCTTAGTAACCACAACTTCCGGTCCAGACCGGAAGCCCGGGGAGTCGCTCTTCCGGACCGGGTCCGGCGCAGCGGGCGGGGGAGCCGTCCTGCCCGGCGGCCCGAGGCAGGTCCTCCCGCGGGGACGCGCGACCCCCGAGGACTCGTGGCCGAGCCGGCGCCTCGCGTGGCCGTGGGCTGGGGCCATGGAGGCCTTCACCCGCTTCACCAACCAGACCCAGGGCCGGGACCGGCTCTTCAGGTGAGGCGCGTGCGGCGACCCCCGCTCCCCTGCGCCGACCCCGTCCCGCAGGCGGGCGAAGCCGCGGCTCCGGGGCGGCGCGGGGCCCGCCCCCCGCCCCCCGCCCGAGCCCTCACCCAGGCCGCGAGCCCCTTCCCGGACCTCCGAGCACTGGCTTTTAAGAGAAACTCGGGGTCACCTTTGGGGCCAGGGCACCGACCCCTCGCTGTGGCCTCACGCCGCGCGCGAAGCGCCTACGGAGAGACGGAAACTCGCCCTGTTGGTGGCCTGCGTGTCGCCCCGCCTGCCTCGGGGGAGGTTTTGTCAAGGAGCCAGCCCCCCGAGGCACCTGCAGCCCCCCGAGGCAGACACGTGGCTTTCCTGCCCATTCGCCCCGGGTGCGCTTTTAGAACTTTGGTTGATTCTTGCGCCTTCGTGATAATAATTTAAAACACACACACGCACGAGTGATAGTTGCAGTTTGATTTAACTACCGAGCCAAACCCCCGTTCTCGTTCATTTGAAAGATTTAAAAAAAAAAAAAAAAGGTTGCGTTATGTACACACTTCATTCGAATGGAAGCCTCCAGGCAGCGGACTCAGACGGGACCCTGCGGGGTCATCAGTGAGGCCGGTTAGTAAAATAATTCTTCAGGATATACTTAACTCAGCAAGACCTGAAATCGCCCCCCTTCAATTCCCAGTCCTCTCGGTGAACTGCAGCTTCTGTGGACGAACCTTAAAACAATGCCCCGTTTGGGGGGCGCATTCCTACTAGTAGACCAAATCTGAGACAGGGACCAGCTGGAGCCCTCTAACAACAAAAATTACTGGAAGCATACATTAAGGGGGAAGGTGTGATTTTTATTTTTATTTTTTTACTTTAGCCCCCAATAACAAGTTCACCATTTTTGGAAAATGTGCTACATTTTAATTGAGAGTGTCGGGGTTCGGAGCTGGTCACTCCAAGATGCTCCTCTGCGATATGTGGATTATTCTGAGCCAAAGGCAACCAAGACGCCGGCGGGCTCAAGAGAAATTTCTTCCCTGCTCCATCGTAACGACCTAGAAGAATTTAAATTAGGGGCCTTGCCCATGATAAGAGTTGTCACCAGAAATAACTGTTCATGGCCTATCAGCAGGACAGGGCAAACTTGTCATTATTGAGCACCCGTGCATCTTTTTTTTGTTGTTGTTGTTGTATCCTCACCCGAGGACATTTTTCCATTTTTTACTCGGATAGAGTGGGAAGGAGAGAGAGGAAGAGAGAGAAACATCGAAGTGAAACATTGAGTGGCCGCCACCTGCAAGACCCAACCAGGGCCAGGGACGAACTGCAGCCAAGGCACATACCCTTTAGCGGGAACCGAACCCGGGTCTCTGTGGACCGCAGGCTGACGCTCTAACCGCTGAGCCAAACTGGCCAGGGCCATCCATGCATCTTGTCTTGCGAGTGACCTTCCTCCCCTTTGAAGCCCGGAGGCACCTTAGCTCAGAATGTAGGACATACCTCAGTTTCCCTTTCTGTGCCTGGACTTCTCATGTATGTGGGGATCCCATGTGAACATATGCAATTAAATTTGGTTATTGTCTCTTGTTAAACTGTCTCGTATACATTTAATTATTAGACCAGGCAAAAGAACCTCGAGGGTAGAGGAGAGTTTCTTCCTTTCCACAAGAGTAATATTTATAACATAAAGGGGTTCAAATGCAGTTACAGGACAGTTGAAAACAGGCACTTACTTTGTAAATAGACTGCCAAGTGCATTTAGATGTTCGATTATGGGATATAAAATTTCTCAGTTGTTATATTTCTGTTAGTAAGGCATTGTTATTTGTAGTCATGACAATGATCACTTTATTGAACATTTAGTATTATTAAACGGGTCTGTCTGTATTTTATATAAAATACTAATTAGCTTTGAAAGACAAATATGTAAACTGAGTTGTGTATTGGTGTGTGTGTGTGTTTGGTCCTTATAAAAAATGAAGCAGTGTTCAAACTGTAGACTTTTCATTGGGTTCTAGTATGAGTGTGGTGTCTCCTGACACATAAGTACTTGGTTAACTCTATGGCAAAAAGTTCATTTTAGAAATCTGCAGAGTCATTCTGCACGTGAGGAAATAAAGACTGTGGATCAGCAGAGAGCATGAGGGAGGTTTCTGGGCAGTTCACCACTGTGGCTCTATCCACTCCTCTGTGCCAGCAAGAGGCCAGGGAGGCGCTGCCCTCTGTATTATCGCGAGTTCTCCTTCATCACCTTTGTGTTGCGTTTCCCTCGCGTGTTCTAACCTTTGGCCCTGTGGGGTGACTATTGCAGAATTTTGCTCTTGTAAGAGCTCTTGCACGAGAAATTGTTTTGGAAACCTTGCCTTTAGCAAGACATGTTTCTCCTTCCCTTCATGAATCAAGTTTTATTTGGTTTGTAAATCATTCTCCTCTTTTTTTTTTTTTCCATTTCAGAGCCACTCAGTACACATGCATGTTGCTTAGATATTTGTTAGAGCCCAAAGCTGACAAAGAGGAGCTGGTAATGAAGCTCAAGAAACTGGAGTCCAGTGTGAGCACTGGCCGCAGATGTAAGTACCCTGTCTCTTGAGGGACAGTGGCTCCTGGTTTGGATCCTCACACTCGGGAATTCACAAAATATTTTCTAGATCATTCATTTCTAGTCAGTCAGGTTTGTGGGGGAAGTCGACTCCTCAGTCTGCCCTCATGGAATGACAAGCCAGAAAAGTTGACTATTGTGCTGCAGACCCCTCAGAAACACCTGCTATGTTCACATTTGGTGCTACGCCGTATCTTTCTGGTTAATCATAGCCCGTGGGACATACACTGTGTTAGTTCCCCTGTAGGTCTTAGAATCACAGTGTGTTTTGGCAATCCCTGGCAGGAGCTCCCAACTCCTGGGGGCCCTTTGTATTCTCTAGGAGAACAGAACAGCTGTGTCCTGGACCCCTGCCTTTCCCCTTCTCCTCTAGAGAGATTGCCAGAGGAAATGGACCATCTGTGGCATGGTTTCATGTTAAAGGCAAAAAGCAAAGCCAGTGTTTTATGCTGCTTTAATTCACTTGACTAATAAGGCATACTGGGAAGTCGCGTACTTCCAGTAATAGCCAGTGCCCGACTCCTAGTCGTTTGAGGAGAACCAGGTGTTGCTACAGCAGGTAAGCAGAGGCATGAGAGGGAACGTAGAAATCAGATGTGCAGTTATTTGTGAGCACCTACTTCACAGAGGCACAGTCCCGAGCTTTGTGGGAGAACTGAGATCACATGGTATAAACAGTGATACTAGAGTTAGAGCCAGATGTGTCAGTAGAGGAAAAGAAAGGTGTTCTGGAGGAGGTGGAACTTGAGGTGTGGCTTGCGAGAGGCGGAAGGGGAGTGTTCTTGAAGGGTGGTTTCCTCCAGTGAAGGATCAGAACTGTTGTCAGCAAACACTTGTGTTGGAGGATAAGTGAGAAGACTAGTTTGACAGGAGAAGACATAAGTTGTCATGCAGGATGGGAAGGGTGTGGCGAGCTTTTCTGGAAGGCTTTAAAGACCGAGAATAGCCCTGGCCAGTTTGGCTCAGCGGTTAGAGCATTGGCCTGCGGTCCGGAGAGACCCGGGTTCGGTTCCCGCTAAGGGCACGTACTTCGGTTGCAGTTTGTCCCCGGCCCTGGTTGGTCGTGCGGGTGGCAGCCACTCGATGTGTCTCTCCACATCGATGTTTCTCTCTCTCTCTCTCCCTTCCTCTCTCTCCCTCCCACTCTATCTGTACAAAAAATGGAAAAATATCCTCAGGTGAGGATTAAAAAAAAATAAAAATAAAGACCGAGAATAGAAGTTCTCAGATTTCTTTAGAATGTTGGAGCTCAAAGGTCCTTCAGAGGTCACCAGTCTCCGAAATCCAGAAAGGACTTACCCAGGGTCCCTCAGTCAACGCAAGAGTCAGAACTGGAACCCAGGATCATTCATTCCATATTGTGTTTTGTGTTATTTTTGATAAAATAATACCCAACATTCTTCTGAGACTATAAGTTTCCTGAGGGTAGCTACTTCAAAGTGTTTGCTGAGTCTAAGATATAGTTCTTTAAGGAAAGTACTTATTTTATATCATCCATAATGTTTAGGACTGTAACTCATTCTGAGTATTTGACTGATATGTAAATATTTGATTGATACATTCTAATTAATTGAATTACGTGCTCAGATAAGGACATGCCTTGCAGTGATTGACTTAATTCGGCTAGGAGTCACATAGGACAATATCATTAGTTGTCCTGTCCACTAAATACTGCCATCTTCACTTATTTACTTTGTCTTCTTGACAGTACGAACCAGAGGAGGTTTGGACCAGAGAAATGGCAAATTGATAATGGTGTTTCTTTTAAAGCAATCTTATGTCTGGAAAGTAAATAAAATGTAAGGCATCAGACTCTCCAAAAGAATGTTGCATCTGGAGTCCACGTTGTCGCAGTGCCTTGCTTGTAAAGGAGTGTAGGCCCGTGACAGTCAAACGTGATGGTGCGCACTTGTGACCGACCTGGCCTGAGGTGTGCGGTAAGGCCAGTCAAGTTAACGAGCCACTGTCTGTGCCTTCCAGGATCATTTTAGGTGTCAAACACACTGTGAAGTCCTTCTTCCCCGAGCAAGGACTGAGCCTCAAATGAAAGTCTGTTGTTAAAGACCAGAGCAGGCCTCTCCCCCGAGACGGGGCCCTGCACACTCGTTAAATAACCGTTCACTATTATGGGTTTTTCCTGCAGGGTTCAGACTAGGCAATGTGGTTCACGCTATGCAGGCCACTCAGCAGAGCATTCACGCCACGGACCTGGTGCCCCGCTTGTGCCTAACGCTCGCCAACCTGAACCGTGTGGTGTATTTTGTCTGTGACACCGTCCTCTGGGTGAGGAGTGTAGGGCTCGCCTCCGGCATTAACAAAGAGAGATGGCGAATGTGGGCCGCACGCCATTACTACTATTCTCTCCTGCTGAGCCTGGTCAGGGATCTGTATGAAATCTCCCTGCAGATGAAACAGGTCGCACAGGACAGGGCAGCGAGGGAGAAGTCGTCATCCCAGGATCCTCTGGGGTACAGCGTGGCTGACGAGGAAACAGAATGGCTCCAGTCCTTTCTGCTGCTCTTGTTCCGATCTCTGAGGAAGCACCCCCCCTTGCTCCTGGACACGGTGAAGAACCTCTGTGACATCCTGAATCCTCTGGATCAGTTGGGGATCTATAAGTCCAACCCCGGCATCATTGGGCTTGGAGGTCTCGTGTCCTCTGTAGCAGGCATCATCACTGTGGCCTGGCCTGACCTGAGGCTGAAGACTCACACCTCTTAGTGGAGCGGGCATTTGCGTCGGGCACAGACGTGTTCACTGTGCCGAAGACTTGTTCACGAGAGCAGTTAGTGTCCTGGCATGTGCGCAGAGGTCGCGCCAAGGATGGAGAAAGGAGAACATGAAGATTTATATATGGTTTTTGGAGTGCTGGGATGACTGAATTTCTGAGGTTTTCCCTTCATCTGACATTCACTGGGCCTCTCTTAGGCACATAGTAGGAACTTAGTAATTGCTGAATGAATAAAAATTGAAAGAAAAAAAATGTAAAGGCCCAAACTAACAAGTAAATACTAATCAGTAACTTGTGGGCTATGAGCCTCACTGCTTTTGCACCACTACAGCAGGTCTGATTCCCAGCCCTCGGCTCCAGTCGAGGCCCCTTCCATAGAGGCCATGCCAGGGTGGGGGGAGCTGGGCTTATAGCCTCTTAAATTGCTCGCCTTGACGTCACTGACTCCTGTTTTTCCTCTGTCCGGAAGTAGAATCAGAAACGCACCAGGCACCTTAAAGGTATGAATTGTGTCTTTAGGTAGTGCAGTGAGTAAGCAAAAGAATCAGAAGCAGGTAGAAAGCAGGAGGTTAATAAGAATGTGGAAGGTCACAATGGATACCTGTAGGTAGCCTGTGACAGGTGAGGTTTAAAAAAGCCGAGACCAGCCCTGGCCAGTTTGGCTCAGTGGTTAGAGCGTCAGCTCGCAGTCCAGAGAGTCCCGGGTTCAGTTCCCTCTAAGGGCATGTACCTCGGTTGCAGATTGTCCTCGGCCCCAGTTGGGGTTGTGCAGGAGGCAGCCACTCGATGTGTCCCTTTCATGTCGATGTTTCTCTCTCTCTCTCTCCCTCCCACTCTATCTGAACAAAAATGGAAAAATGTCCTGGGGTGAGGGTAAAAAAAAACAGCCGAGACCAGACCTCATTCCTCTGACCCTCAGTCCAGCGTTCCTTCCGTGATAGTTCACTGCCTTTCTGGAAGAGTGAGAGTGGGAGACGCCAAAATCTGAGTTTTCTACAAAAATTAGAACTTATTTAGACTTAGCTAGATTGTTTTTATTTAAAGCCACACGACAGTTTGGGCAGTTCCACATTAATTTGCATAAAAATGTATGCAGTTAAGTTTCACAGATACTCTGAGTAAAGGAGGGTTGCAACTTTCCATGTCAGACTTCAGATGTGTAGGGTGGTTGGGGAGGTGGACAGAGCTGTAGGGGCCAGTGAAGGGGACATTTGAATGCTGAGTGGGGGTCCTTTACTCATGTTCCTACTTCCCATCTTGGGTGTTGGGTTCTTACCGGTGGTCATCGGTCCTCTAATTTGAGGGAAGTGAGGTAAAGAAATAAGAGGTCTCATCAGCCCTACCAGGAAAACCATCGTTTATCTGAGTGGAAATGAGAAAAGAAATGTGCACTAAATACATTTCCCATAAATGTGATTGAGCTTTTCAAAAAGTAGACTCAGGTCCTTGGCTCTTTATTTTTAAAGTGATCAATCAAGATACAGGATTGGATAAAGAACATTTTGGGGAATTTTAAGAGAAACAAAAGCTGCTAAATCAGGGCAAATAAATAAAAAGTTCAACTTTTTACTTTATCCAGATCCTCTACTGTAATAGATTAATTATGTCTAATTAAATTTCTAGACAAAGCTGACGCGTGTATCTGTGCATGTGTTCTGGGAAGGGAGGCGGTCCAGAGACGACCCTAAGCAGAGCCTGCACAGTGGGTAGAATGAGCTGGTGGATGAACTCTCGCCCGAAAGACCCCAGCTGCGGAGGAGGATGAAGAGGGAGTGAGATGTAGAGCACCTGGGTGGAAAGAGGCCTCTGAGATGATCTCGTCCAGGCTGCTGCCCAGGAGAGGGTCCTCTGTACCAGCCTGTCAGTGGGGTTTGTCTTCTGGAGGCAGTTAGGGTGGTGTCCGCGGTGGTACTTTAGTCCTCTCCATGTCCGGGAGGATGGCGAGAGTTTGGGGAACGTCCCTCTTCTAGAATTAACGAAAACCTAGAATTTGGTACCTCCCTCCCTTGCATCTTTCTCCTCTTTAACTAACACCCCTCACCTCGAGCCTCCACATTCATGAGTGATTCAAAAACCAAAGAGGTGCCCAGCTGGCGTGGCTCAGTGGACTGAGCATTGTCCCATGTACTGAGAAGTCCCAGTTCAATTCCCATTCGGGGAACATGACCGGGTTGCGGGCTCAATCCCCAGTAGGGGATGTGCAGGAGGCAGCCGATCTATGTATCTCTCTCCCTTCCTCTAAAAAAAAGCAATAAAAAATTAAAAAAAAAAAAAAAAGACATCCCTAATAGATGGACAAGCCAGCACACTCACAACTGAACCCATTGCCCAAGAACTAACTTGCTCAACAATGAGTGTCTGAGTGCCTTGCTTAGTTTTGGGATCCACTGTGCACAAGGTGACACGGTCCCGTGCTCCTGCGGCGATGGAGGGGTGTGGCAGGCACATGGGGATGGGGAAGGACAGATGGTCACTGTCCTTGAAGCTGCTGCTGGATAGCGGACCCTTCCTGAGGGACTCTCCCGGGCCCTTTCACCTCGCTCACCTCTCGCCCACATTCTGGCTCACAGCAGCAGCCGCCGCCAGAAAACCAGCTTTGAGGCACAGAGCCCTCTACTCCCTCTGGCCCACAGCCACTTCTCCAAGGGCTGAAACTGCCCTTTGCCCCAGGTTTGCTCTGCAGACACGGCCTCGTGGCTGATGCAGCCTGAGCCCTGCAGCGAGGGCCGAGGCCTCCTCTTTAGATACTTCCCTCCCTCTCCATCACTGTCTTTCATTTCTGAAGTCCAGGTTGGGTCCATAAGTGTTAACCGTGTCAGATACTACCTTGGGAGGCTCCTTGCTAGACACTCCCTTTCCTGACTTCTCAGTCCCTGCTGTTATGTCCCGGGTACTGACTTGATTGACAAGGATCTATTGTAAAGCTCAGTTTCCCCACCCCCCCACCCCTTTCCTCATTGCCCACAGCAGTCAACTTAGTCAACAATAGATGTAATTCTAGCAACAAGAGAAGTAAGTTCTGTTCTGCTCCTGCCCATTTTATTTTTTTATTTTTTATCCTCACCCGAGGACATTTTTCCATTTTTTTGTTCAGACAGAGCAGGAGGGAGAGAGAGGAAGAGAGAGAGAGAAACATCGACGTGAAAGGGACACATCGAGTGGCTGCCACCCACACAACCCAACCAGGGCCGGGGACAAACTGCAACCGAGGTACGTGCCCTTAGCGGGAACCGAACCCGGGTCTCCCTGGACCGCAGGCCGACGCTCTAACCGCTGAGCCAAACTGGCCAGGGCGCTCCTGCCCATTTTAATTAAAAGGCCCTTCTCAGTCTGGCCACTATGGCTCACCCCAGAGTCCTCCATCACCTGCAGCCAGGAACTGGACCTCGGGCTTAGCCTGACCCGTCACAAAGGAAGGGGTACGAGGTGACAGTTCTTGGTTGTTGATCAGTAACCGTATTTTGGTCAGTACACACTTTTCCAGACTTGACCAAATCCAGTTGGCTGTCCAGCTGCATCTTCTGGTGGCATCTCAGACCAGGTGGAGTTCAGTAAACTTCCTTGAAATCTAGGAATTTAACAGAGGTTGAAATTGCTCCCTCAAAGGCTAGACTGTCAGGGAGTCAAACCCAGCTCCGAGCAATCTGTCTGCATGTCCAGAGTGATCCGTCCTGGTGAACTCCCCTCCCGTGTGGGCTGAACACATACTGTCAGAATCCACTCCTGATGGTGATAATAAGGGATGGAGAAATGGGTGGAAAAGGAGCCAAAGGTTATAGAGCTTCCAAAGTTTGGAGTTTAATGACCTATATTCCAACACCTTCCTTCTGGAAAACAGGTTTTTGAGAATTGGGGACCAGAAACATGTTACAGAACTGAAACTTCATGGCTCTGGAGTAATAACTCCTCTGAGCCTGGTCTTCAGCTCTGCGATCTACCTCCCTCCTACTTGGCTAAATCCTGCAGAAGTTAGGATATGCCCGGGGGACCCTCAGTCAAATAACCATGACAACCGACTGACCAAGCTTTCTCTCCTCTGCCCTCCTCTATCTGGGAGGGGTTAGCATTGCCCAAGACTCTTCGGAGCAACTGGGATCGTTTCTGTTTCTGCTGGAGGAGACACTCGGCAGCCTGGGCTCTGGGAAGGAGGCAACATCAGCTAGAGTGAGTCGCGGGGCACCTGCCTTACCTGGTTGGTTTCTGAACCTTAAAGGAAAGAAGTTGAGGGTCAGGGTCTCCTGGGAATTTTACTGAGGATGGGCCAGGAAAATGACCAAGAGTGTCGAGTCGATAGTCTGGGGCCACTAGATTTTCTAGAACGCAGCCGAAATAGCTGATTTTGAAAGTGACGACTTTCTGGCTCAGTTGAGCATAGAGGGCAGGACTGGCAGATATGCTTGCTTTAAAGAGGGAAACTAGGCAGAACTTTTTTTTGTTTGTTTGGTGGTACGTACCCCTAGTGGGAACCGAACCCGGGACTCTCTGGTCCGCAGGCCGACGTTCAACTGCTGAGCCAAACTGGCCAGGGCAGAACTTTTTTTTTTTTAAAGAATTTTTTTTTTTCCTTTATTAATTTCTAGGCAGAGAGGAAGGGAGAGAGAGATAGAAACATCAATGAGAGACAGCATTGATTGGCCACCTTCTGCATGCCCCCCACTGGGGATCTGGCCCACAACGTGGGCATGTGCCCCAACTGGGAATCAAACCGGCGACTTCTTGGTTCATGAGTTGATGCTCAACCACTGAGCCACTCTGTCCGGGCTGAACTTTTCTTTTTTTTAAATATGTTTTTATTGAGTTTAGAGAGAGACATCGATCGGCTGCCTCCTGCATACCTCCTACTGGGGATCAAGCCTGAAATCCAGGTATGTGTTCTGACCAGGAATTGAACTAGTGACCTTTTGGTGCACCGGATGACACCCAAACAACTGAGCCATACCAGCTACGGCCAGAACTTTTTCATAAGAAAAAAGCAAGCCCTGGCCCGTTTGGCTCAGCAGTTAGAGCGTCGGCCCGTGGTCCAGAGAAACCCGGGTTCGGTTACCGCTAAGGGCATGTACCTTGTTTGCAGTTTGTCCCCAGTCCCGGTTGGGGTCATGTGGGTGGCAGCCAGTCAATGTGTCTTTCTCACATCGATGTTTCTCTCTCTCTCTTCCTCCCTCTCTCCCTCTCCCTCTATCTGAAGATGAATGTAAAAACTCAGGTGAGGATAAAAAAAAATGACTAAACCTGAAACCTACTCATTTAGTCTGTTCTGGTCCCTCATCTGAGAGCCCCTAAACGTCACCTAGAACCTCTTAACTCTTAAAGTGACCTTCATTTTTCAGTTCTACCCAGAATCCTTATCAGAAACATCAGTCTCGACAAGCAGGCTGTGGGCACCTCATACCTGTGGGACTCCCGGGAGTGGCTGCTTGTCTGTGACAGTCACCTGCCAACCTAATGCCTTCTTGAGCTCCCAGGCAGCCTGGGTCAGCTGGTGGCCATGGCAGGTAGGGACTGACCCTGTGCTGTGGAAGCTGAGGGTTTGCTGATGGACCCGGGGCCTTCTGCTTTGCAGCTTGAAGAGCTACGATGGCAGTCAACAAGGGCCCGACCTTGCTGGACGGAGACTGCCCTGTAAGTAACCAGGCTTCTGTGCGGTGGGGTGTGCAGTGGGCCAAGGGGGGAGCCCGGAGGGGAGGTTCAGGGGCCTTGGGACAAGATACTTCTCGAGGATATCGAAGCGAATTGACTGTTCCCACCCTCACTACATTTTGCAGGGGACTGACTGTTAGAAGATCGGGGGGAATGGGGGTGGGGTGATGCCTATTAAAAACCAAGGACTTTGGCCCTGGCCGATTTGGCTCAGTGGTTGGAGCATCGGCCTGCGGTCCGGAGAGACCTGGGTTCGGTTCCTGCTAAGGGGCACGTACCAAAAAAAAAACAAACAAAAAAAAAAACAAGGACTTTGGAGAAAAAGGACAGAAATACTGGCTGGTGGGGGAGGAGAAGGGAACTGCTGTTTTCTAAACAGAAGCCCGTGCTCTGTCCACCAGGCGGAGTGTCCACTCAGGACTGAGCCGCTGTGCACTGTAGCCCAGTTAGATGTGCCTGATAACCTGGCAAGGCCTGATTTAGACACAGGTCAGATAATGACACTAAAAAATGGTGAACCCGCCCTGGCCAGTTTGGCTCAGCGGTTAGAGCGTCGGCCTGCGGTCCGGAGAGACCCGGGTTCGGTTCCCGCTAAGGGCACGTACTTCGGTTGCAGTTTGTCCCTGGCCCTGGTTGGTCGTGCGGGTGGCAGCCACTCGATGTGTCCCTTCACGTCGATGTTTCTCTCTCTCTCTCCCTTCCTCTCTATCTGTACAAAAAAAAAAAGGAAAAATATCCTCGGGTGAGGATAAAAAAAAAAAAAAAATGGTGGACCCGCTCAGTACTCACCTTGTCCCAAATGAGCTTTAACTAACCTTTGCTGTAGGAATCACCATGGTAAGTTCTGTATTGAATCGGAGAACACACAGAGGCATAAAACGGTCAAGTGCACGGTTAAGCCATCCTAACGGGTGGTGGTCTGTGTTCCCAGGACCTCTCCCCTCTTTGGGTTGGCCTCAAACAACCCCTGAAGACTCTGACCAAAGCATCAAAGAAAATATTCTGTTTACAGTCACAACCTTTTTCTGGTTCAAATTTCAGTCTCACCTGCGTAAGCTAAAATAGTGTAGCCTGTCGTCTAGTGTACACGCACACTTCCTTGGTGGCCCCTCTGGTTCGGCCTCCCACCCACAGAAGAGGCAGAGTCCTGGCCTCCCGAGCAGAACCGTGTACCAGGGGCAAATGCAAAGCTATAGAGAGAGCGTGCACATCCGAGTCAGACCTGGGGACTCTTCTCCTTTTACTTTTTATGTGGAGAACTCTTAACATTCGTAAGAGTAGACTATAATACTCTCCACTCTCCCCAACATTTATTCCATAGCCAATCCTGCCTCATCCTCACCCCCACCCATTCCCCTACCTTGCATTATTTTGAAGCAAAACCCAGATATGCCATTTCAGGCCTGAGTCAGAATCCCAGCTCTGCCACTTACATGCTGTGTGATCTTGGGTAAGTCACTTCACGTCTCTGATTCTTTGTCTCCTCATCAGCAAAGTGGTCATGATAATGCTGACCTCAGAGGGTTGCTGTTAGAGCTAAATGAGGTTCCAGTGGCAACTGAGTAAATGGTGTTTGCCTCTGCGTGACCAAAATCTTCCTTCTTTTACTCAAAGACCGGTGTCTCCTTACTAAGATTCCTAGGTGACCTAAAGTTTAATTGTGTGACTGCTGCTCACGTTAAAATGCGTTAATGAGAGCACAGCACCCGGACAATGCGAAGTGACGATTTCACTGTGCCCACAGGACTACTGTCTCCGAGTGTGACTGCTCTATTTGTGGAAGGGCAATGCCAAACCGCAGCGTGTCCAGAGGAGGGGTCACCAGACCAGGGCTGGCGCTGCTGAGCCTGGGGAAGGGCCCGCCAGAGGGAGACACATAAAGAGCCAGCCAGTGGCTGATGAAATAGACGTGCTCGGTGCTGTGCCAGAGGGCGGGGTGGAGCGGAGGGTGGAGGTGGATTTCAGCTCAGCAGTGCTGTCCAGCATGGAGCACAGGCCACTCTGGGAGGACGAGCTCCATCCAGGGGGACGGCAGGGAGCATCCCGGCCCCCGGAGGCCGAAGCCGTGTGATTCTGTGCAGCAGGGCAGATCTGAGCGTACACCTACCAGGCGCAGCCCTGGCTGCGATTCGGGTATTCAACTGACATGGCTGTGCAGGCTTCAGGTGGGCACGGGGCAGAGATGAGAGTCTGCTGGGGGAGACAGGTCCGCACATGATCGCAGCCTCGTGAGGAGCGTGGAGGCAGCGGGGGAAGGAAGCAGTGGCTCCCGACGTGGGGGAGGAGTCAGGAAGCTTCACAGAGGTGATGCTCTAGCCGTGGCTAGAGGGAGTGACCTTTCACCCGAGAGCAGGGATTGGGGGGGCATTCCAGGCTGCAGGACCAGCAGGCACAGGCAGGCTGGTGGTGGCCCAGGAAGACGAGAGAAGTGTTTAGATAAACCAAGAAGCACAGACACTCTAGACAGGTGTGTTGCCACATTGCTCTGTACCTACCGGTTGGTGTCTGGGTGGGCTGGATGGCCTAGGGGTGGCGGCCTCAGCAGCCCTGTGAAGCTGGGTTGTCACCAGAAGAGCCCGGTGGTTGGCTCCTGTTTTCCTGTGGGGAGTCCAGAGACCGCTGTGGCCTGGCTTCCTGTTGGGTCCCTTGGAGCCAGGCTGGCCTCATGAATGGGCTCGGGGGCCCTGGGACCGGCTTCCTTGGAGGAGGGAGACCGAGGAGGGACAACCTGAACGCCCGTCTTCCTCCCGTGCCAGGAGCAGGAGAATGTGCTGCAGCGGGTCCTGCAGCTGCCCGTGGTGAGTGGCACCTGTGAGTGCGTCCAGAAGACCTACACCAGCACCAAGGAAGCCCACCCCCTGGTGGCCTCTGTGTGCAATGCCTACGAGAAGGGCGTGCAGGGCGCCAGCAGCCTGGCCGCCTGGAGCATGGAGCCAGTGGTCCGCAGGCTGTCCACCCAGTGTGAGTCCCCGCGGCACTTGGAGGCTGCCCACCGGCCAGTCTGTGTGTCCACCTGTCAGTTTGTCTGATCTTTTGATAGCTTGCTTGTCTGTCTGCTTATACGTCTGTCTGACTCATTGCACAGTCTTCTCATCTGTGGAGATGGATGATACAGTATCTAGATGTAGACATGGAGATAGACAGATACCTGCTCATCGGTCGACGCCCAGCTGACATTTTCCTAGGACAGCAGTGCTGGGCCAGGAGGGATGGGCAGAGCTGTGTGGGTGCGGTGGGAGGGGCGCCCGTGGCAGATCAGACACCCACTTCAGCTCCCGCAGCAACTAGGAGAGTCCTGCAAGCTGGTACCAGGCTGGCCTGCCAGGGCTGTGGGGAGTGGAGGGCCAGGGAAGCCCTCCAGGCCCAGCCGCTGATGGGGCCAGCTCATGACAGGCGGGGCAGCAGAGAGCTACCAGCCAGGGCCCGTGGGCAGGACGACCCTCCAGGCAGGCCTGGCCAGACCTGCCCCTACTCAAAGACATGGCCTCCAAGGCCCAGCTCTGGACAGGGCTGAGGGAGATTCAGCAGCACCACGAAGTCGAGAACTTTCCACCACCCCGATTAGAGATTTATGGGGTGAGGAATCTGCACAGCGGACAGGAGAGGACAGGGGCAAGGAAGACCCAGGCCCAGGGTCAGGGTCTACCCGCTCCTCAGATAACTCCCCTGGGCTCATTTTGCCCAGTCAGAAGACCACATCACCCGGGCTCTCGACTAAGAAATTTGTGAAGAAAATAAGACACCTGGAGAAAGCATACGAAAGAGCATATATAGATACCCTTTACAGCCATCTCCACGATCGAGATGCCCCCCCCCCGCCCACACCTTCCTGGGGGTTTACCCCTCCCTTGGGCACCCCCTTTCTCTGCCCTGTGCCCCTCTGCCCACTGTTGACCATCTCACTCCTAGAGGGTGAAAGGAAGGGCTGTGGGCAGTCGGGGGCCTGGCCGGGCTGTGGCCGGGCGTCTGTCACCTCTAGAACTGAGGCCCCCCCCAGGGCTGCCGCCCCTCCCGTCACACCTCTGCTCCAGCCCAGTATTTGTTGCTGATTCACATAGTTTCCACCACTGTCTCCTCACACCCTGCAAGGCAGACACCGCGAGTCCACCTGTGACAGTGAGGGACGGAAGGTTCCACGCCGCAGGTGCAGGCGCTGGGCTGCCTGACTGCAATTCCCACACAAATGACAGAAACCGGCCTGGCTCAAGGAGGCATGGCAGAGGGGGCTGGAGGGGGCAGAGGGCCTGGGTTCCGGATGCTCCGGGGAGAGCGGGCCTGGGCGGTTGGAGGGCTCCAGGTGCCGCCCCGGGCACAGAGGCCTGTGCTAGGTGGGCACAGAGCGTGGAGGGCCCACCCAGCACCGCCCTGTGCTTCCAGTCACAGCTGCCAATGAGCTGGCCTGCCGAGGCCTGGACCACCTGGAGGAAAAGATCCCGGCCCTCCAGTACCCTCCCGAAAAGGTGAGCCCTTCTCTCCTCTCACTCTGTGGCCCTGCCTGAGGGGAGGGGAGGGTGCGAGCTGGATGCCATGACCAAGAGTCTCTGTGGCAAGTGCCCTCCAAGGCTGGGCCAGCCGCCTGCCCCTGGGGCCCTCCAGTACCCTCCTGAAAAGGTGAGCCCTCTCTCTCCTCTCACTCTGTGGCCCTGCCTGAGGGGAGGGGAGGGTGCGAGCTGGATGCCATGACCAAGAGCCTCTGTGGCAAGTGCCTCCAAGGCTGGGCCAGCCGCCTGCCCCTGGGGCCACACAGCAGGCTTCTTCCTGTCCCTGTGGAGCGAGGGAGGCAGGTTTCCCAGATGGACCCCTTGTTTCTGACCCCATCCCTCCACCCCTCCCCAAACACGCTGTGGACCTGCAGTGGGCCAGGGGTGACTGTAGCCGCCTAAGATCCTGGTCACACGCACAGACCCCGGGATTGCAGTCCCACGGCCTCAAGGTCCAACCCATTATGGGCCATGAGACGGCAAAGGCACTTCACCTGGATACACGGTCCTGGGTGTTTGCTCTGGTGCCCGCCACGTCAGGTGCTTGTGGGGCGTTCGTCTCTGACCTCATCCGTCCAGCCTACTGACCAACTGACTGTCCATCCCACAAGCAGTTACTGAGCCCTGGCCTGCACCGGGCCCATCCCATGATGCTCGATTTCCAGAGCCGTCTCATGGGCTCCTCTTGTCAACCCTGTGGGATGGGGTGATTGTCCCCATTTTACAGATGGGAAAACTCATGACTTCCTGCCAGTCACACAGCCTTGGGTGAAGGCCCCTGAGAGCGGCTATGTTTGGCTCCCAGGCCGGTGCTCTTCAGTCCCCTGCTCTCCAGAGGAAGGGCAAATCTTTGTCACAAGGAGGTCCCAGGCTAAGAGAAGAGAAAGACATCCTCTTATTGCAGAACATGTAGGAAGATCAGCCGTATCTGTCAATCGCTGTAGACGCAGACTCCGAGGGAAGGGCTGGGAGGGGTTTCGGAGAACAGGTGCCGTGTGCGCACGCACAAGGGTATGGAGACAGGTGTTACCAAGGCGGTGGCCCTGGGCACCTTCACAGGACGGTTAAGGTCTCAATGGGCAGAAACAGGGTGCAAAGAAGTCAGGTGGCCCGCGTGGTCGGCACAGGCAGGGTTCGAGCCCTTTCCCTCTTAAACCAGGTGCCCAGATATTGGTGCCAGTTCCCTGGGCCTCTGACGCTCCTGACGCTGCTCCCCACTCCCCCCAGATCGCCTCTGAGCTAAAGGACACCATCTCCACCCGCCTCCGCAGCGCCAGGAACAGCATCAGCGTGCCCATCGCCAGCACCTCGGACAAGGTCCTGGGGGCCGCCGTGGCCAGCTGTGAGCTCGCCTGGGGGGTGGCCAAAGACACGGCCGAGTATGCCACCAACACCCGAGTCGGCCGGCTGGCCTCTGGAGGGGCTGATCTGGCCCTGGGTGGTGTGGAGAAGGTGGTCGAGCTCCTCCTCCCTCCAGCCGAGGAAGAGCCAGGTATCTGCCGGTGGGGGCTGCCAGACCCCCTGCGCAGTGAGTTGCCCCCTGTGCTGCCCCGGGGTGAGCGCAGTCAGCAAGGGTTCCTCCAGCACTGCTCTGGAGCAGGGGGGTCCAGCAGGGTTCCAGATGCACCCATCCTCACTTAGCCCCTCTGCCCAAGTCGCTGCGAGCCTGGTGGAGCTGGAACACAGCTTCCAACCCAGACGCAGCCCAGATTTCCCCTCCTCTGACCTGCTCTCCCTTCTCTCCCCACAACTGCTACCCAGCCCCCGCTCCAGGACGCCAGCGGGCCCAGAAGCCTCCCAACACCAAGCCAAGCCTCGCGAGCAGGGTTGGGAGCCTGGCCAACAGACTCTCCCAACACACCTTGCACACCACCGCCCAGGTGCTGAAGCAGGGCCATGCCCTGGCCATGTGGATCCCAGGTGTGGCCCCCCTGGTGAGTGTCTGACCTGACCACCCCCCCACCCCCCACCTGAGCTGGGATTTTAGGTCTAAGGACAAGAGGACTTAAGGAGGTGGAGGCCGGTCCTCCAGGCTGCAGGGGGAGAGAGAGGCCAGGACGAAAGCTGAAGACAGGCCTGTCTTGCTAGGATGGTCCTGCCCTGCCCCCCAGTTCTGTCTCTCCCATTCTCCCACTGGGTCCCATTCCCCTTCATTTCCCCAACTGGGCCTCTTCCTGAGAGCCCTCCCACCTGTGAGGGAGCAGAGACACCCCCCCCTTCCCCCGCTGCTGTCCAGGCACTAGGGAGTGTCACCTGTAGATAAGGCACAGATCCATTCTGCTGGGGAGAGAGCCCCAGCTGGGCCAGGACCCTGACTGCCCAGGTTTCTGATTTCCCTTCGGGAGCCTTCTGACTTGCACCCTCTTCACTCAAGGTGAAGCTGCCCTTCCCAGGCCCAGGGAGGGGCGACGTCTCCTCTCTTCCCCGTCTCTCTGTGTATTTCAGCAGAGAAGGGCTGGACTTTGTCATAAGGAACTTCCGTAAGAAACTAAGGCCAAAACAGAAACAAAGACAATATTAAAGCATAAAGGCCAGCAGGCACATTTCAGCCGTCACCTGGGTGGTCCGTCAGGCCTGGCCCATTCATTCCAGCAAATGTTTGCTCAGGACCTACTGTGTGCCGGTTCCGGTTCCGTGGCTCCAGGGGAAAGCAGGAGTCGTCCTTCCCGTGTCCCCTGCACTGGGGGCCATTTTCCAGTGGGGGCCTGCTGCTCTCCTCCCTGGGACACTCTGGCCCACTTGATTTTTTTCACTCTTTAAAGATCTGCAAGGACTACCTGCTAAAGTTGCGCACACACCCCCCCCCATACCCCAGCAACTCCACCAGGAGAAATGAGAGCTAATGTCCCCCCCAAGACAGGTCAGAAATGTTCCTCTCGGCTGTGCCCTCAGCCGAGAACTGAGAACAACTCAAATGTCAGCAGCAGACGGGCAAAGGTGGTCTATTTCTACAGTGGGGTGCTACACAGAGGTAAAGAAGGGCTACTTTGACCTCACAGCATGATGTGGAACAGAAGCTGTTCATGAGAACATGCTCAGTGTATGAGTCCATGTCCATGAAGCTCAGACATAGGCCAAACCAGTGCATGGTGAGCAAGGTCGGAATGTGGTCACCCTCAGCCGAACTGAGGGGGGCACAGGGAGTCTCCTGGGTGGTTGAACTGGTCTCTATCTTGACCCGTGCTGGTTACACAGGTGTGCGCTTATACAGGGGACAGCGCCGCACACTGGTGTTGTGTGCACTTTGTGTCACTTACCACTCAATGAAAAGTCTTAAGAACAGTCCACAGGGGCTAGGCCCTGTCCCCTTTCCACCCTGGCTCTGGGGGTGGGGTGCTTTGGCTGCTGGGGCTGAAGCCAGAGGCCACTGCCTTTGCTCCCTCAGAACAGCCTGGCCCAGTGGGGTGCGTCCGCGGCCATGCAGGTGGTGTCCCGACGGCGGCAGAGCGAGGTGCGGGTGCCCTGGCTACACAACCTGGCCACCGCCCACGAGGAGGACCACGATGACCAGACAGACACCGAGGGGGAGGAGACCAAGGAGGAGGAGTCCGAGTCAGAGCCGGAGGAGCAGCTCAGTGAGGTGAGAGCAGAGCTGGGGGTGTGGCAGCCTCAAGGGCCCGCAGCCCACAGAGGGGTGAGCAGAGGCCCAGAGACTCACCACACCCCAGAGGCCCAGCCGACAGATACTTCATGCTCATCTCAGTTGACCCTCCTACCAGCCCGGAAGACAGGCAGGGTGGAGACTGTCCTCCCCACTTGCAGATGAAGAAACAGGTTCAGAGAAGGGAAGTGACCTGCCCGAGGCCACACAGCGAGTGGCAGGGCCAGGTGTCCACGTTCTTTCCCCTCTAGCTCTGGGGATGGTGGGAAGGGGAAGGGTCGGGAGTTGCTGCAGGGAGCGCTGACCTTGCTCTGGCCCCCAGGTAGCAGCCTCGCCCCGCCCGCAGGGCCTCCTGCGCAGCACGGTGCACACCCTGCAGAAGGCCATCCAGGGCACCATCTCGGCCGTGATGTGGGCGCCTGCGGCGGTGCTGGGCACCGCAGGGAGGGTGCTGCATCTCACCTCGGCCCCTGCTGTCTCCCCGGCCCCTGCTGTCTCCCCGGCCCCTGCTGTCTCCTCGACCAAGAAGAGGGCCATGTCCCTGTCAGATGCCCTGAAGGGGGTTACGGACAACGTGGTGGACACAGTTGTGCACTACGTGCCGGTGAGTCCCACCCCCATGACCCTCCTCCCCTGGGGGCCTGGACAGGACAGAAAGAAGATTTCCCTGAGGGGTTTCAGCTGCCACCCCATCTCCTGGGTGACCCTTCTGTGATCCTCAGTGCCCTGGGGAACATGCTGACACACTGTGGCCTGGCCTGGAGCCCTTCCCAGCCCCAGGAACATAGGGACCTGCTGCCCTGGCCTAAGACCCCTCCCCACCCCCTGCCTGTCCATCATTCTGGGGGTCCTCAGTGGCCTGGCCCTCACCCCTCAGCTCCCACCTGCAGGGCCTGGCAGGTTTGCATGCTGCTCCTTGGAAAGGGTTGGAGGAAGGCTGCCAGGGTCCTGGGGGTGGGCTGTGTTCCAGGGGACAGCAGCTGCCCCCATCTAATTCTATCACCTGTCACCAACAGGAAAAACCCAAAGGAATGCTAGTATTAGCTTTTGGGGAGTCCCTGGGCCCCTTCCTGGAGCAAGTTGCAGGTTGTTCAGGCTCTAGGAGGGCTGGTCAGGGCAGGAGGCTTAGAGCTGGTGCAGGGTGGGGGTGGGGGTGGGGGTGAGTCAGTCAGTCACTCCCACCAAAAGGTGTGCCGGGGGTCTTGGCAGCCAGCCGGTCCACCTTAGGCCCAAAAACAGAACCAGCCAGGGATACCCTGATCTTGGCTGGGGCTGTGTGTGGGCGGTGCTTAGCCTGCAACTCAGGCCCCAGGATGGGTCAGGAAAGCCACTGACCTCGCACCGAAAGGCCTCTGAAGGAGGCAGCAGGGTCTAGGAGCTTTTGCGGAGGAGGTCTGGACTCAGCTGTGTCCCCTGCGTACCCCATTCCCCTGCACCGGAGCTCTGGTCCCACCACCCAGCCCGTGCCCGCCTAATGATGCTCCTGGGAGGCGGGCCTCGGAGGGGGTGGGTAGGAGGCCCAAGGCGAGACCAAACCGGCCCTGAAGCGGCTGCCTGGTGCTCAGCTCCCTAGGCTGTCACTGATGGAGCCCGAGAGCGAGTTCCGGGACATCGACAACCCGCCGGACGAGACCGAGCGCAGGGCGTCCGCGGCACCGCCAGCCGGCCCGGAGCCCCCGCCGCGGCCAGCCCAGCACCGCGGCAGCCTGCGCAGCGCGAGGGGGCCGGGCCTGGAGGACCTGCCCAACGCGCTGCGCTCGGCGCTGCCGGGCGGGCCCCGCGAGAAGCCGGCGCGCAGGGTCAGCGACAGCTTCTTCCGGCCCAGCGTCATGGAGCCCATCCTGGGCCGCGCGCAGTACAGCCAGCTGCGCAAGAAGAGCTGAGCGCGGCGCCGCGGGGCCCCGGAGCCAGCGCCCCTGCCGCCAGCCAGCAAGCAGAACCCCGGGTCCAAGAGCACCGACTTCCCCAAAGCAGTTCCCTGGGCGCTCAGCCTCGGCGCCTCATCCTTGAGCATCTTTTCGGGGCTTAGCCTGCAGCCAAGTAAAAAAAAAAAAAAAAAAAAATCAGAGCAGCAACCTGCTTTGATTCTGCCTTTTTTTTTTTTTTTTTTTACTAAAATATTAATTGCCTAACTTGATGTCTCACTTCTTAGTCAAACTTGTGGCCACAGGACCTTGGACCGTTTCAGAGTTTAGATCCGCCCTCTGTCGACAAGCATGTGCCGTCCGTGAGTTATATGTCGGTAACCCCAAGGTCCGACCACGCAGGAGATGCCCGAGTGTGCAGCGTCTCAGTGGGCTCCCTTGAAGGAACAACAATCGGGTGCGCAAGCTCTCGGGTGTTCATATGAAATATCAGCGTCACTTTTTGGGTACCCAGCACCCCGCGTCGTCACAGGCTGGGTCCCGGCCATGCTCACAGCGCCACCTTCTGGCTCAACGCACACCTACTTGCGCCCTTCTTGCCTGACCTCCACCTGCCCCCTGCCATTCCCCTTGGGAACGCTGGCACCCCCGGGGTGTGGCGACGACCCTGGTGACCCTTCACCGGAGAAAGTCTATGCTATTTAGAGCACCCCAAGCGTTATTTTTGAAAATGTTACTACTTAGTAAATCAAAGAGATACATACATATAATTTAAAATCCAAACACTGCAAGAGGATGCGTGGTCCCCCTTGAGGTCCTGGGTTCCCCATCACCACCACCACCATGGTGCCAGTCTCCTGTGTGTCGGTCCAGCTTCAGGCTGTGCGTGTGCAAGCAAATGTGTATGTACTTCCTACTTGTTCACCTCACAATATACCTTAGACATCATAAGCCCCCCTCACTCTTTTTAATAGCCTGATAACGTAATTATGTGCCTCATAAGGGAATTCATTTAACTAGTTCCCTAATGAAGGGCTTTGAGGTTGTTTCAGTTTTTTTTGCTACTGCAAACAGTACTGCAATAAATGTCCTTACACAGAATGTCTCGTGTACATGTGTGGATATATCTATAGGATGAGCTTATCACTGGAACTGTGACTTGACGGGCAACAGAGTGTCTATGTTTTTAAATGGTTAGATAATTCCAAGTAGGCTTCCAAACCAAACTCTTTATTATTATTATTACTATTATTATTATTATTATCATTTTATTTTTGGTACATGCCCCTAGTGGGAACCAAACCCGGGACTCTCTGGTCCGCAGGCTGACACTCCAACCACTGAGCCAAACTGGCCAGGGCTCTTTTTATGATTTTCATCTGCAGCTGCACAGATAATTAAGTGCTCTGGACGTTTTCTTTCTGAAGGAGATGGCAGAGGAGAAATGGAGAGGCCAGGTCCTGGGTTACATTGCCACTGTGTCACCCGCCCTGGAGCCCTCCTTCCTTTGGTCTGTTGGCTGAGATGACCAGTGACCTTATTGTTCAAGCCATTTCAGGTTGTGATTTCTGTTCCTCGAGGCTGAGGTTTCCTAGTACAGATGTAGCCAAAGAGCCTTGGCAGTTTTGACAGACTTTCGGTAGAAATCTCCTGTATACAAAATTAAATGTGGCTACTACATCAGAGTTCAATTTTATTATGACATTTTAAGCGACAGATATGTTTCTAGATTTTAATTAAAATTCCACCAATGCGCCCTGGCTGGTTTGGCTTAGCGGTTAGAGTGTTGGCCCACTGACCGAAGGGTCTCCAGTTCAATTCCTGGTCAAGGGCACGTACCTGGGTTGCATCAATGTTCCTCCCTCCCTCCCTCCTTCCCTCTCTATCTGAAAATCAATGGAAAAGTATCCTCAAGTGAGGATTAACAATAACAACAACAAAAAGTAAAATAAATAAATAAAATTCAACCAATGGAAGCAATGCACAAGAGGTCACAGAGGTGAACACGCTGTGTCCTTCAGGCGGCATGTGCCTATCCCCACATCACCCCTCTAGGTGCCGTTTCCCTTGGGGATACTGCAAGATGCAACTCAATTTCAGAAATGTTAGGATGTGAGAAAATGCCAGTCTTAGAATTGAAGAAACATTTTCTGCTGTGGGGAGATGGAAGTTTCTGCTGTTTGGGGGGAAGAAGGGAGGCTTGGGTCAGAGAGTGGAAAATTGAGATGCGAGAAAAAGGGACTCTGAACTGAGGGCAGGATTGTCTGGTGTCTAGTTTGGGGACCCGACTTGTAAAACATAAGGGGATGCCATCACAAAGATGCTCGTTCCTTCTCGAGGTAAGTTCTCTGCACCACTCTGTCATTATGTACCTACTATAAGAAAATATCAGCCAGGTCACCCTGGCCGGTTTGCTCAGTGGTTAGAGCGTCGGCCCACGGACCGAAGAATCGTGGGTTCAATTCAGGCCAAGGGCATGTACCTCAGTTCATCCCTGGCCCTGGAGGAATATTCTCAGGTGAGGATAAAAAAAAATGAAAGACATAAAAAAGAAAGAAAGAAAGAAAGAAAGAAAGAAAGAAAGAAAGAAAGAAAGAAAGAAAGAAAGAAGAAAGAAAACATCAGCCAGACAAGATTAGACCAGTGGTTCTCAACAGGGGCAGCTGGTGTGACCCTCCCAGGATACATGGCATTTCTGAGGATATCAAATGGGCGAATACCAAGGATGTTACAGTGCACAGGTGGGGCCCCAAATGTTGATAATGCTGAAGTTGACTCGTCCTGCTACAGAATCCCACCAGAAGACAACTTTGAATGCGGTTTGGGGCATCCAGGTTAGAGCAAGAAGGCCTGTCCAGTTGCTCATCTTCTTCCCTTTCTCAAAAAAAAACCCACAAAAATTGAAGAGACCCAAGAGAGCTTGCTCCCGTCCGCCCTGTGACGTCAGTGAAAAGACAGCTGTGTAGGAAGCAAACCCTCATCTGACACTGAATGTGCTGCTGTCATGATCTTGGACTTCCCAGCCCTCACAGCTGTGCAAAATAAATGTTTGTTGTGTATAAGCCTCCCAGGCTGTGGTGTTTTATTATAGTAGCCTGAATGGACTCAGACACATAGAAGATAATAGTTGGAAGGGGACCCTCCAAGACAGTGACTGCTTACTGGCCGCCTTATTTCTGTGTGCATCACTTATTTTTTATTGCTATGTGTTACAGGGGCAGGAGGGAGACCAGCGAACAGTGCTACAGCAGCCTACGCCAGAGACAGTGGGGGCACGGATAGGCATGCGGCTGTGGAGGGTTACAAAGACACTTGCCTGGACTGGAAGCTACTGTGGAGGGCAAATGAGGGCTTGGTGGTGGATGTGAGAAGAGAGGAGTCTAGGATGGTTCAAGGGATCCCCATCCTACCTGGGTAGCACCTGCCCAGGTAGGTACAGGATGAACACCTCTGTAAGGCTCCCACTGACCTTTTGCCCACAGAATAACCCCCCCAACTGGCTAGGTGGGCTAAGAGCCCTACAGCAACCCTCCCCTCCCAGTGGCCTCTCCTAGGGCAGTGGTCTCCCGGAACTCGAGGCTGCTGGCAGTGGAATCTACCAGTGGACCCACGGATCTCATGCCCTTTCCAAACTGGGACTTACAAGCCAGAACTGTGGGCCAGGCCTTGTCAGGGTCTGCTCTAGGGGGGTTGCCCCAGGGGTAAGAACTCATCCTGATCTCTGCCTGGCCTCAATAAGAGCTTCCTGGTGTCTTCATGCGGCCAGCCCCCAGGTCACCCGAAGTCTGGGGCAGAGAAGGGGTACAGCGATGACTTCCTGGTGCGGCCAGGGTCCCGACCACCCCGGGAGAAGCAGGCCCCCACCCAAACCCGAAAGTCACGGGGGGATGCGTCCTCCTCAGCCTTAGAAGGGGTCGTGTGACATCAGAGAAAAGGGAGGTGGAGGCTTCCCGGGGTCTGGGGAGGGAGAGCATCGCTCAGCTTTGAGGGGGCGCGGGGAGTGCAGAGAGGGAGCAATGCAGTGGCGGGAGGAGGGGAGTCCACACCTGAACAAAGGGACGAATGAACGAAGGAAGAGCCGCTTGGGAAATCCACCGCGGGGCGTCTTCTCACGAGTTAGCGCTTGCCGTCCTGACAGTCAGCTTCCCGTCCGTGGGCAGCGGGGCTTCTCCCCCTCGGGGAATCACGCCAGCCTCGTGGGTCACTGCGTCCGCAGAACTGGAAGAGGCCGCGCTCGGACCAGCGCGCAGCGCCGGCGACCCCAGCGTTGCTGCGATGCGGGGACGGGTCTGGGCACCGGTACGTGTGGCCCCGCCCACAAGCGCGGCCCCGCCCACCGCCCCGCCCCCAGGCGTGGCCCCGCCCCACCCCGTCCCGCCTGCGGACAGACTCGGCGGCGCCGCCCCGCTTCTGCCTCAGCCCCCTGGAGCACGCGCGGGCGGGGGTGGGGGGGAGGCGGGATTATTTAGGGGGCGGGGGTCCTGGTGACGGCATCAGAGCGCGCGGCGTTGGGGCCCGGAGGCTGGCTGCGGGGCCCGGGGCTGCGCTGGCACCCCTGCAGGTGAGTGTGGGCGCCGGAGGGGTGCGCAGGGCGCGGACCGGGCGGGTGGGAGGCGCCTCGCCCCCTGCGCGGGCCGGGCGGGCGGCCCTGGGAGCCGGCCCCCTTGAGGAGCCCGTCGTCGCTTGCCAGCCTCCGGGGGCCTTTCCCGGGGCGCGCGGGGGTCCCCCTTCCCTAAGCCGGGGGCCTGAGGCCGACCTCCCGGGCTGCGAGGGTCGCGCCTGCATTTGTGACCCCCCTTCCCGAACTTCCCGGGGCCCCGGCCTCGGGCGCCGACCCCCGCGCGCTCCGACCGCCCCGCACCGGCCGACGGTTCTGGGCGCCTTCGGGGCGCGGAGAAGCGGGACCGCAAGGGCCGGAGAGAGCCCGGGGTGAGCGGGGCACGCACCGCCGTGTCCCCAGCGCCGGCCACCCCGCGGGGACGGGATGGGTTCCCGGACAAAACCCGTTACAGGCGCTGAGCGGAGTCTCGCACAGAAGGGGTTCGCACACCCGGAGGGCGCAGCCTCCGCTCGCAGCCTGGCTGCAGGCCCGTGGAGCGTGTCCCCGCACAAAACACGGTAAACGTAGCGAAAGGGTCACGTCGGGAGACACGGTGCGGTTTCACAGCAAACTTTATACAAGTGGAAACGGTACCCCCGAAAATAACGATGAAGCGTGGGCTGTGCACAATTGTGTGCGCTGTATTTTACGTGGCTGGTTTCCACCAGCATCACCACAGCCACGTGAGCCGTGGGCAGTCAAGTCACTTGTAATCTTTTTGCTGGTAGAAGGTCTTAAATTTGTAAAAAAAAAAAGAAAAAGCAACACCTGGGAAGCGCAATAAAGCAAAGCGCAATAAAGGAGGCAAACCTGTGGTGATGAATAACGTGGGTGAGGACTGTGGCGAGGGAGGATGGAGCCGGGAAGGTCCCTTGGGTAAGTGTTATTCATCACTATCCGGCAGCTGCAAAGCCTCGGACATCGTGCTGGGCAGTGGAGATAGAGCAGCAAGGTGACAGGTCGGTTCCTGTCTTCCAGCTCCCAGTCTGGGAGGTGCCGGGAGACCAGCCCCAAGGGGAGCAGCTGGGGCTGTGTGTGGAGAGCCGGCCTCAGCTCTGGGCCCCCGTGGGGGAGGCAGGTGGGCAACACTGAGTGTGCTCCAGGCGAGGAAGGAGGAAAGTGGGTACATGTGAGTAGTCCAGGCAGGAAGGGCTTGTTCGAGTTTAGTATCCTAAAGCCTGTGGGGAGCCTCTTTTGGGGGAGTTTAGCAGAGAGTATAAGATGGTGCCTGCCTTTATTTTTATTCTTCTCCCCAGGATATTTTTCTATTTATTATCAGATAGCGTGGGAGGGTGGGGGAGAGAGAGAGACAGAGAGAAACATCGATGTGATAGATCCACATTGACTGGTTGTCTCCTGCATGACCGGACCAGGAGGGCCGGGACGAACTGCAACGGAGGTACATGCCCTTGAGCGGAATTGAACCCGTGACTCATTGGTTCGGGGACTGGCGCTGTACCGCTGAGCCAAACCGGCCAGGGCATGTCTGCATATGCTCCTGGGTGCCCTGCAGGAGGGCACAGGGACACAGACCACTGAGGGTCACCCTGACAGGACGTCAGTGGCCAGGAGCAGGGCTTTGGCATAGGATGAGGAGAAGCAGGTGAACCTGAGAAATACAGTTACCCCCACCCCTTTAACTATGGTTTCACTTTCCACGGTTAACCATGGTCTGGCAATATTAAATGGGAAATTCCAGACATAATTCATAAGTTTTTAACTTGGGTGCCATTCTGACTAGTGATGAAATCTCCTGATGTCCTGCTGCTCCTGCCCTGGAGGTGAATGAGTTTCTAAAAAACACAACACCTGTGAGGCACAATAAATGGATAAAGGGCCGGCACCTGGTAGGCACTCTGCCAAAGATGGTATCGCGATGCCTGTGTGCATCGCGATACCATTCCAAGATCCTTTACTTAGTCACGGCCCCAAAGCACGACAGTAGAGATGCTGGCCATTATGATCTGCCAAAGAGGAGCCAGAAAGTACTTCCTTTCAGTGCAAAGGTAAAGTTCTCTATTTAATCAGGACAGAAAAAAATATTCGAATGCTTGGGTTGGAAGATCTACAGTCAGAACAAATCGTTTGGGAAATTGCGAAGGAGAAAGAAAATCGCTAGTTTTGTGGTTGCACCTCAGATTGTAAAAGGTCCCGCCACGGTGCGTGATGCATGCTGGGTAAGATGGAAAAGCCGAACTGTGTGGGGTCGGAGACATGGACAGAAAACACTCTCTGATTGAGAGCAATGTGGCCTAGAAAGCATGGAGCCTCTACCAGGGCTTCAGCCAGCGACCCCTTGAGACGAGTGGCCACATCCACATCACGTTTATTGCAATATGTTGTTGTAATTGTTCATTTTATTGTTAGGTATTGTTGCTAATCTCTTACTGTGCTTAACTTAGAACTTAACTCTATCATAGGTATGCATATATAGGGAAAACGGAGTATGTGTAGGGTTCGGTGCTGTCTGTGGTTTCAGGCATCCACTGGGGGTCTTGGAATGAGTCGAAGGATCTGTTGACTTTTTTGAAGAAGGTGCAGCAGGGGGTGTGATGTGACAGAGGCAGAGGCTGGAAACCCCCGTGGGTGGCTGTGTCTTCTAGGAGATGAGGGCACAGGGGAAGGGTGCTGCTGGAACACAGGCCCTTGGGTGGCAAATGAAGGAGTCAGGGCCTTATTTTGCCAGTGACGAGAGCCGTGACATGTAGCTGTATAGAACTGTACTGTGGCCCTCACAGCATTTTGGACACCAGGCTGGGGCACAGAAGAGGCTCTGAACTTTAACCTGCCTCCCCTCCATCCCTCCAAGGTCAGAAGCTGCAGGATCTGGCTCCAGGTCACCTGCAGTGGGAGTCCAGCCTGGAGCACAGGTGCTGACGTTGGGGTCTTCCTCCCCGCAGGGCCTGGAACAGCCCTCCCCCAACATGGGGCTGGAGGCCCAGAGGCTCCCAGGGGCCGAGGAGGCCCCCGTGAGGGTGGCCCTGCGAGTCCGCCCGCTGCTGCCCAAGGAGCTGCTGCACGGGCACCAGAGCTGCCTGAGGGTGGAGCCGGAGCACGGCCGAGTCACCCTGGGCCGAGACCGCCACTTTGGCTTCCATGTGGTGCTGGACGAGGATGCCGGGCAGGAGGCTGTGTACCAGGCCTGCGTGCAGCCCCTCTTGGAGGCTTTCTTCGAGGGCTTCAATGCCACCGTCTTTGCCTACGGACAGACAGGCTCCGGGAAGACGTACACCATGGGGGAGGCCAGTGTGGGTGAGTGACCCTGCCCTGTGCCCGTGTTGAGGGGCCGCAGTGACTGCTGCATCTGTGCCCGTGCCCTCGCTGCCGTTCATTCCCTGTTGAAGGTGGGGTTGCTGGGGAAGGGCGAGCCATTTCCGGAACAGATCTGAAGCGCAGAGTGGGACCAGCCATGTCAGGGGGCTGGGCAGAGTGGGAAGGAAGGGGCCTGGGAGGTGAGTGGCCTTCTCAACTCCATAGAGATGGGGCCGTGCTGTGTGGTTCTGGGGACTTCAGCGGGAGGTGGTTTGTCTCTGCAAGTAGTCAGGATGGTTGCTGAAGGTTAGAAATCCGTGTTCTAGTCAGGGTGGTTGGAGTGGGGCCTGTCCTGGAAGAGACAAGCGTCCGCTGCTTCACAGCAGGGCAGCGGGCTGGTTCCGTGAGGCTCCAGAGCGCTTTCGGGAGAGACACTTTGGGGAATTTGGGGGAACTGCCCCATTTTAAGTGGTGCAAATGTTTTCTCTTGGGTTATAAAACTATACATGATTGTCATAAAAAATTAGGGAAAATACAGAAAAACCCAAAAATAAAACTGCCTTTCAGAAATCACACACCCTGTTAAGGTTTCCCCTTTCTTTCTCTTGGGAAATTACTATACTTTTTAAGAAAATGGTGTCACACTCTATCCAATCTTTTGTATCCTGTTGTATTTTCTTAACAACATATCATGGACATTTCTCTATATCATTAAATATTCTTCAGTCTAGTTTTTTCATGGCTACCTGGCATTCCATTGTGAATATAAGGTGATGTATTTAACCAGATTCCCTATGGGATCTTGGGCTGGACACTTAGGCAGTTTTGCCTTTTTTTTTTTTTAATGTTATGAGGAAGAGTGATGCTCTGAACATCCTCTTATTACTTCTTTGGGATAAATTTAGGAGGTACTTTAGATAACTGAGCATAGACTATATGGTAATGAGCTCCCTGTCCTAGGGGGTAATCAAGCCAAGGGTATCTGGTGATCTGAAAGGAATGTAGTGGGGGGATGTTTATATCATGAAAGGGGTTGGTTGACCCATGAGAGGTTGCTTCCAACTCTGAAATTTTATGGTTCTGCCTGACCATCCTGGAGCATGTCCTGGCTCAGGCTGCCCAGCCCACTCTGGCTTCTGCTACTGCCTTCCCCACACTGGACCCCAATCTCCAGCTGCTGGCAGGGGCATCAGGGCCTTGGAGGTCCAGCTGGAGGCATGGTCACAGGAAGCCCGGTGGTGTCTCCCCAGCCTCCCTCCACGAGGATGAGCAGGGCATCATCCCACGGGTCATGGCTGAGGCCTTCAAGCTTATTGATGAGAACGACCTGCTTGACTGTCTCGTGCACGTGTCCTACCTGGAAGTGTACAAGGAGGAGTTCCGAGACCTGCTCGAGGTGGGCACTGCCAGCCGTGACATCCAGCTTCGGGAAGATGATCGTGGGAATGTTGGTGAGGAAATCCTGAGTCTTCCCCTGGTGGGGAGTGGGGCACCTGGCTTGAGGAGGCTTCACCTGCTGCAGGCTGGCTGACCTGCCTGGGAGGAACACCTTACTAGGAGACCCAGGCTCTGAAAACACTTGCTTTGGTTTGCCCTGTTTATTTGGTTTTTCCTTTGGTGTGTATGCTGCACCCAGAGTGAGGGGCTTTGAGGTGGGCACGGGGAAGCTGGAGCCCCTCCAGCCCGTCAGGATGGGCAGGAGCCCTGGGCGTGGGGAAGGGGCCCTGAGTGAGGAAGAGCTGCGGAGGGCTGGCCGTGCCCCGCCTGCCCTCTGGCTGCTCAGTCCAGACTGCCCGTGCCCTGGACTCACTGCTCCGTGCCCACAGTGCTGTGTGGGGTGAAGGAGGTGGACGTGGAGGGCCTGGACGAGGTACTCAGCGTTCTGGAGATGGGCAACGCGGCGCGCCACACGGGGGCCACACACCTCAACCGCCTGTCCAGCCGCTCACACACCGTCTTCACGGTGACCCTGGAGCAGCGGGGGCGCGCCCCCAGCCGCCTGCCCCGCCCCGCCCCGGGGCAGCTGCTCGTCTCCAAGTTCCACTTCGTGGACTTGGCGGGCTCCGAGAGGGTGCTCAAGACTGGCAGCACCGGCGAGCGCCTCAAGGAGAGCATCCAGATCAACAGCAGCCTCCTGGCCCTGGGCAACGTCATCAGCGCCCTGGGCGACCCGCAGCGCCGCGGCAGCCACATCCCCTACCGGGACTCCAAGATCACCCGGTGAGCCCACGGGAGGAGTGCCCGCGCCCCGCCCCCGGGTGGCCGCCGGGGTGCGGCGGAGGGAGTCCGGTAGGGGACGGGTCCCCCTGCAGCTTCTGGGGCACAGCCATGCAGGCTGAGCCGTCAGCCTGGTGTAGGTCCGGACCGCGGGTCCTGGCGTCCTGGGTCCCTGAGCGCCTGCTCGTCCTCAGGATCCTCAAAGACTCGCTGGGCGGGAACGCCAAGACGGTGATGATTGCCTGCGTCAGCCCGTCCTCCTCCGACTTCGACGAGACCCTCAACACCCTCAACTACGCCAGTCGTGCCCAGAACATCTGCAACCGCGCCACCGTCAACTGGCGGCCGGAGGCAGAGCGGGCCCCCGAGGAGGGGGCCGGTGCGCGGGGTCCCCCGCGGCACCGCTCGGAGACGCGCATCATCCACCGAGGCCGGCGTGGCCCGGGCCCCGCCGCCGCGCCCGCGGTGGCCGCCGCCCGCCTGGGCGCCGAGTGCGCGCGCTACCGGGCCCGCACCGACGCCGCCTACAGCCTCCTGCGCGAGCTGCAGGCCGAGCCCGGGCTGCCCTGGGCCGCGGCCCGCAAGGTGCGCGACTGGCTGTGCGTGGTCGAGGGCGAGCGCAGCGCCCTGAGCTCCGCCTCGGGGCCCGACAGCGGCATCGAGAGCGCCTCCGCCGCCGAGGAGCAGGCCGCGCAGGGGCCGGGCGGCAGAAAGGTGGCCAAGGACCAGGTGGGCCCTGGGGAGGGGGGAACAGGACGGAAGGTCTTCAGACCGCCGGCAGCGCCCCCGCCCCGTCCATTAGCAGAGACTTGAGCCGCCCAGAGGCACGTCTGCGGGTGACCGCGGTCACTTTCCACCGCGTCCCCAGCCTTGCGCGCTCTGTAAAGTAGGGATGAGGCTGGTGTTTACCTCCTGGGGTGACAGAAGGTGTAACGAGAGCCCAGCACGCTGGCGAAGGCCCGGGAAGTTGTTAGTAATAATAGTGGGGATGTTCTTATTACTAGAAACAGGATGAATAATGACAAGAGGTGGCCCACACGGCTTGCAGAGGAGTCTGCAGGCAGGGCTTGGAGCAGAGGAGCAAGGCAGGGTGGGGGAGGAGGGTGCCCCAGGGACAGACGGGCTTGTCCTGCCAGCTCCTGGCCCTGAAGCCCATCTCCCTGCCTGATAGGAAGATGAGGGGGCGCTGCTGGCCCTACAGAGCCAGGTGGCCCGGCTGGAGGAGGAGAACCGAGACTTTCTGGCTGCTCTGGAGGACGCCATGGAGCAGTACAAGCTGCAGGTGGGGCTGCCATTTCCACAGATGGGGTGCAAGTGAGCTGTTCCCCAAGTGAGGAAATCAGCTGGGGTGGGTCTGGTGGGGTGGGTAGAGATGGGGGCACGCACGAAAGAGCAAAAGCGTGGAGGTGAGGAACAGAACAGCTTGGGTGGGTGTGCAGGATGGTCGTGAGTGTGAGTGGCCCTTGGGACTGGAGGGGCAGCAGGATGGGACACTGGAGCCAGACCCTTCCTTTCGTCCCAAGGTAACTGGGTCAGCATTACTCCTGGCGCCCCCTGGTGGCGGTCATTGGCATGGACGTGGGGGGCTGGCAGGGTGGGTGGGGAGAGAGTTTGAGCCTGAACTAGTGCTGTGTGTGTGTGTGTGTGTGTGTGAGAGAGAGAGAGAGAGAGAGAGAGAGAGAGAGGGTGGTAGTGGTGCGGGGGAGGGGATGGGGGTGACCAAGAGGTGGTCAGAGGTATTTGGCCCTCCTCAGTGTCAGCCCACAGGGAGCAGGTAGCTCAGACCTGTTCCTCAGTCTCCTGTACTTCTTGCCTGCATCCGTGTGCCATCTCCCCGCGTCCGTGTCCCATCTCCCCGCGTCCGTGTCCCATCTCCCCCCGTCCGTGTCCCATCTCCCCCCGTCCGTGTCCCATCTCCCCCCGTCCGTGTCCCCCTCAGCGCCTGGACCATGTCTTGCAGAGTGACCGCCTGCGTGAGCAGCAGGAGGAGATGGCGGAGCTGCGGCTGCAGCTAGAGCTGGTGCGGCCAGGCTGGGGGGCCCCTGGGCTCCTGAAGGGCCTGCCTCCTGGGTCCTTCGTGCCCCGGCCTCACACAGCCCCCCTGGAGGGTGCCCACACCCATGTGCTGGACATGGTGCCCCCTGCATGCCTTCCTGGAGATGACGGTGGCCCCGAGAACTGGGGAGAGGTGAGGAGGTGGCGAGGCTGGCGCTGCCGGGCCCGTTGGTCTGGGGAATGCTGGAGAGTGTCCCTCACCCAGCTTTCACGAGACCAGCTGTGGGATGTCCCTAGAGCCGTGGTTCTCACCCTTCCTGATGCCGCGACCCTTTAATACAGCTCCTCATGCTGTCTGTGGGCGTGTCTGCATGTGGGTGCACCCACCTGGAGACGGACAGAGAGGCCGTGTCTTGGTTCCTAAGACCATTGGGAATATGTGTTTTCTGATGGTCTTAGGCGACCCCTGTGAAAGGGTCGTTTGACCCCCAAAAGGGTCGCGACCCACAGGTTGAGAACTGCTGCCCTAGAGGACGAGCCAGGATTTGAGTGACTGGGGCCTCTCAGAAGAGGGGTGCTGTCGGGACTCTCCGGTGTAGCTGGAGATTGCTCGGGAGTTGCAGAAGGGGTTGTGGCTTCCAGCACTGGATGGAAGCTTGCACACCTCCAGAGACAGGGAGCTCATCACCTCTGAGGCTACCCCCTCTGTCTTTGGATGCCTGTCTTTGCAAGTTGACTTTTCCATGAGCCCTGATCTCCCTGAGCCGGGCCTCCTGCTTCTAGTTCTGTCACATGGGGCCTTTTGGGCCAAGGCTGTGCTAGCACCTGCCGCAACGCTCTGGGTCCTCCCAGATCTCAGGTCCTGCAGGCCCGAGGGGCGGGGGCCGTGGGCTTGTCAGACGTCTGTTATGCAGCCGCCACTCTGGCCTGGTGTTGTTAGTGGGATAAGACTGGGGTGCAGCCCTGGCTGGTTTGGCTCAGCAGTTAGAGCATCAGCCCACGAACGGGAGAGTCCCAGGTTTGGTTCCACTAAGGGTACGTACCTCCGTTGCAGTTTGTCCCCGGCCCCCCGGTAGGGGTCGTGTGGGTGGCAGCGTCGATGTGTCCCTTTCATGTCAATGTGTCTCTCTCACCCACACGACCCCACCCGGGGCCGGGGACAAATTGCAACCGAGGTACGTGCCCTTAGCAGGAACCGAACCCGGGTCTCTCTGGTCCGCAGGCCGACGCTCTAACCGCTGAGCCAGACCGGCCAGGGCTGGAGCTGGATCTTGAAGGTGAGGTAGGGCCCGAGGAAGAGATGTGATGTGGGCACGCACAGCAGGGCACAGGCTGGTGATGGGAATGGCTCACAGAGGGTGCCCTGTCCTGAAACCCTGACACTCCCCTCGCAGGTGACAAATGGCAGGGAGGCGGGAGCCACGTTGCTGGAAGAGGTAGACAAGCTGGGAAGTGGCTCTTCACCCGCCTTGGAGGAGGAGGAGGGGGAGGAGCAGCCACCACCCCGGCAGACCCTGCACCTGTGCAGGTGAGTGGGACCCACTGTGGACCCGACAGGGACCGGATCGGGGCCCAGGCTGGGGGGACCCTGTGGTCTCAGGGTGTCTTCACCTACATCACCCCTGCCAGCCCTTGGAGAGAGCAGACGGGAGCTGTGGGCTCTGAACCGAGTCCTTGCAGGGGTGGGCCAGGCCTCCTGGTTCTCAGCCTCTAAGGAAGTCCTTGGTGCCCCCAGCCCCCTGCACCCCCTAGCTTGGCCCCTGGCCTCAGGGTTCCGCTGGACGGACAGGTTCTGTTGATGACGGATGGCAGGCTGCGGACCTGTCTTCCTCCCTCTGGCCTGGGAGGTGGCTGGGCTGGGGCAGGGGCTGGGGACAGGTGCAGACGCTTACTTCTGCCCTACAGAAACGGGGTCAGCAAGTGGAACCCGAGGGCAGAGGCCAGACCGGGGAGTCCTCCTGGCAGGAAGGGCCCAGAGCTTGGCCTTGAGGAACTGGGTGCAGCGGTCCCGGAGCCCAGAGGTGAGCTGGGTTGGGTACAGAGAGCACCCTGACCCCTTCCTCCTCCCTCCATGGTCCTGCTGGCCACCCCGGACAGTCCACACATCATCCCTGGCTGCCCTGGGCATGGCTCCCCCTACTCCCCCGCCCCCTCCACTCCCCTGCCGCCCCCTCCACTCCCCAGCCTCCCCCTCTGTTCCCCCACCTCCTTCACTCCCCCACCTCCCTCTCCACTCCCCCACCTCCCTCTCCACTCCCCCACCTCCCTCTCTACTCCCCCACCTCCCTCTCCACTCCCCCACCTCCCTCTCCACTCCCCCACCTCCCTCTCCACTCCCCCACCTCCTCCACTCCCCCACCTCCCTCTCCACTCCCCCACCTCCCTGTCAGTTGGGGCCACGGCCTTGACAGCCGGCCTTCTACAGCGGTTCATGGGAGCAAGGCCCAGGCTCGGCGCTGCCAGGGCCCCACTGCCACGGCCTCCGAGTGGCGCCTGGCCCAGGCCCAGCAGAAGATTCGGGAACTGGCCATCAACATCCGCATGAAGGAGGAACTCATTGGCGAGCTGGTTCGCACAGGTGAGGGGCGGGCGCTGGGCGGCCTCCAGCCAGAGGGTGGTTAGGAGCAGGGCCAGGGTGTGGGCTTGAGACCCAGCTCAGCCTCTTCCAGCCGTGTGACCGTGAGCCAGTGGAATAGCCCCCCTGTGCCTCAGTTTCCTCAGTCCTAAAATGGGCACAGGAATTGTCCTTGCTTCACAGGGTTGTTCTGAGGATGAAATGAGTTAATTCAGGCAAAGTGCTTAGAATAGCTCTCAGGAGCTATTGTTATTATTTATTGTTGTTATTTAGTGTTACTTGTTATTTATTGTTGTTACTTGTTATTTATTGTTATTTATGAAGTGCCTGCTGTGTACTGGGCGCCGTGCTGGGTGGGCGCAGAAGCTCTCAGTCCTGGGGAGCACACAGTGTCCCCAAATTGTGCAACATCTATCGGTGAGATGTGTGATGGGCTAAGGGATGATATTAGGTGGTGACCAGTTGAACTTGATAGTTACGAATTTATTATAAAATGCACTGTGGCCCGGCTGGTGTGGCTCAGTGGTTGAGCGTGGACCCTGCACCAAGAGGTCACCGGTTCGATTCCCGGTCAGGACACATGTCCAGGTTGTGGGCCTGATCCCCAGTGGGGGCCATGCAGGAGGCGGCCAGTCGATGTTCTCTCTCATCGATGTTTCTATCTCTCTCCCCGTCTCCCTTCCTCTCTCTCTAAAATCAATAAAGAAAAAACATTTATAGAACGCATTGTGAAAAATTTCAGACAAATGAGACTAGCACAGTGGGTCCCCATATACCCATCACCAAGATTTAGTTATCACCTTTTCCCACATTTGTTTCATCTCTTCTTATTGCTAAAACATACGTTGTTTAATTAAACTTACTGGGTGACATGGGTGAATGACATCATATAACTTTCAGGTGTACAATTCTATAATACAGCGATTTTCAACCCTTTTCACCTCACAGAACACATAAACTACTGAAATTCGGCACACCAAAAATATGATTTTTGCAAATCTGACCCCCCAAAAAGGTATAAGTGTGGTTCATTCACACTGGTACGGCTATTGTTCTGTTGGCTGTTATCATTTTTTTTATTTAACAATCTGAGGGAAAAGAGTCTATGCCCCTGACTGAATAGTCGTGTGGTATCTTAAAAAAATTTTTTGTTTCTTTATTGATTTTAGAGAGAGGGGAAGGAGAGGGAGAGAGAGAGAGAGAGACAGAAACATCGATGAGAGAGAACATCGATTGGCCACCTCCTGCATGCCCCCCTCTGGGGATCGGGCCCAAAACCTGGGCACGTGCCCTGACCGGGAATCGAACCGGCGACCTCCTGGTGCATGGGTTGATGCTCAACCACTGAGCCACACCAGCCCAGCAGGTATGGCTTGTTTTAAGAACTTTAGCAGTACACCAGTTGAAAATCGCTGCTATTATACATCATCTCTATGTTGCATTGTGACCTCAACACCCACATTCGGTTTCTACGGTCACCATGTATTTGACCCTCTTTATCCTCCCCACCCTTTCCCCTCTGGTTGTTGCTTTCTGTTTTATGTGCCACATGTGAGCGAAATCCTGTGGTTCTTGTCCTTTTGCATTGTGGCAAATGTCACTATTTCACCATTTTTTATGGCTGAGTAACATTCCATCATGTATATGTTTCACATCGTCTTTATCTAATTGTCCATTGAAGGACACTTTGGTTGTCTCCATGTCTTGGCAACAAATAATGCTGCAATGAACATAGGGGTGCATATTGTTTTATGAAGAAATGGTTTCTAATTTTACAGGTAGCTACCCAGAAGAGGGTATCTCATATGGTAGTTCTATTGTTAACTTTTTGATGAACTTAGATGTAAGGTGGTCTCTCGTTGTGATTTTGATATGCGTTGCCCTTATAGCTAGTGAAGTTAAGTATCTTTCCATAAATCTGTCGGCCATTTGCATCTCTTCTTGGGAACAGTGTCTGTTCAGGTCGTCTGCCCAGTATTGTGTTGTTGTTGAGTTGTATGAGTTCTTCATATATTTTGCATATTAGCCCCTTTTTGGAGGTGATGTTTGCAAATATCCTTTCCCATTTGGTTGGTTGCCTTTCTCTTTCTTTGATGGTTTCTTTTGCTTTGCAGAAGATTTTTAGTTTGATGTAGTCCCATTTGTTTATTTTTGCTTTTACTTCCCTTGCCTTTGGGGTGAAATTTACAGAAACCTCTCTGAGACCCAAGTCCATAAGTTCAGTATCTATGTTTTCGTCTATGTATTTCAGGTCTTAAAATCAAATGCTTAATCCATTTTGTGTTAATTTTTAAATGTTTTTTTAAATTATTAAATGTATTGGGGTAACATTGGTTAATAGGGTCATATAGGTTTCAAGTGTGTACGTCTATGATACATGATCTATACACTGCATTGTGTGCCCACCACCCAAAGTCAAGTCAACTTCCGTCACCACGTATTTGGCTCCCTTGACCCCTTACTACCCCCCAACCCCTTCCCACTGGTCACTATCACACTGCTGTGTCTGTGACTTTCAGTTTTATGTTGCACGTATGAGTGAATGCATATGGGTCTTAGCTTTCTCTGCCTGACTTGTTTCACTTAGCATAATATTCTCAAGGTCCATCCATGTCGTCGCAAATAGCAGTATTTTGTCTTTTCTTATGGCTGAGTAGTGTTCCATTGTGTATATGTACCGCAGCTTCTGTTCTCTGGTCCGCGGGCCGACGCTCTAACCGCTGAGCCAAACCAGCCAGGGCCGTGCCAGAGCTTCTGTATCCAGTCCTCTGTGGAAGGACACCCCGGCTGTCTTCATGTCCTGGCCACCGTGAATAGCGCGGCAATGAACATAGGGGTGCATGTATGTCTTTGCAAATACATGTTTCCGAGTATTTGGGGTATATACCCAGGAAAGGGCTTGCTGGGTCATGTGGTAGCTCTATTCTTAATTTTTTGAGGAACCGTTATACTGTTTTCCATAGTGGCTGTACCAGTTTACAGTCCCAGCAGCAGTGAATGAGGGTTCCCTTTTCTCCACTACCTCTCCAACACTTGTTACTACTTGTCTTGTTGATAACAGCCATTCTAACAGGTGTGAAGTGGTAATCTCATTGTAGTCTTGATTTGCATTTCATAGCTGGTGAAGTTGAGCATCTTTTCTTATATAGTTTGGCTGTTTGTATGTTTTCTTGGAAGAAGTGTCTGTTCAGGTCCTCCGCCCATTTTTTTAATCAGATTGTTTATTTGGTGTTGAGTTTTATGAGTTTTTTATGTTTTTTGGATAGTAACCCCTTGTTGGAGCTGTTGTTTGCAAATATCATCTCCCATTCAGGTGGCTGGCTGCCTTTTTGTTTTGTTGTTGGTTTCTTTTGCTGTGTAGAAACTTTTTAGTTTGATATAATCCCATTCATTTATTTTGGCCTTTATTTCCCTTGCCTTTGGAGTCAAATTCACAAAATGTTCTTTACGAGCAAGGTTTGTAAGTTTAGTACTTATGCTTTCTTCTGTGTAAGTTATTGTTTCAGATCTTACATTTAGGTCTTTGATCCATTTTGAGTTAGTTTAAGTACATGGAGACAAACTAGTCTAGTTTCATTCTTTTGTGTGCGGCTTTCCAATTTTCCCAGCACCGTTTATTGACGAGGCTTTCTTTACTCCATTGGGTGTTTCTGGCTCCTTTGTCGAAAATATCTGCCCACATACATATGGTTTTATTTCTGGGCTCTCAATTCTGTTTCGTTGGTCTGTGTGTCTGCTTTTCTGCCAATACCATGCTGTTTTGATTATCGTCACCCTATTGTATAATTTGAAGTCAGGTAGTGTGATACCTCTGGTTTTCTTTTTTTCTAAGTATTGCTTTCACTATTCAAGATCGTTTGTGGTTGCATATAAATCTGTTGATTTTGTTCTATTTTTTTAAATGATGACATTGAGCCCTGGCCAGTGTGGTTATTTGGTTGAGCCTCATCCCATGCACTGAGAAGTTGCCGGTTTGATTCCCAGTCAAGGCACATGCTTGAGTTGCTGGCTTGATCCCTGGTGGAGGGCATGTGAGTGACAGCCAATCGATGTTTCTTTCTCTCATGGATGTTTCTCTCTCCCTTCTTCTCTCTCTAAAATCAATAAAAACATTTTTTTTTTTTAAAATGACATTGGGCCTGGCTGGTGTGGCTTAGTGGTTTAGCGTCGACCTATGCACCAAGAGGTCACCAGTTTGATTACTCGTCACAGCACATGCCCAGGTTGTGGACCAGATCCCTAGTGGGGGGCGTGCAGGAGGTGGCCAGTCGATGTTCTCTCTCATCGATGTTTCTGTCTCTCTCTCCCTTCCTCTCTCTGTCAAATCAATAAAGAAAAAATTTATTTTTATTGATACTGGGATTTTGATGGGGATTGCATGAAATCTGTATAGTGCTTTGGGTTATATGGCCATTTTAACTATGTTGACTCTTCCAATCCATGAACATGGAATGTCTTTTCATTTCATTGTGTCTTTTTCAGTCTCTCTTAATGATGCTCTGTAGTTTTCAGTATATACGTTCTTACCTACTTTGTTAAGTTTATTCCTGGGTATTTTATTCTTGTGGTGGAGAGTCACAAAAGGGATTTTTTTTTCTTTTTTTTTCCCTGAAGTTTCATTGTTAGTATATAGGAAAGAAGTGGATTTTTGCACATTCATTTTGTGTCCTGCAACTTTACTGTATTTGTTTATTGTTGCAAAAAGGGATGCCTTGTATTTCTTTCTCTTGCCTGATTGCTCTGGCTAGGACTTCCAGAACTATGTTGAATAAGAGTGGTGAGAAGGGGCATCCTTGTCTTGTTCTTGATTTAAGAAGAATTTCAGTTTTTCACTATTGAGTATGATACTGGCTGAGAGATGATCTAATATGGCCTTTATTATGTTGAGGTACTTTCCTTCTATACCCATTTTATTGAGTGTTTTAATCCTAAATAGATGTATATTGTCAGATACTTTTTCTGAATCTGTTGATATATGATTTTCTTTGTTTTGTTAATGTGGTATATTAGGTTGATCAATTTGGGTATGTTAAACCACCCTTGTGCCCCTGGAGTGAACCCCACTTGATTGTGATGTATTTTTTTAATGTAGCATATTGGACGTGCTAGTATTTCATTCAAGATTTTTGTGTTTGTATTTATCAGAGATATTGTTCTGTAGTTTTCTTTTTTTGTGTGTTATCCTTGCCAGGTTTTGGTATCAGGGTTGTGGTGGCTTCATAAAATGTGTTAGGAAGTGTCTCTTCTTCAGTTTTTTGGAAGAGTTGGAGAAGATAGGTTTTAAATCTCCTTTGAAAGTTTGGTAGAATTCATTGGTGAAGCCATCTGGTCCTGGACTTTATTTTTTGGGAGGTTTTTTGATAGTTGTTTCAATTTCTTCACTGTTTATTGGTCTATTTAGATTTTTCAGTTCTTCATGATTCAGTCTAGGAAGGTTATATATTTCTAGGAACTTATCCGTTTTCCCCCAGGTTATTGAATTTGGTGGTATGTAGTTTTTCATAGTATTCTATTATGATTCTTTGTATATCTGTGATGTTTATGGTTACTTCTTTCATTTCTGATTTTGTTTATATGAGTCTTTTCTCTTTTTTCCCATAGTGAGTCTAGCTAGGGGTTTGTCAATTTTATTAATGTTTTCAAAGAACCAGCTCTTTGTTGTATCAATTTTTTAATAGTCTTTTTGTTCTCTATTTCATTCAGTTCTGCTCTAATTTTTATTATTTCCTTTGTTCTGCTGACATTGGGCTTCTTTTGTTCTTCTTTTTCTAGTTCTTTAAGATGTAATGTTGTGTTGTTTACTTGGGCTTACTCCTCTCACTCTGGTCTTATTTTTATTTATTTTATCCTCACTCGAGGACCTATTTGCATTTATCTTCAGACAGAGTAGGAGGGAGGGAGGGAAGAAGAGGGAAACATCGATGTGAGAGAGACACATCGACTGGTTGCCACCCACACAGCCCCAACCAGGGCCGGGGACAAACTGCAACCGAGGTACGTGCCGTTAGTGGGAACTGAACCTGGGTCTCTCTGGTCCACGGGCCGATGCTCTAACCATTGAGCCAAACCGGCCAGGGCACTCCTGTTTCTTATATAGGCCTGTAATGCTATAAACTTCTCTCTTCCTTACTGCCTTTGCTGCATCCCAGAGGTTTTAATATGTTGTATTGTCATTCTCATTTGTCTCTATATATCTTTTGATCTCATTTTTTATTTCTTTTTTGACCCAGTTATTTTTTATTGGTATGTTGTTTAATCTCCACATATTTATGGTTTCTTTCCTTCCTTTTTGCATTTGATTTCTAATTTCAAAGCATTGTGGTCAGAGAATATGCATGGTATGATTTCAATCTTCTTGAATTTATTGGTGCTAGTTTTGGGACTCCACATATGGTCTGTCCTTGAGAATGTTCTGGGTGCAAATGGAGAATAACGTATAATCTGTTCTGGGATGAAAGGCTCTTTAAATGTAAATTATGTCCATTTGGTCTAGTGGGTCATTTAAGGCCGATATTTCTTCAGTGATTTTCTGTTTCGATGATTTGTGTAGAGCTGTCATTGAAGTATTAAGATCCCCAACTATGATTGTGTTTTGCTCTGTTTCTCCCTTTAGTTCCGTGAGTAGTTGCTCTATATATTTCAGTGCTCCCTGGTTGGGTGCATATATATTAAGAAGTGCTATGTTTTGCCCTGGCCGGTTTGGCTCAGCGGTTAGAGCGTCGGCCTGCGGTCCAGAGAGACCCGGGTTCAGTTCCCGCTAAGGGCATGTACCTCGGTTGCAGTTTGTCCCCGGCCCTGGTTGGGTCGTGCGGGTGGCAACCACTCGATGTGTCCCTTTCATGTCGATGTTTCTCTCTCTCTCTCTTCTCTCTCTTCCTCCCACTCTATTTGAACAAAAAATGAAAAAAATGTCCTCGGGTGAGGATAAAAAAGTGCTGTTTTCTTGATGTGGTGTCCGCTTTATCATGATAAAATGTCCATCTGTGTCTCGTTATCTCGAAATATATTTTGTCAGCTATAAGTATGGCTACACCTGCTTTTCTGTGGATGTTGTTTGCTGGAGAATCGTTTTCCACCCTTTCATTTTGAGTCTACCTTTGTCTTTGCAGCTGAGATGTGTCTCCTGAAGGCAGCATGTGGCTGGCTTTCGTTTTTGATCCAGTCTCCTCCTCTGTGTCTCTTTATGGGTGAATTCACTCCCTTTACATTTAGGGGACTTAACTGATGTGTGAGGATTTCCTATAGCTGTTTTATCCTTTGTTTTCTGGTAGCTCTGAGCCTCTATTGGTTCTTTTCCTTTGTGTTTCTGTCTTTTGTTTTTGTTTGATGGTGTTTCATATTTCTGTCCTCTTTATATATATTATATATGTGTGTGTGTATATATATATATAATATATATATATTTTTTAATCCTTACCCGAGGATATTCTTCCATTTATTTTCAGACAGAGTGGGAGGGGAGGGAAGGAGGGAGAGAGAAAGAGGGAGAAACATCGATGTGAGAGAGACACACCAACTGGTTGCCTCCTGCACGACCCCAACCAGGGCCGCGGACCCACCTGCAACCAAGGTACGTGCCCTTGACAAGAATCAGACCCACAGCTCTTTGGTCTTCAAGCAGATGCTCTAGCTGCTGAGCCAAACTGGCCAGGGCTGTTTCTTCTTTTATAAAGCTATGTGTCTCAGTTTGGGGATTTTTTTTTTTTTTTTGGTGTGTAGGTACCATTAAGTTTATGAAAAAGAGACTTTCATATATACGGTAATCCTTTTTCTTTTGAACACATCTGATCTCCATTTGTGTTTATTTCCGTGTGTGGCTAGTTTCATGCCTTTGCAGGGGGTTTCTCAGTTTTCCCAGCACGTTGTTGAAGAGGCTGTCCTTTCTCCACTGTGTTTTTTATTCCTCCGTTGAAAATTAGTTACCCATCCACATGCAGGTTATTTTCCTGGACTTTCTCAGTCTGTTCCATTGGTCTGTGTGTCTGTTTTTCTGCCACGCCATGCTGTTTTGATGACTTTGGCTTTGTAATGTAGTTTGAAGTCAGGTATTACAATACCTCCACTTTCTTCATTTTTCTCAGGATTGCGTTGGCTATTCCAATTTCTTTTGTGGCTCTATATGAATTTGCAGATTTTTTGTTCTTTGAAAAATTCCACTGGGATTTGTGTGACTCTGGAGTGATAGGGATTGTGGGGAATCTTTGTTTTGCTTTGGGTAGCTTGGAGAGTTTTTTTCTTTCTGTTGCAATGGGGAGGTGGACAGGTGGTACAGCTTTGCCTGACTTCTGCTCCAGGCCTTAGTGTGAGGCTGCAGCTCAATGTCTCCCAGCTGCTGCGCACACGGGAGCCGCAGTGGGTGCCCAACTGCGCTGTGGCCACCTTCCTGCCTGCTGGTTCCCCTACGCCCACCTTCGGATGTCCCGGTGCATGGACGTTCCAGGCATGTTTGTGCGTTGAGCAGAGGCTCCCTTGTTGAGCCATAGCTGTCCGACTTGTACGTTTAAGGAGAAGCCCTGGAGTCGTCGTGTTCTGCTGTGATGCTGATGTCATCCCCCGGAAATATTCTGAAGCACATCCCAGGCATCATGTCATTTCAGGCTACACCTTTCAGCTTTTTTGGGGACACTTTTTAAACATATGTTTTTAGCCCTGGCGGGTTTGGCTCAGGGGTTAAAGTGTTGGCCTTCGGACCATAGAATCATGGGTTCGATTCCAGTTGAGGGCACATAACCTCGGTTGTGGTTCAGTCCCCGGTCCTGGTTGGGTCATGCAGGAGGCAGCCAGTCAATGTGTCTCTCTCACATAGATGTCTCTCTCTCTCTTTCTCCCTCCCACTCTATCTGAAGATAAATGGAAAAAATCCTCGGGTGAGGATTAAAAAAAGGAAAATGTTTTTATTGATATATATATATATCAATATTATATATTGTATATATATATATTATATATATGTATATAATTTTAGAGAGAGAGGAAAGGAGATAGAGATAGAAACATTGATGAGAGAGAGAGACATTGATTGGCTGCCTCCTGCACGCCCCCTACTAGGGATCAAGCCTAAAACCCAGGCATATGCCCTGACCAGGAATCAAACCAGGACCTCTCAGTCTGAGGACAACGCTCAATCCGCTGAGCCACACCGGCTGGGCTTGGACAATTTTTTTACCTCACCGAAATGCCATTAGTGCACCTTACTCACAGTCACCTTGGTGCCCGTTGTGGAGCACAGATCCTCCATGGTTCAACAACACTTGTTGACTCAAGCTCCAGAGTTGTCCTGCACATTACGTTTGCTTGCTGGGTCTCTGACATTTCCTTTCTGTCCCCCTCCAGCCATCCGAGTCAGTTTGCTTCCTAGGGGTGTCATGTGACCTGCTGTGCCTCGCACTCCCTGCCAGGGGAAGTTAGCTCCGCAGGGTTAATTATGCGCAGGCCCAAGGGACATGTTCACTTTAGCATGGATTAGGTGAAAATACCAGTCCCTGCGCAGTTTCCCTGGGTCACGGCCATGGATGATGCTAACTCAAAAAGTGAGTCGATTTCAAGAGAAATGCTAAGTCAGTCATGGTGCTGGTGGAACAGAGGTTTGGTAAAATCCACGCAGTGTTCGTGGCTGACCGGTCGGAAACTTCCCGGGGGCTGGTGCTCCCGGGGGATGGAGGCCGGTGCTGACGGCCCGCTTCTCCAGGGAAGGCGGCTCAGGCTCTGAACCGCCAGCACAGCCAGCGCATCCGGGAGCTGGAGCAGGAGGCGGAGCGGGTGCGGGCCGAGCTGAGCGAGGGCCAGAGGCAGCTGCGGGAGCTGGAAGGCAAGGAGCCGCAGGACGCCGGCGAGCGGTCCCAGCTGCAGGAGTTCCGCAGGAGGGTGGCCGCGGCCCAGAGCCAGGTGCAGGTGTGCGGGCCGCCCTCATCCATCTGTCCTTCCAGCTCCCTTCACTCCCTCTCCACCCTGCCCTCCCTCGTGCCCTCCTCAGCCTCTGCGACCCTCTCATCCACCTGTTTCAGTTGATGTGACCAAATTTATCCCTGCACCCTTTCCTCTTTCTGTTCCCTTTTGTCCCTACTTTATCTGTGCGTCATGGTTTTTTTAAAAAATGTTTTTATTTATTTTTTAGAGAGAGAGGAAGGGAGAGAGAAAGAGAAACATCAACCGGGTGCTTCCTACACGCCCCCCACTGGGCACCCAGCTGGAAACCGGGGCCTGTGCCCTGACCCGGAGTCCAACGGGACCTTTCAGTCCATGGGAAGATGCTTCCTCCACTGAGCCACACCCGCTGGACGCATCCTGTTTTTTTTTTTTTTTTATATTCACGCAATCTCATCCATCTTTCTGTCCACACCCCTGTCTATCTGTCCGCCCATCATTCACTCCTTTCTTTCTCAGTCCAGGCATCCGGACACGATCCAGTACAGAAGGGCTTGGGCTCTGGAACTGGACTGTGGGTTTGAACCCCAGCTCTGCAGTGGCTGTGTATCCTTGGTCAAGCTTCCTAACTTCTCTGTGCCTCAGTTTCCTAATCTGTTAACTGGGCTGTCAGTAGTCATGCTTCTCGACACCATTGTTAGGGCGGCTTCACAGGCACAGAGCACTTAGTGTAGTGCCTAGTACATAGTAAACATCAGCCTGCCTCCCATTAGCAGCCTTTTGATGTTTTTACTAGTCCGTCGCCCACCTGCCTGCTTTCTCTCCTGCCTGCCCCTCCCCCCGGTCCGCGTCCCGCCCGCCCGGTTTGGGCGCGGGGCCCAGCGGAGGCTTTGCTGGTCTCAGGTGCTGAGAGAGAAGAAGCAGGCGACCGAGCGGCTGGCGTCGCTGTCGGCCCAGAGCGAGAAGCGGCTGCGGGAGCTGGAGAGGAACGTGCAGCTCATGCGGCAGCAGCAGGGGCAGCTGCAGAGGCGGCTTCGGGAGGAGACGGAGCAGAAGCGGCGCCTGGAGACGGAGATGAGCAAGCGGCAGCACCGGGTCAAGGTCAGGCTGGGTGCGGTGCCGCCACGTGACCTTCCCCGGCGGGTCCCCTGACCTCGCCGCGTCTTTACTTGCAAATGAGGATTGATACAGGAAAGTCGGGGCCAGGGTGAGAATTCAGTGCCATGGACCCTATAAGGCGGTGGGCACCTCATCTTTTTGGAGCCAGATCAGTGTTTGCTCCCGTTCGCTGGAGCGAGACCTGGGGGCCTGAGGCTGCGGAATGTATGCGGGGGGAGGGGACAGGTGCGCACGCCCCGCCCCCGAGACCCGCCCGTGCACCCCCAGGAGCTGGAGCTGAAGCACGAGCAGCAGCAGAAGATACTGCGCATCAAGACGGAGGAGATCGCGGCCTTCCAGAGGAAGCGGCGCAGCGGCAGCAGCGGCTCGGTGTTCAGCCTGGAGCAGCAGCAGGTGGGCACCCCCGGGGCGCCCGGAGCCCCACGCTGGGGGCTGCGCACACGGCGGCCTGAGCGCTGAGCGCCCCCCCCCCCCCCTTCAGAAGATCGAGGAGCAGAAGAAGTGGCTGGACCAGGAGATGGAGAAGGTCCTGCAGCAGCGGCGCGCGCTGGAGGAGCTGGGGGAGGAGCTCCGCAAGCGGGAGGCCATCCTGGCCAAGAAGGAGGCCCTGATGCAGGAGAAGACGGGGCTGGAGAGCAAGCGCCTGCGGTCCAGCCAGGTGAGCCCCCCAGAGGTGTGCACAGGTATTGCTTTGTCCTGCCGGGCCACCTGTAGCCTGTGGATCCCGCAGGTTCTGAGGTATGGGCAGAACCTCTCCCAGTATCCTCCCCACAGTTCGTTTCCCTCATCAACCCCCGTTCTGGGGCTGCGCGGGCAGGACCAGGAGCAGCAGCAGGTACAGAAGGATGGTGAGGTGGCCCAAGAGAAAGCCCCACTGGCTTCCTGGAGCTCCATTGCTCCCTCCTGGGTAGGCTGTTTCCGAGCCATTTCACTTGGCCCTGGGGACTCGAGGGGCATCAGACACAACCCAGAGCTTGTTCTGCTCGGGTGGCACTCTTGAGTGGAGGGTCTAGGGTGATGCTGGATTATCCGAATGTCCCTTGGTCATTAGGGTCCTCACTTCCTCCCACTTTGGGCTCCCGGAAAGGCCTTCGGGGTTCAGCCACTAATTCCCCGTAATTCCCATCACAAACTCAAGCTTCTCTGCCCTGGCCCATGCCGTCTCCTTGTCAGGAGTGCCTTGTCAGGAGTGCCTTGTCCTCTGTTTGTCTGCACCCTCCTTCCGGACCGTCTCTGGGCCCCTGTGCCCAAGTTTCTGCAGGACTGAGGCCTCCTTAGCATGCGACAGGTGGTCTGTCACCCCGAGGGTGGGGCCTGCCCCTCCCCTAACGCCCAGTGGTCTGCCCCAGGCCCTCACCGAGGACATTGTGCGCGTGTCCAGCCGGCTGGAGCACCTGGAGAAGGAGCTGTCAGAGAAGAGCGGGCAGCTGCGGCAGGGCAGTGCCCAGAGCCAGCAGCAGATCCGCGGGGAGATCGACGCCCTGCGCCAGGAGAAGGACTCGCTGCTGAAGCAGCGCCTGGAGATCGATGGCAAGCTGCGGCAGGGCAGCCTGCTGTCGCCCGAGGTACGCCTGTGCGGGGCCCTGGCCTTGCTGCTGTGGGACACGGGCCCTCCTGGGTGACGGCCCACTAAGGTGGGGCTGGGTGTTGGAGCGCGTGCCGGACGGGACCCCGCTCTAGCCCCTTGTCCGGGACACACGGGCTGGGCCTGGCTGCCCGTCATTCCCTGCCAGCTCGAGTCCAGACGGCGTCCTGTGCTGCCCTGACCGTGGCCCATCTCAGCTCCCCTGACCGCTGGCCCATCTCAGCTCCCCGGGTGGGAATGAGGGTCGGAACCACATGGGTGGCCCTTTCCTGAGCGGTCCTGCTGGGCCTGCCCGCGGCAGAGAGCAGCCTGTAGCAGCCCCAGCCTGCCCCTCCACCCCTGGGATCGGGCTGTGACAGCTCAGGACAAGGGGACACAAAGGGGTCAACTGGCTGTGTGCCTAGGACTTAGTCCCTCGGGAAGACGGTAACCGCCCCACACCCACGTCCCCACAGGAGGAGCGGACGCTGTTCCAGCTGGACGAGGCCATCGAGGCCCTGGACGCCGCCATCGAGTACAAGAACGAGGCCATCACGTGCCGCCAGCGGGTGCTGCGGGCCTCGGCCTCCTTGCTGTCCCAGTGCGAGATGAACCTCATGGCCAAGCTCAGCTACCTCTCGTCCTCGGAGACCAGAGCCCTCCTCTGCAAGTACTTCGACAAGGTGGGTCCCCGGGTCCCCAACCCCTGCCCCCTCCTTCCGAGCTCCAGGGCTGCCTCGGACTCTCTCTTTAAAGCCTGTTCTATTTGCGAAACTGAGAGCATGTCCCCTCCCTTTCCGGTCTGATTGTCACCTTCAGGGTGGCCTTTGCCCTGATCACTGGTTCACAACAGAGATATGTGCTGGCCCAGGGGATATGTGGCCGTGTCTGGAGATACCTTTGGGTGTCACAGCAGTAGGGGTAGAGGCCAGGGATGCACGCCCAGGGCAGACCCAGACTGTCAGTGGTGTTGAGGCTGGAACTCCTGGCTTCCGTGAGGCCCCCAGGTTTGAGGGGGGATGGCAGATAACACTCATCTTGAGGGCGAAGTCTCATCACTTGGAATCGCTGCCTGGCTGCTGTTCAGAAGGCGTCCAAGGCCCCGGTGGTTTCTCAGAGACGTCGGCACGGGGCGGTAGTGGTCCTTCTGCCAAGTACCTGCTGTCCCTGGATGAGGGTCACCTGGCGAGGGGAGCGCGCTGGGCCTGAGCCTAGCCCTCTCGGCCCAGGTGGTGACGCTGCGCGAGGAGCAGCACCAGCAGCAGGTGGCCTTCTCGGAGCTGGAGATGCAGCTGGAGGAGCAGCAGAGGCTGGTGTACTGGCTGGAGGCGGCCCTGGAGCGGCAGCGCCTGGAGACGGACCGCCAGCTGACGCTGCAGCAGAAGGAGCACGAGCAGAACGTGCAGCTGCTCCTGCGGCAGAGCCGAGGTGAGGCCCGGCCCGCGCTTGCAGGCCCCGGGGGCCCGCCGGGCCGCCCTGTCACCCTCTCCTCTCTGCCTTCCCTCTAGACCACCTCGGGGAGGGCTTGGCGGACAGCAGGAGGCAGTATGAGAGCAGGATTCAAGCTCTGGAGAAGGAGCTGGGCCGCCACATGTGGATGAACCAGGAGCTGAAGCAGAAGCTGGGCGGGGGCAGCGCTGCGGGCCAGAGCAGGGGTAAGCCTCCTGCGGGCCGGATGTCGCTGCCTGGCGAGTCCGGTTCCGCTTGTGCTTGGGGAAAGGTCAGAAGCCACCCTTCGTTCTCCCAGGGTCATTTCACAAGCTGCTTACTGTGCTGGGGCGACGGGAAGCTAGGACTAAGGCGCTGCCGCCTCCACTCTGACACGGGTGTCGTCCTTCTCCGTGGCAGGTGGGGAGAAGCAGCCCCTGTGCCCGGAGAACAGACCACCCCCTGGAAATGAAGACGAGCTCCACCCAGCCCCCGAACTGCTCTGGCAGTCCCCCCTGGCCGAGGGCGCGCCCCATGCCCGGGAGGAGGTGCGGGACTTGGTCCACGCTCCACTCCCAGTGACGTGGAAGCGCTCCAGCCTGTGTGGCGAGGAGCAGGGCTCCCTGGAGGAGCTGCGGCAGCGGGAGGCCACGGAGCCCCTCGTAGGGCGAGTGCTGCCCGTGGGGGAGTCGGCTCTGCCCTGGAACCTCGGGCCCCGGCCCAGGCGGGAGCTGCGCAGAGCCAGCCCCGGGATGATCGACGTCAGGAGGAACCCCCTGTAGCAGGCCGGGCAGCCTTGGAGGCTCCCGCCCGCCTGCTGAAGGTCGAGTGCCACCTGCTCTGCAGTGTCCTGGCCTCTCTCTTCAGGCCCCAGTCCTGACACTCAGCGTCAACCCCAAGGAACTGCACTGTTTCCCTTTTTTTATCCTCACCCGAGGACATTTTTTGATATTTTATTCAGAGTGGGGGAGAGAGAGAACCATCGACGTGAAAGGGACACACCGAGTGGTTGCCACCCACACGACCCAACCAGGGCCGGGGACAAACCGCAACCGAGGTACGTGCCCTTAGCGGGAACCGAACCCGGGTCTCTCTGGACCGCAGGCCAGGGCAGATTCCCACATCTCGCTGCCTCTAAGCCGCGGTGCCAACGGTCACCTTTGGCTTGTTTCGGGGCAGTTCAGGTGTCTTTGTGTGCCCCTTTATTTTAGGTCTGGGGCTCAGCCACGGCTGCTCAGAGTGGCCTGTGATTTACATGGTCATAATGTATATGAGGGGAATTGGAAAACATCGCATTTTTAGAATTTTATAAAACCATTTTATAATAAATGAGAATAACCTCTGGAGAAAAGGGGATTTTTCACTCTGAGTTTGATTGACAATAGTAGGAATTGATCTGGGAACACCGCAGGCTGGGAAGTTTCTCAGAGAACAAGGGACAGCTGTGACTCGGGCCAGACTCGACAGCAGGCCGCCCACTCCGGCCCTGGTGAGTCTCCCTAAAGGGGCCAGGATGCGCCGTGGACAGACCCCGTGGTGTGGCAGGACCAGTTACCCTCAGGGGGGAATGTGACAGAGAGCCAAGTAGCCAGAGATAACGTCACTGTTACAGGGAAATGCCTGCTGTCCATTCGGGTCACAGCCTTAGAGCAGCTTCACAGGGACCTGTGTGGGGTCCTCCCTCCCATTTCGCAGGTGAGGCAGCACGTCCCCATCAGGGTGGGCCCAATGGGCTCCGGGCTCCCAGGTGCCTCAGTGTAGTGCTGGGTATGCCACCTCCTAACAAGAGCAGGGCCTGGGCGACAGAGGCGGGGACCAGGCCCCAGTTTGTTTATGCCCGTAGGGCAACCTTGCCTTCACCCTTTGAACTTGCCCAGTCCATGAAGCCCGTCCCTGGGCGCAGGGGAGCCGAGCTGCGTTGCTGGGCCCTCTGCTGAGATTCCCTCCAGGGCCGCGCTGGCGTCTGGGAAGCAGGGCTCCGGACAAGCTCTGTAGTGTTGTAGTTAGAAGTCCCTTGGCCGGTCCTCCTAGCTAATCAGCTTCTTCCGTGAATACGTTCTGCTGACCGGGCGTGTCCGGGAAAATGCTCGGCTGAAAGGAGAGTCCTCTGCTGTGGCGGGAAATACATCCAAATCTTCATCTAGAAAAGGCAGACAGACAGGAGGTAGCTGAGGACACGAAGGCCGTGTTCTCCAGTCACCTGCACGGTCTGGGTCAGGTCTGGGCGTTCAGGCTTTCTGTTGTGGCCTCGAGGGAGGCCCACCTCCTGCCCTGCCCTGCGACCCGGAGGAAGGAAACCTTGGGACCCGTGCAGCTCACAGGCTCAGCCCAGTTCTTTTCCAGACGAGGAAGGGGGCCAAGCCAGAAGGCTGATGGCAGCAGCCGGTCCTTTGCAACAAGGAACATGCAAGACCACGGAGGACGTGGCTCAGACCCCAGGGACTTACGCTGTGCCCAAGTCTGTCACTGTTTTCAAGAATCTCAAGTATTTTGGTAGGATTTCGTGGGGTTCTGTTTTAATGGGGCACTTCCCTGGGGAGGGCGCAGCACCCGCCACTGCAGGGACAAACCACCTGTCCCAGGCCAAGCAGTCCCATTGCTCCTCCCACACCCACCTGGCTGGCAGCCTTGAGCTCACTCAGGGAGTCACCTGACGTTGGCAAAGGTCTCCAGGACCCTCCACGACTTACCTGCGGCGTCTCTGCACTGAGAAGAGGGCGTCTTCCCTTGGAACAGCAGAGGAGACCGGGTCAGAGCCTGGAGCCCCCGGGCTGACAGGCAGCCCCGCACCGCACAGCCGGGAGGTGGGGTGGGACCTGCAGAGATGCCCGAGGTCAGCACAGCCCTGCGGCCGGCAGGGAGGCCCGAGCCCAGCCAAGCCAGTCACCACTCACCTGAAGCGCACACCTCGTCGTCCCCAGAGGGCGGGAGCTGCTGCAGGCCCGCGCGTGGAGACCGCTCCCGGCCCTGCCAAAGGTCTGAGTCTTCGCTCTGCGTGTCACAGGCTCTCTTGGCTTCACACTCGGCTTCTTCCTCGGCAGAGAGGAGCCTCTTCCTGGAGCCCAACCCGAACTGGCCCCAGGAGGAGGCTTCCGCAACCGCGCCGGCTCCAGGAGGGGACTGGTCTGGCAGCTGACACACCCCCTCCAGCTCGGGCGAGCCACCTCCAGAAAGGTCGGGGCCGGCCTCAGCCCTCCCCAAAGCGCCCCCGAGGCTGCAGCCCCCCGCCCTCTTCCTCCGCGGCCAGTCCTTGATAGAGTCAGGGGTTGTCTTCCCGCTGTGCTTGGGAGATGGTGTCCAAGGAACCCCAACATCTGCCTGGAACGGACTGGGGGTGCTAGAGGGGCAGCGGGTGGGGGTGCAGGACTGACAGATGTAAGTCTGTCCGCCACTCTTGCCAGGGCTGCTGTGCGCAGGGCGAAGGCAGGGCGGTGACATATAGGAGGTGTCGGGCCTGCCTGAGGACTTGCTGCCCCTGGGCACGCCCAGCCCAGGGGAGACACCCTGCTCCCTCCTCAGGGGCTCAGCTTCTGACCAAGGGCTGGCGTCCACCTTTCTGATTCGCAGCTTAGGCAAGCCGCCATCCTGCAGCTCCAGCTCCACCTCGTAGGCCTGTGGGGGCGCAGGGGCCGCTGGACGCTCAGCTGACAGGTGCTCGAGCTGGGCGGCAGCCTGGGGCTGCCTTCCGAGGGCCGCACAGCCCGGGGAGTCGGAAGGTGTCCGGGGAGAGCTGAGCCCAGAGGACGGAGGAGACGGCGGGATCCCAGGGTAAGACAGGGAAGGCTTCTCAGTGTCCACCGTCCGGAATCCCTCGCCTTCTCCCACGGGAGGAACGGGGCTGGTCCTGTCCTCAGCTGCACCCAGCACAGGGGAGGCCGTGTGCCAGTCACTCCTGGAGCCAGGCCCAGGGCCGCCGTGCCCTTCGCAAGGCTGAGGACAGGGGTGCGGTCCCTCCTGGAGATGGCAGGCGTTGGTGCGGGCAGTGGGGGAGGACTGGCACCCCAGGACGCCTTTCTCAGAACTGGAGGGATTTCTGTGCCTTCTCCCAGCTCCAGGGGAGGGAGAACGAGGGATGACGTCAGACGTGGCTCTCGGTGAGGTCCTGGGGGAAGCTGAAGGGACAGCAGGGGGCAAAGATGGGGTCTCTTTCCCATCCAGTTCTCCGGGGGGAGGGGACTCTGCCAACACTGTCCTGCACAGACTGGTGGGAACACCACAGCCAGCAGAGGTGGAAGGGTCCTCTGGAGAAACAGGTGGGGGAGACACCATGGCTGTGTCCTCGGATCTCGGCAGGGTTTTGACAGCGTTCACCTTCCATGTCTGTGCCGGCCCCTGGCGCTGAGGGCGCTGGTGTCTGTGGGTTGGAGGTGTGCGCACCACCGAGGCTGCCGCTCCGGGGGCGGATCTGAGAGGCAGTCTGACGGGAGTCAGACACCCACCCCCAGACTGGGTGGGTGAAGGCTCCGAGACTGCCAGACCAGAGGTGCTTTCTGGATTGGAATCCACTGATGGTAGCCAGGCAGAACTCTGCCAAAACCCGAGGGGCGGGCCACCTGGCCTTGTGGGAGTCCTGGGCATCTTTCCAAGTGGAGAGGCACCTCCTCCCGGCAGGGGCCGTTGTTTTTGCGGGGTGACTTTTGGTGGAGAAGGTGAATCCCTGCTGTGCAACGAGTCTGCACAGGACGGAAACAGCACCTGGTGGGCAGGTGTCTGGGCGGCAGGGGGGGTTCGCAGCCTCTCGGGGGTGCACAGCGGAGTCTGTGGCGTACGAGGGAGCCTTCTGGGTGTAGCTTTAGAAGAGACAGGAGACTTCCAGGAACTCTTCATAGGAGTCTGTAAAGAAAACATTTCAGTGCTCGACTACCCTAAGCCACTCTCTCAAGACTGTCTAGTAACCTCTAAGACCATTAGAAAGGCCCGTGGAAGCCAGACAGGCTGCCAAGGGCACGATCTTAACAATGAGGCATTTCCACCTCCAAAGTAGGGTTCGATGTTACGTGCCCACTTCTGCATGAAGCACTGGATCTGGTCTGTGTGTTTCCCTGAGACATTAATGTACAACAGTGATGCATGGCCTCTAGTGAGTGTACTCGACCAAACACCCTGGGCCTTCCCTTCGCCACGACACTCTGTCTGACCTTGGCCCGGAGCAGCCTCTGGGTGTCACAGCCTCTCCTGCTCACCCACACTCAGCAGGCACTAGACTGAACACCTACTGTGCGCCAGGCAGTGCGCGTGCGCGTGTGTGTGTGTGTGGGGGGGGGGCTGGGAAGCGTGGGACACACATACAGGAGGCCTTGCAAGACAGACCCCACAAGAAGTGTCCCTTCGGCCTTGCAGATACTACACTCCAGCAGGTAAGGAGCCCACACCGCCCCCACTGCAGCCCTGTGACGTCTCTGGCGAACGCTGCCTGGGTGTCCTTGCTCACTGGGGTGTGGATGGGGATGAGTGTGGCTACCTCAGTGACAGCTGGCACAGGGCACTGGGAAGCCGAGGAGAGCTCACTGCCAGACCAACAGAGCAGGGGCCAGGCGGACACACAGTCACATCTACAAGAACTCGTGTTGAAAGGGGAAGGAAAAGGTTTGGAGTTGGATGCGCTACCCTTGCGCCACGAGGTCGACCAGGAAAAGGCACTGTGGGTACACAAAATCCAAATAAAGACCTTGCCATCCTGTTGCCGCCTTTCGCCGCCTTCCCCAAACCCCCACCCGTGATTCAGGTACAAGACAGGTGAGTAAGGAATCTAAAAATGTTGCGCCGCAGCCTAATTTCAAATAAAAACTGGAGAGTGTAAATGTCCTTCCCCAATCTCACCAGCACTGACAGAAGAGAAATTTCGCCGAGACAGGTAAGGAGAATAGGTAAGTGGTCCCTCACCTTTCACCTCCACTCCACACCCACCCTCTCCTACTGTTCTGCCCGTTCTCTCTCTCCCTCATGGCCCTCTCCCCTGCCCTAATTCCCGCTCTTCTTGAACTGCAGCTCCATAATCACACTGGTACCCCTACCTCGTCTCTCCAAACCACTCCCTTCCATTTGAACCCTCTCTGCTATCTCTGATCTGCCTGAATATGCTCCCCTTTCCCGAACACTCCCTGACTCCCCTGTCTCTCTAGTATCTCTGCCATCTCCCTCTCTTCTCTGAACCCCATGTCTCCCTAATTTCTCCCACCTCTCCGTATCTTCTCTGAATCCCGTGACCCCAATTTTCCAACTCTCTCTCTCTTCTCTGAACCCCTGTCTTCCAATTTCTCCCACCACTCCCCAATTCCTCCCACATCTCCATCTCTTCTCTGTACCCCGTCTCCCTAATTCCTACTAGGGTTCTCTCCCTTCTCTGATTCCCCTCTCTCCCCAATTCCTCCGACCTCTGCCTCTCTTCTCTGTACCCCCTCACTGTCTCCCTAATTCCTCCCACTGCTCCCTCTCTCTCAGAATGCCCTATCGCCCCAATTATTCCCACGTCTCCATCTCTTCACTGTACCCTCAATGTCTCCCTAATTTCTCCATCCTCTCTCCCTCTGAATGCCCTATCTCCCCAATTTCTCCCACCGTTCCCTCTCTTCTCTGAATTCCCATCTGTCTCTCTTCTCTGAATGCCAGCCCCCTTATTTCTCCAACCTCTCCCTCTCTTTTCTCAACTGCCAGTCTCCTTAATTTCTCCCAACTTTCCTTCTTTTCTGTGAACACCCATCTCCCTATTTCTTCACCTCTCCTTCTCTGCTCTGTATCCTCTCTCCCCAATTCCTCCCACCTCTGCCTCTCTTCTCTGAATTCCCAATTTCTTCACCTCTCTTTCTCTTCTCTGTATCCTGTCTCCCTAATTTCTCCCTCTCCTTCCTTCTATCTCTATTAATCTTTTTTCCTCCCTAATTTCTCCCACCTCTCCCTCTCTTCTCTGAATTCCCATCTGTCTCCCACCGCTACTTCTTCTGTGAATCCCCAATTTCTCCACCTCTTTCTCTTCTCTGTCTCCCTAATTTCTCCCCCTCGTCACTACCTCTCTGTCCCTTCCTCTCTTCTTTGAATCCCGTCTCCCTAATTTCTCACACCTTTCCCTTCCTTCTCTGAACTCTCTATCTCCTTGGTTTCTAGTTGCTCTCCCTTATCTCTGTCATCCTAATTTCTCTTCCTCATCACTACCTCTCTGTCCCCATCCTCTCTCCTCTGAATCCCGATACAATCATCAGAGATTCAGTAGCACAAGTAATGCCTCTACACTTTCAGTACCCGATGCTGTGTGAGCCATAGTTTACCTGAGACATCAGCAGAGACTCTGAAGATCGCTGTTGTTGGTGCCTCCAGCAGTGGTTTGATTTGCTATGATCATGAACTTCCGTTCGTTTTTATAGATCTACCTACTGCTAATACGTGATGGCTTGGGGAGCATATCACTGCCTTCTGAATGAGGTTTAACTGACTTATATCAGGAACAAGTGATTTGATCAGTGTAAAACACTGAAACTATAAATGAAAGACCGAAGGAGATCAAAGTTTTGCCTACCTATTGCTGCCTTTTGGAATTTTTATTTTCAACTGGTTACTAGGAACGGAGACGCAGAAAGAACCTTTGGCCCTCCCCATCACGGCTCAGTAATGTGTGTTCTCCAAGACCATTCTAAAACACACATTTCCTACCTGATAAGCTGTAGGAGGCTGAGAATCCAGGGTGCTTCCTGAAGACCCCTGATGTCGAGCTGGACTGACCGTCTCAGACATGGCCCCGAAAAGGAGCGTCTTGGGAGACCGAATCTTTTGGGTGGGAGAATTTCCTCTTTGGTCTGCAAGTCAAAAAAAGTGACAACATTGAATTCTTTGTCTTCTGCCCTCCCAGCACTCATAGAACAGGCACTCAATACAAATAGAAAACAATTACTTTCGAGCTGGGGGGAAATGCCATCTAATGTCAGCAATTATACAACCATGTCCCTTTCCTGAATTTTAATAAGACTGCAATTGGCCCCTATGTTAAGAAATATAGGCAACTAAAGTACTTTAGTTTATAGTTATAAAAACATATTTCTAGTGATCCAAGCTAGTGATAGATAAAAGAGTAAAGGATATACAGATACCACCTTTCACCTGGGACACTTGCGTGTAGGACAAGAACACACACTGCGATCACTTACAGAACCGTGTACGTGACCAGCTGTAATACGCCAACAGGATGATGCTGATGAAGAGCCTGATCTGGTCATTGCCCTTCACTTTAAATGTACATACCTGTCCTACTTATCCAATGTCAAGAAACAAATGGTCAAAATTTACACCACTTTTCCCAAGAAGACTTCCCACCAAGTTAGCACGAACTTCTGAAGCCGGGTGGGCAAGGACGGTACCTGACTGGTTTTGCTGAAATGAGTGAACTCTTTGCACACTTCGAGACTTTGGCTGAGATGCAGAATAGAAAGGACCAGAATTTGTCCTGCCAAGTGACAACTGCTTGATTCGAGGACTTCTTCTCAAATTTATTTCTACAAAACCAAAATGAGTCAGTGACCAGGGAGAAATGCAAGACTGACCTTTCCCTTATATAAAATGAGTAACATTTATGTTATACCAAATACACAAAAGACATCTGACAAGCCATTGACTGAGACTTAATTATTGTAGCAAAGATAAGAGGTGTATGATATGTGGCCCCAATGAGGTGCAAAACCAAACAAAACAGTGACTCAGTAGATTGTCACCTGCGGACAGGGTCATGAACGGCCACTGTGAAGCACAATGTGGGGTGAAAAATGTGTGAAGTATGGTGACTCTTGTAAAAAGAGTTATTTAAAATTTGCCATTTTAATGTGTATAGTACATATATTTGTATAGAAATAACACCTGTGAGAATTTTATCAAAACTAAAATGTTAACAGTATTTCAGAGTTATGGGATCACCATCATCATTTAAAATTCTGGCTTCTCTCCCAGCAGGTGCAGTTCAATGGATTGAGAGTTGTCCCATCAACTGAGAGGTCCCAGCTCAATCCCCAGAAGGGGGCATGCAGGAGGCAGCCAATCAATGTTTCTATCTCTTTCTCCCTTCCTTTCTATAAAAAAAAATCAATAAAAACATGTAAAAAATTTTTTTTGGCTTCTCTGACTTTTCTAGAATAAACAAATGTCTTGATTAAAAATGAAGTTAGTTTTGGGACACTTTTACAAAGGCCACCCACCAGTCAGGCCTCACTGGTGTGGCTGTGGGCAGAGCTGCCACAGGGTGTGACTGTCTTAGGACAGGCTGAGCAGCACCAGTATGAGAGGTTTTCACAGAAAGCAGGTAAACACAAAAACCCCAAACCAATGTCGGTGATACCTTTTTCCGGGGACTCATCAACAACATCGATATCGGGGCCAGGATCAGAGGATCTTGAACAGAAAGCACAAGGATTATTCAGAATCACTCATAATTCATTCACAACACACTGAAGAAATACAGCCCCTCACCCTACAAGTTAACATAGACCACTAAGGAGGATAACACCCATGCTAACAAGTACTCCTGCACATTACTGCCCAGAGTTAAAACACTCTGCCCTGGCTGGTTTGGCTCAGCTGTTAGAGCATCGATCCTGGCCCCGATCAGGGTTGTGAAGGAGACAACCAATCAACGTGTGTCTCTCTCCCTCCTCCCCTTCCACTCTAAAAATCAATGGAAAAATATCCTTGGGTGAGGATAGAGAAAAAAAAAAAAAAAAAGAGTTAAAACAATTTTTTTTTTGGAAAACCATTTTACAACATCAAAATTAAAACTATACATACTTTCTAATACTCACAAACTTCACTTCTTACAATTAAGTCTGTAGAAAAACTTGCACAAGTGTGTATAAGCCCATATAGCAATAATGAAGACGGAACCTTGACCAGGCTCCTGTGGCCTGTCAGCACAGGAAGCTGGGATCCTAGATTTGCAGTCTTCCCTGTCCATAATGAAGTCCCCTTTCTTCCCATGTTAGCACATGAGTAAAATTTTAAATTGTGGACTATCCACTCAACAGAATAGTACGAGTAATAGAAAGGGTTGAACTACTGCTATGACATGGGTCCATCGCAAAACAATCATGCCAGGGGAACGAGGCCAGACACAGAGCACCTTCCATAGGTTCTCCAGCCCTCGGAGAGCTGACAGAACGCCCTCTGGTTATAAGAAACAGTTAAGATTTCAGTCACGAAGCTCATGGTGAGAGGGAGCTGTCTGGAGTGTGAAGAGGCCACACAAGAGTGCCACTCACCTGCCCTTGATCTGCCTGTGCAGCAGCCGTCTGGGGATCTGCTTGTGCTCTGGGGTCTCCGCCACTCTCCTGGTCAGCAGTCTGTGACGACCTGCAATGCAAGCGGCACACGTCTCTCTTCACCTTACCCAGAAGCAGCAACAAGGCCGGGAGCAGGGGGACCTTAGATACGGCTTATGACGTGCTAGAATGGACTTCAGGGTCTTTGGACTGAGGTCAGACCACAGGGCTCAATTTAACAGTTTATCACCACTATGAGAGGTCACACAGTAAATAAGCCAACATAACATATAAAATTTTCATCTAATAAGCAGTCCTGAAAAAGGAAAGTGCTCAGTGATTATGGCTAACACATCTGTCCACCTCGTTGGTGGTTCCTGTATTTACAATTAAATAAAATAAAGTTTGTGACAACACTGCTGTGCCACATGACTGCTATGGTGTTTAATATTAAGGTAAATCTAGCTGGCATCAATTTTCTCAGTAGAGGTCACCAAGCTGCTTATGGGAGGACTGGTCTTGACAGAGTTAAAAGTGGCTAGAGAGAGGTGTCCCCAGGAATGTGGAGGAAGGACCTCTGAAAAACTCCTCCACAAAAGGAGTAAGAACACTGGCAAAAATGGCCAAAATCAACTTTTCCAGACTCTGGAAATTAACCCATTTACAACAATTCAGGGATTGTTTATCCAATAAAAATGGCTGGATCTCAGTAAGACTAGCGAGGTTTGTGGAACCTTATCCTGTCCTGGCGTCCCCTCCCCAGCCCCGAGGTAGCCATAAGAACCGGTAGCTTGCAGTCACAGTGAAAACCAACAGCCCAGGAGCCTCTCGGTGGGCAGAATGGGACTGAAGGCCCCCAAAGCCCTATTCCCAGATTGTCATTATTTTACCTTAGAAAACTGAAAAAGATTAAACTAACATCAAAGCAAGTACAGGGAAATACATATTAAAGATTACACTGAAAAGAAATGAAGTTGAGAATAAAAAACAGAAAAATCAATGAAACTGAAAGTTGGTTCTTTGAAAAAAAATAATTGACAAACCCTTAGCTAGACTGCCCAGAAAAAAGAGAAAAGACTCAACCTACTAAGCCAGGAATGAAAGAAGGGGCATAACTGTTATTCTTACAGAAATAAGGACTGTTAAGGGAATGTTAGGAACAACTGTGTAGCAGGAAATTAGATTTCCTGGATGAAATAGACAAACTCCTAGGAAGACACAAACAAATGAAAATAGACACAAGAGATCTGGCTGGTTTGGCTCAGCAGTTAGAGCGTCGGCCTGCAGACCGGAGAGTCCCGGGTTCAGTTCCGCTTAAGGGCACATACCTCGGTTGCAGTTTGTCCCCGGCCCTGGTTGGGGTCGTGTGGGTGGCAACCACTCAATGTTTCTCTCACATTGATTTTTTTTTTCTCTCTCTCTCTTCCTTCCTCTCTCCCACCTGGCTCTATCTGAAGATAAATGCAAAAATGTCCTCGGGTGAGAATAAAAAAGAAAATAGACACAAGAAGAAATAGAGAATGTGAATAAACCTATAACAAGTAAAAAGATGGAATTAGTTTTCAAAAAAGTTTCTATAAAGAAATGCCCAGGACCAGATGGTCTTACTGCTGAATTCTTCCTAACATTTAAAAAAGAATGAACACCTAACACATATGGTCAGCTGATGGCAGACCAGGATGCCAAGGCAATTCAGTAAGAAAAAAGCAATCTCTGTACAAACGGGGTGTGACAGCTGGACAGCCACATGATAAAGAATGATACTGGACTCATCTCACACAAACTCATATGCAAAATGAACTTAAAATGAATCCAAGATCGCAATGTAAGAGCTTATAGTATAAAATTTGGGTTACACAGCCCTGGCTGATTTGGCTCAGCGGTTAGAGCGTCGGCCCATGGACCAGAGAGTCCGGGGTTCGGTTACCACTAAGGGCACGTACCTCGGTTGCAGTTTGTCCCCGGCCCCAGTTGGGGTGTGTGGGTGGCAGCCACTCGATGTGTCTCTCTCACATTGATGTTTCTCTCTCTCTCCTGCTCTATCTGAAGATGCATGCAAAAATGTCCCCAAGTGAGGATTTAAAAAAATTTTTTTTAATAAATAAATAAAATAGATGCTTGTCTGTAGGGGTAACTAGGAACGGAAGACGGAGAGAGCCCAGGATTAATTTTTCATCCAAGCTTGGGGAGACCCCAAGAGGAAAATTAACTGAAGGTAACCACAGAGAAGGAAAACAGATGAGATTAATGAGCTTCTGCAATAAAGCGAGTCTAGGGACTGGTTGGGGTCCAAGCAGCCCTTTCTCTTGGTTATAATAAAATGTACCTTTGGTTGAACTGACATTGTCGCATTTATACTCCAGACCCTCCACGGCTGACACGGAGTGGCTTCTAGGCAGCCCCCGCTTCACAGACCTCTTCGAAGGAGAAATTTCCTGGTTGAAGAGATTTCTTCGAACTTTGGTCACCTCTGAAAGCATTGGGGGGAAAAGCCAATTATTACCAGTAACAAATGCCATACCTGGAAAAAGGAAGTTATCCCAACAGAGAGAAGCTGCCTAAGGAAACTATTCTATAGACTAACTGCTACTGACACTCACTAATAGGGTTTCTTTAAATACTATACTCATGTGGTATGTTAAAATTATTCACTTTTTTTATTTAAGCTTTTTTTAAAATTGATTTTTAGAGCGAGAGGAAGGAGAGTGCAATGTGGACAGGCTGCCTCCTGCATGTCCCTTACCAGAGACAGAGCCCGTAACTCAGGCACGTGCCGCACCAAGCCAGGGCTAAAATTATTTACTTTTACAAATTCAATTTTAATTCCATCTTTCGGGAACACACGAAAGGCCTACAGCACTTAAACTAGAAACTTTACTCATAGTAAAATGGACATAATCCCTAGGTAAGAGTTTTGCTAATGTAGGTCACAGTCCTTTCAATAGAGCGCAGGGTTATGATGTTTTTCCTCACTTTGGACCTTTTTGCTGCTTTGCACTCAGCCCAGTCTCAAGCATAAAGAAACTGCTCTTTTCTGCTTCAAAGATTTCATTCTTATGAGTACCTTACCAATTTTCTGGGTTATTTTAAATTCTCTTTCTAACTCAAGAGCATGAAAGCTGTGACCATCTAGACTCAAAGTTAGGGGAAAAAAGCTGAAGAGTCAAGAAATACTTGACAGCCCAGCCGGTGTGGCTCAGTGTCTTGAGCATCGTCCCATGGACTGAGAGGTCCCTGTTCAATTCCTGGTCAGGGCACATGCCCAGGTTGCGGGCTCAATCCCCAGGGGGGCGTGCAGGAGGCAGCCGATCAATGTATCCCTCTCACACTGATGTTTCTCTTTCTCTCAAAAAGAAAAAAAAAAAAATCAATAAAAACATATATATATTTTTAAAACTAACATAAAGAAAAAAAAGAAATACTTGACACAACTAGCAAAATGGCATCTTAATCTGGAGATGGCCTTGGGGAGGCTACTCAAAACTTCACCTATGGGAAATTCTTCTAAGAGCCAGTCACGGAAAGAAAATCAAAGAAATGAGGATTCCATCCTGTACAGTTTGGCTCAGCAGTTGCAGTGTTGGCCTGTGGACTAAATCGGTCTTGGGTTCGATTCCCAGTCAAGAGCATATACCTGGGTTGTAGGTTCGATCCCCTGTCCCATTTGGGGTCGTGTGGCAGGCAGCCAATCAATGTGTCTTTTCTGTCTAAATTTAAGATCCAAGCAGGGACCATGTGGTGACTTTCTCTGACACATTGCCAACTCCTCTCATGGAGACCAATCTCACCGTCTTTTATTTTTCTGGCTTTCATGATAATGGTGTTTTTAAACAAGATTTCAGGCCAGATATTTTGCAAATGTGGCATTTTGAGATCACATGAACACCTTATTCTCCTAGCACATGGTATCTGGACATATTTCTTTACCCAAAAACTACAGCAAAAGTATGCAGCTGCTTAAAAACATGCAATCACATAAACGTGTCATTCAAGGCGATGAGCAGGTGCCGAGAAAACACCCTGTACCTTGCACTGTATCGTTCACCGGGAGTGAAGGCTGCTGCAGGGCGGCGCAAGCGTGCTCCTGAAAGATGAGGAAACTCAGTAAGAAAACAGACACGCATTTAAAATTAAAAAATAAAATTCCACATGAAATCTTTTGACCCCTACAGTTCTCCCTGCAGAACCATAACAGAAATGGCTGCCCAACGCACAAGAATGGACGTATGTTCCAAAGACACTGAGCGCTGCACTGTGATAGCACAAAGTAAGAAATACCTTAACTGTCCACAAACAAGGAAACAAAATTGTGGTTCATCCGTCCACGGCGGACATTAAAAGAATTAGGACGGTCTATAATGGAGAAGGAAAGGAGACTTGTATATACACTAACACAGAGAGGTCCACGGTGGGGAAAAAGTAAGACTGCAGGATAGTAAGCAGAGTGGATACCTCTTGTGATGTTTGTGTGTAACATGTGCAAACCTTTGGTGTGTGCTCTTGGTATGGACAGCACAGGGGCTGGGAATAGACAATGATTAAGGGACAGTCTTTGAACTTTATATGAACTCCCCCCTAAGTATCAGAGGAAGTCACAGAGGTAATAGAAGTGAGCCAGGTGGGCTGCGGAGGCTCAGGAAACAAGTTACAGAAGCAAAAGAAAGGCCCTTGGTGCCCTGGCCGGTTTGGCTCAGCGGTTAGAGCGTCGGCCTGCGGTCCTGAGAGACCCGGGTTCGGTTCCCACCAAGGGCGCATACCTCGGTTGCAGTTTGTCCCCGGCCCTGGTTGGTCGTGCGGGTGGCAGCCACTCGATGTGTCCCTTTCACGTCGATGTTTCTCTCTCTCTCTCTGTTCCTCTCTCTCCCTCCCACTCTATCTGAACAAAAAATGTCTTCGGGTGAGGATAAAAAAAAAAAAAAAAAGAAAGGCCCTTGGAGCTCAGGAGAGGGAGAGACAAAGGTAAGGAGCCTACAGGGGAAGAAGAGGGGAAGTGAAAGACTTGGGGGTGCTTCTGAGAGGAAGGGTGCACCCTGATTTCAATTTTTAAATTTTGATTTGTGTATACCTTTTATAACTAAAAAAAATAAATAATAGGGGAAAACCACATAAACTAATCACAGGGTGGCTGTCCTCCAAGGAACATCTCTGGATTAAATTGCTGTCTATTTACTATTACAGTGGAGGAGCCAAGAGATTGTCATCCAGATGAATCTCAACAATAGAGCTATTTTCACAGATGTTTTTGTTTGATTTGTCAGTCATGCCACCGTAACCAATGAAGAATGGATGATCACGTAGGAGGAGAAAGTTAGCAAACAACATTTGTTTTTTTTTTAAATCTTCACCCGAAGATATTTTTCTCTTTATTATCAGATAGAGTGGGAGGAAGAAAGGGGAGGGAGAGAAGGAGAGGGAGGGAGGGAAGGTTGGTGGGAGAGAGAGCCAGAGAGAGAGAGAGAAACATCGATGTGAGAGAGACACATCGACTGGCTGCCACCCACACAACCCCAACCGGGCCGAGGACAAACTGTAACTGAAATATGTGCCCTTAGAGGGAACCGAACCCAGGTCTCTCTGGTCTGCGGGCCAACGCTCCAACCACTGAGCTAAACTGGCCAGGGCACAAATGACATTCTTTAATAATCGAAATCAAACCCCAATCTCAGGATATCTAGTTTTAAAGAAGTAAGCTTTCTTGGCCAACCTAAATCAGAAGTTCAATTCTATGAGAACTCGCTTTAAAAGCTTTAATTATGACACAGTGATGAATGATGACAAGTCATGGTCAGATCTGGTGAGAGGAGGGCTAACACCTCCAGGCTGTCCACCCGTGGATTCCCCACTCTCCAATCCATCAGACTTGCCTTATTCACTTAGACTTACTAAGAAAGTAAAGACCACCAGCTCTTTAACAGAATTCCAAAGGACAGTTATAAACCTCAATAAACAGAGAGCAAACCACCATTGTAATGACTAATGCTTCTAAAGCTAGTACTCATAGACTTTTAATTCTTCTCAATAATTCTTGCAGTTCAAAAGCTTCAACGCATTCTTGATCCCCCTTCCTTCCTTACCAAGACATTAATTCTACTCAGTAAAAAGACTCCACCTGGGTTACTTTTCTCCTGCCACCAACAGAAACCTCAAGTTCTTACATCTGCCACAAAAACAATCACCGTCAGGCTTCGTGACAGCACCAGCCACCCACCTAAAAAATGTTTAACTTGTTATGGAAATAAAACATACACACTGAAAAGTACTTTCTAGGACTCAGCCAAAGTCCTTATTATGATTGTACACTGCTTTTCAATAACCTCTTTGCTTATTTTATAAGTATTCTTTTCTACATTAAAGATATTAAATTAACTTATTCATGCCTAACTTTGGCTTGCTGTTTTTTACTTACAGTACCTCTAACTGTTATACTTCTGGATCATAGGGTTACTCTGTATCACATGTATATTTCTTTATTCCGTGGACTACAGTTGTATACATGTTCATAAAGACCTCTGATTGTACTTCTGTGCGCTTGTGCCCATTTCTTACACACAGAGACACTGCCTTTCATTCTTATCTACTGTGTGACTCACCCCAGAAGGAACAACTCTGATGGTGTCATTTCCTGTCTGTTGGAAACGACTTACGTTTTTCGGAGCTCTCTTGGACACTTTGGGAATTTCAATTTGTCGAAGATTCTGTGAGACTTCCGTAATGCTTTTGTGTCTTATTAATGCATTTTTCCTTTTGAAAATAGAAAGAAACAATCAATATATATTCCACAGCGGTTACATATAATTAAATTGGGCTGGAACTACAGTGTAAAATAGAACATAATTTAAATAAAGGTCAGTGATCTTGGTATTGGCCTGACTTGATAGCAAAACAAGTCAGACCCAGAATTTCCAAAAGGAACTGCTATAAATTCAACTCATTATGAACAATGAAAAGCATCAAGGAAAACTTAAAAAGCAAGCAAAAACCCTAAGCTCATTTCATACAAGGCTCCTAGTTCCTGGAGACCCCACGGACAGTCCAGGGCACTGCGGATTATGTGGTAAATACTGTGTGCTCCCTGGATAAGGAGTGCCATATACTCTGAACACTCTTCCTAACATCCGGGAGAGCAGGACTCCAGGGACTGGCTTCTGTGGTTCAGACGGAAGGGCACAGTGAATTCAATGAACTGTAGACACGCCCTCTGTCAGCACTGTCACATGCAAGGAACTCCTTCAATTCCTCGAGCTCCTACCTTCTCTTCTTAGCTGATCGGGTACGAAGTTCCTCCAGCTGGTCGGACTCAGTGCCACCTGACACTGACCTACGAGCACTTGACATAAGAGGCACAGAAAGAAGAGGGGACTTGCTCTCCTGTGTCACCGAGTCATCACTGAAAAAGTCTGTCGGAAGGACACTTGCCAGCTTCTGAGGGATCACAAAGCCTAGGCTGTCGTACAGGTGTCCAAGTGTCTTTGGGATGGAGTCAATATACCTGTGGGACACAATGGCTAAATATGGAACAGTCCGCCACCACGCTGCCCGCCCCGCTATCCCCTCCCTCGCCCAGCACAAGAACTAGTTCCTTCTGAAACAATACCATCTGTAGTTCTTGGAAAAACAGTTTTAAAGGTAAAACTTTGATTGTAGTCATCAAACTTACAATCCCAGAATTTCCTCCAGAAATGCTGCCAGGTAGGCCGAATCCTCAGTTAAACACACCGTGCGCAGCAAATCCACCACCTGAGGGAGAGTTTACAGAATCAGCACCTGCCTCTGCGGGGATGCCGAGAGCATTCGGGCACGTTCTGAGCGGCACTGAGCAATGTACTTGCCTCCTCCACTACCTGCTCCGTGTCATCTACACTTTCCTGCATCGACGGGCACTGCAGACACAGCTCCAAACGGAGAAACACCTGAAGCTGGCACCTTGAAAGAAAGAAACACTGAGTTACATCTACTTTGAATGCCACTTAACTGAACGCTCCTCCCGCGATCACAGATCTCCTTATACACAGAACAGTGACAAAAAGGAGAACCACTGTTTTTTTCTCTAAATGATGATACGGTTATCAGAGAAACAGGCAACTCGAACTGCATATTAGATCAGAAAGAATCAGCTACCAAAGCCTCTTGGAGCAATTTGCCATCTATTCTAAACGGATACAAGCACATCTTGGAGCTTTGTTTAGGAGTAATGGTTTAAAAAAAAAAAAAAAAAAGTTACTTACTCTCTGACTTTGGGTTCTTTATCTGGGTTTATTCCTATGTTCTGTCTAAGAATTTTGCTGGTTTTTAAGAGGTTATTTTTTACTTGATGCAGGCAGTTCATCTGAAAACACAAAAGTACCACATAAGAGAATGTGACATTCCTTTTCGACATTTCTAATCTCTCCGCAGCTGACCAATGCCCTAAGAAGGAAACTACTTTCTCTTACACATTCCCCTTCCTTTCATTTGAATGAAAAACAGTGAAATGAATGTTCTTCTTTTATATCTTTAAAATGAACATGGTTAAAGTATTTGGCCCTGGCCAGTTTTCTCAGTGGTTAGAGCAGTGGCCCAGAGACTGAAGGGTTGCGGGCATGCATGTACCTGGGTTGCAGGTTCGATCCCCAGCCCAGGTCAGGATCATGTGGGAGGCAACCAATCGATGTAGCTCTCTCAAATCAATGTTTCTCTCCCTCCCTCCTTTCCACTCTAAAAAATAATAATAAAAATAAATAAATAAATCAATGAAAAAAATATCCTCGGGAGAAGACTAACAACAACAAAAAAGTTTTTGGGCGTGGATACAGCAAGCCTACAGATTTGAATTTTCTTAAAAAGAAAATTCCATGAAGTAGTGATTGGGATGTTTAAATACTATAAACAACTCCCGTTTGCTTAAGAGTAGCCTGGCTTCACTAACCACAATAGAAGAAACAACATGGTCTAAAACAGTGGTCTCCAACACTCCCTGTGCACAAGCTTTCTAATAGTACTACTAGATGCCCAGGTCCCAGCACCCTGAAGACATCTGTTTCACTGGGTCTGGAGGAAAGCAAGCATCAGCTATTAAAAGATGTTCTAGCCCTAGCCCTGGCCAGTTAGGCTCAGCAGTTAGAGCATCGGCCCTCAGACCAAAGAGTTGAGGGTCCAATTCCCAGTCAAGGGCATGTACCTTGGTTGCGGGTTCAATTCCCGGCCCTGGTCGGGGTCATGCAGGAGGCAACCAGTTGTGTGTCTCTCTCATATCAAGGTTTCTCTCTCTCTCTCTCTCTCTCTCCTCTCTGCCCACTCTATCTTTAAAAAAAAAAAAAAAAATCAATGGAAAAATATCCATTTAAAAAAAGAAAGTTCTTGCCCAGCCAGTGTGACTCAGTGGGTTGGGCATCATCTCATGGACTCAGAGGTCCAGGCTGGATTCCCTGTCAGGGCACATGCCCAGTTTTGGGCTTGATCCCCAGTAGGGGGCACGCAGGAGGCAGCCAATCAGTGTTTCTTCTCACATGGATGTTTCTCTCTTTCTCTCTCTCTCTAAAATCCATTTTTAAAATGTTCTAGGTGACTCTAAAGTCCAGGCAGGACTAAGAACCACTAATTCAACTTATACAGCTCAGATAAGGACAGAGCTTCCCTTAGAAGATTACCACATGCCATTACCCAACCTGACCTGTTCCCTTGATTTCTGCCTTATTAGGTCACCAGGTCCAACTTACAAGATCTCGAACTGTGCTCACCTCCTCACTCACATCATCTTTGAATCATGCACTGCGTAACAACATGTGAACCCAACCCGCTGATAAGCAATGATTACATTTATGACATCATCAGGGCTCTCTCACCTCTAAGTCCTGGGAGCCTTTGGACTTAAGGAATGCTTTAATGGTTGAGATCATGTTCTGAGCACTTGAATGTAACACGATTTCTCCTGTGGCCACAGTCTTTTGATAATTTTCATGTATGTAAGATTGTAGCTCCTCCTCAGTTTTAAAATCTGTGGGGGAGGGAGGAGTTAAATTGAGGACTTCCAGGAAAAATGGTAGAGTAGGTCAAGGTCGGGCTTGCCTCTTCCCATGACCACACCAATTATTATTATAGAACACACTGGAAACCACCTGAAGACTGGCTGAACAGAAGTCCTGTAACGTTTATAAAGAAGACATGCTGAGACTGGTAGGAGGAGCGGAGACATAGACCAAGCAGGTCCCACACTAAGGGGTATCTCAGCAGCAGAGGAACCCACTGAGAAGTGAGGCGTCCCAGCCAAGCCGGGGACATCAGTGCTGGGAATAGGAGCACTCATAACATCTGGCTGTGAAAATCAGCAGGATTGAGTTCAGAAGGACAAAGGGTTGCTGGAGACAGAGGCATCTTAAAGGGCAGAAGCACAAACTCACTCTCATACAAACTCATTCACTCTGGTGATAATAATAAAGATCAGAGCAGAAATAAACAAAATAGCATCTAAAAAACAAACTACAAAGATCAACAAAATCAAATGCTGGTTCTTTGAAAAGATAAATAAGATTGATAAACCTTTAGCCAGACTCATCAAGAAAAAGAGAGGACCCAAGTAAATAAAATTAGAAATGAAAGAGAAGTGACAGTGGATACCACAGAAATACAAGGATTGTAAAGAAATACAATTATATGCCAGCAAATTGGACAAACTGGAAGAAATGGATCAATTTCTAGAAAATATCTTCTAAAGTTGAATGAGGAAGTAACAGAAAATCTGAACAGACTGATAACTAACAAAATCGAATCAGTGATCAAAACACTCCCAACAAACAAAAGCCTTGGACCAGATGGCTCCACAGGTGAACTTTACCAAACATTCAAAGAGGAATTAACACCTATGCTTCCCAAAACATTTCATGAGGCCAGTATTCTCCTGATTCTAAAACCAGACAAAGGCACTACAAAGAAAGAAAATTATAGGTCAAGGGCCCTTATAACCAGAGATACTAAAATCCTTAACCAAATATTAGCAAGCTGAATTCAGCAATACACTTAAAAAAATCATATATGACGATCAAGTAGAATTTATTCCTGGGATGCAAGTTTGGTAAAATATACACAAATCTATTAACATGGTACAACATATAAATAAAATGAAGGACAAAAATTACATGATCATGTCAATTGACGTAGAAAAAGCATTTGACAAAATCCAGCACCGATTTATGATTTTTTTTTTTTTTTAATCCTCATCCGAGGACATTTTTCCATTTTTTGTACAGACAGATGGGAGGGAGAGAGAGGAAGAGAGAGAGAGGGAAACATCGATGTGAAAGGGACACATCGAGTGGCTGCCATCCACACGACCAACCAGGGCCGGGGACAAACTGCAACCGAGGTACATGCCCTTAGCGGGAACCGAACCCGGGTCTCTCCGGACCGCAGGCGGACGCTCTAACCGCTGAGCCAAACTGGCCAGGGCCCGATTTATGATTAAAAAAAGAAAAACCTCTCAGCAAACTTGGAATAGAGGGAACATATGTCAACATAATAAAGGCCATCTATGACAAACCCACAGCCAACATCATACTCAACAGTGAAAAGCTGAAAGCTTTTTTTTTTTTTTTATCCTCACCCGAGGACATTTTTCCATTTTTTGTTCAGATAGAGTGGGAGGGAGGGAGAGAGAGGGAGGAAGGGAGAGAGAGAGAGGGAGAGAGAGAGAACGTGAACGTGAAAGGGACACATCAAGTGGCTGCCACCTGCATGACCCAACCAGGGCTGGGGACAATCCGCAACCGAGGTACATGCCCTTAGCGGGAACCAAACCCGGGTCTCTCTGGACCGCAGGCCAACGCTCTAACCGCTAAGCCAAACCGGTCAGGGCTGAAAGCTTTTTCTTTAAGATCAGAAACAAGATAAGGATGTTCACGTTCACCGTTTTTATCAACATAGTACTGTAAGTCTTAGCCACAGCAATCAGATAAGAAATAAAATGCATCCAAATTCAAAAGGTAGAATTAAAGTCCTATTTGCAGATGACATAGTACTATATAAAGAGAACCCTAAAGATTCCACCAAAAAACGATTAGAGCTGATAAATTCAATAAAGTAGTAGGATACAAACTTAATATTCAGAAACTGATTGCATTTATTTATTTATTAAATATTTTTTATTTATTGATTTTGAGAGAGAGAGAGAGGAAGGGAGTTGGAGAGAGAGATAGAAACATTGATGAGAGAGAGAGAACATCAACTGGCCGCCTACTGTACGTGCCCCACTGGGGGTCGGGCCCACAACCTGGACATGTGCCCTGACTGGGAATCAAACCAGTGACCTCCTGGTGCATGGGTCAACACTCAAGCACTGAGCCGCATCTGCTGGGCTGCATTTATATACACCAGTAATGCTATCAGAAACAGAAATTAAGAAAACAATCCCAATTTACAATTGCATCATAAAGAATAAAATACCTAGGAATAAATTTAACCACGGAGGTAAAAGAAACTTTAAGACATTGAAGAGAGAGATTGAAGAAGATATAAATAAATGGAAGCATAAACTGTGCTTACGGAATGAAAGAATAATACTGTTAAAATGGCCCTGGCCAGTTTGGCTCAGCGGTTGGAGCGCCAGCCTGCGGACCAGAGAGACCCGGGTTTGGTTCCTGCTAAGGGCACGTACCTCGGTTGCAGTTTGTCCCCAGCCCCAGTTGGGGTCATATGACTAACAAACAATAGATGTGTCTCACATCAATATTTCTCTCTCTATTTTCCTCCCTCTCTCCCTCCTGCTCTATTTGAAGATAAATGCAAAAATGTCCTTGGGTGAGGATAAAAAAAAAAAATGTCCATATTACCCAAAGCAATCTACAGAATCAATGGAAGTGAGGAGTACCTTTAGGTTTAGAACTGCGGGTTCTTCTTCGGTTTTCCAATCGACCCGCTGTTTTTCCACCAGCTGTCTGTTGGGTCCCCTTCTCCCCAGCAGTCTCTGGACTGCCATCCGGATGCAACTTCTGAGCCTTGACATTCAGCATCGCCACGTTCAACATCTTTAAGGAGCGGCACATGGCGTTCATCTTCTGCCTCACTGGAGTACGAGGGACACCTCCTACCGAATCATCATGGGAAGGAAAGCAGAATAAATTTTATTCCTGTGGAACCAAGGACTACTTTAGTTACAAAAAACCCCCACTATTTTAATTCTGTACCAAGAGTTACTTTCCCCACTTTATGATACAATAATTTTTCCTAGGAGCTTTTGCTGAGGAAATCACTAAAGAACAAATCAGCCCTGGCCAGTTTGGCTCAGCGGTTAGAGCGTCGGCCTGCGGTCCGGAGAGACCCGGGTTCGGTTCCCGCTAAGGGCACGTACTTCGGTTGCAGTTTGTCCTCGGCCCTGGTTGGTCGTGCGGGTGGCAGCCACTCGATGTGTCCCTTCACATCGATGTTTCTCTCTCTCTCTCTCTCTCTCTCTCTCTCTCCCTCCCACTCTATCTGTACAAAAAATGGAAAAATATCCTCGGGTGAGGATAAAAAAAAAAAAGAACAAATCATATGCGTGATGTACACTACAGTGTTATTTACAATTATAAAATTAACAATCTAGCCCAGCCGGTGTGGCTCAGTGATTGAGTATGCATCAGGAGGTCGCCGGTTCAATTCCCAGTCAGGGCACATGCCCAGGTTGTGAGCCCAATCTCCAGTGGGGGGCATGCAGGAGGCAGACAATCAATGTTCTCTCTCATCCATGTTTCTATTTCTTTCTCCCTCTCCCTAAAAATCAATAAAGAAAAAAAAATTTTTAAAAAACAACAATCTAAATGTTCAAAAACATAAGAATTTCGTAAATTGTGTTTAGCAATGAGGTGGAATAGTAACTGAAAAGGCAAGATAGCACATGAACAAATAAGTTTGTAGGCAGCACACAAAGTTGTATTTACATTTCTGTTTTAACTGAAAATGAAAATGGTTTATTCATTAAGAATGTAGAATTGTGGCTGATTCTTTAATCACTATTGTACTAATGTAATTATTTTCAAATTTGAAGTATAAGAACTTGTCCTTTGCTCAGTTACCATTTCAACCTCATTTTAGGGAATGCCGATTTTTTTTTTTAATCCTCACCCAAGGACATTCTTCCATTTTTTTGTTCAGATAGAGTGGGAGGGAGGGAGAGGAAGAGAGACAGAGAGAACCATCGACGTGAAAGGGACGCATCGAGTGGCTGCCAACCGCACAACCAAACAGGGCCGGGGACAAACCCCAACCGAAGTACACGCCCTTAGCGGGAACCAAACTCAGGTCTTTCTGGACCGCAGGCCAACGCTCTAACTGCTGAGCAAAACCAGCCAGTGTGGGAATGGCAATCTTTTAAAACATACAGTCTCGAAAAAGACTGCTCAAGAAACCTCCTCTGTATGTGCATACGTTTCTTTTTGCTGTCTGCCTGGTTAGACACAGCGGATTCTTCACGAGACTTTCTCAGGTAGAGCTCAGACAGACGACATGTTACTTTGCTTTCAGTCTTGGAAGACTCCTCCTTATTAGGTGAAGCAGCTTGCAGTAACCTGTGAACAAGTCAGGATGTCCAAGATAAAACTGAAATTCTGAGTTTCCAAAATGCTTTAAAGACAAAACAGCAATATCGACAAAATTATTTTTATAAGATCATCAAAAGGTGTCCCCACAAGATGCCTTCAAAAATATATTTTCTTGCCCGGCCGGTGTGGCTCAGTGGTTGAGCACCAGCCCATGCACCAAGAGGTCGCCAGTTTGATGCCCGGTCAGGGCACATGCCCAGGTCGTGGGCCTGATCCCCAGTGGGGGGGCATGCAGGAGGCGGCCAATCGATGTTCTCGCTCATCGATGTTTCTATCTCTATCTCTCCCTTCCTCTCTCTCTCAAATTAATAAAGAAAAAAAAAATTTCATGGTAAATTTTCATCTCATAGGAGAATGCTCCTGTTCTGTTCTTAGCCTTTTTGAGCTGCACCATGTCCACGAATCAGAGGAGTCATTATTACCATGTCAATTTTTCCCAAATTGACCCTACAGACTCCATGCACTCAATTAAAAATCCTAGCAGGCTGTTTGGTGGAAATTAACAGGCTGAATCTAAAATGTACTTAGAAATGCAAAGGATCTAGAAATAGCCCAACCAGTTCTGGGGGGGTGTGGGTCGGGGGGAACTAAAGCTGAGAGAACTTAAGACTACCTGATGTCATCCCTTAAGACAATGTGATGTTAATGTAATTTCTGGACTAGATTGTGTCTAGAATCAGACCTGCACAATGGTGGTCAACTGATTCTGACACAGGTGCCAAAGCAATCCAATGAGAAACAGATTGTCTTCAACATAGGAGTTGTAACAACTGGTATCTGTGTGGAAAAAATAAACCTCGACTACCTCAATAATGTTGGAATTTCTGATATATCTTTTACATTTCTAATATTGTTTATGTCTTCATTTGCTCAATCTTGCTATAGATTATTTGGTTTCTCAAAGGATCATTTGTTTCTGTTGATTTCTATCATTTGTTTTGTATTTGATTCATTTTTATTCTCACCTTTACCAGTGCCTTCCTTGTTTATTTTTTTAATTTCCTCTCTTGTATTATTTTCTCTGTTGGACATTTAAGTAACTGATTTTTAATTTTTCTTCTTTAAAGATAGTCTAAGTCTGTACATTTTCTTTTAATTTAAATTTATGAAAACACTTTATTTTTTCCATTTGTAAAAGCATGGTAATATATACAGAACATATCATCTTCACCCCTTTTAAGTACACAGTTCACTGGTATTAGTTATGCTTGTAATGTTGTGCCACCATCACCCTATCCACCTCCAGAGCTCTCCACATCTTGTAAAATTGAAACTGCATATCCATTAAACAATACTCTCCATTTGTAATTAGTTTTCATTGATTTCTTTTTTAACTTTGAAATTCATTTAATTTCAGTAGAAGTGGTTTTTTTTTTTATCCTCACCCGAGGACATTTTTCCATTTTTTGTTCAGATAGAGTGGGAGGGAGAGAGAGAGAGAGAGAGAGAAAAACATCGATGTGAAAGGAACATACCAAGTGGCTGCCACCTGCACGACCTACCAGGGCCAGGGACAAACTGCAACCGAGGTACGTGCCCTTAGCGGGAACCGAACCCGGGTCTCTCAGGACCGCAGGCTGATGCTCTAACCGCTGAGCCAAACCGGCCAGGGTGTAGAAGTGGTTTTTAATATGATTATACTCATTTAAAATTCTTTTTTTGTTGTTTTTGATTAATTGACATTCAATATTATTTTATATTAGTTTCAGGTGTACAGCATAGTGGCATTTAAATAGCGTACAAAGTGATCCACTGATAAGTCTAGTACCCACCTGACACTATACATACTTATGTATTTAATTTATAATACTATTTAACTATACTCATAAAATGTGGTCTGTTAAAACACACACACACACACAAACCCACATTCAGATAACTAAGAGTCGATTTCAATAATCAATACCCAAATAAAAAAAAGTTTTACCGGAAATATTCCATCAAATTTGAACTGGTGCCACTGAGGTTGGAGCAGGGAAACCAGCCCTCAGCAACAGCAGCTCTCCAGGGCGAGGTGCAGCCGAGCTCCTGCTGGGCCCACTCTGGACTGGGAGGAGCTACAGGGACCACACAGATGGAAGGAAAAGAGGCATGAGAACCAAACCGGAGATCCCGAACATGCCCCTCCCTACCACCCTATTGCCAATGACATGCAAAGTGGCAGCATTGACTACATTCCTTCATCTGCACCAACTCTGATGGCCTGTGTGTCTGTGAAAACCGCTTCCTCACTGCTCCTCAAACACAGCAGACACACATCCGTCCCAGAGCCTCTCAGGAACCTTCTCTCCCTGCCGCTTCCTTCAACCCTGTGCTCGAATATTGCTTTTTCAACAAGGCTGGTTTAAAATTGCACCTTTCCCATTCCTTATCATGCCCCACTCCCTTTTTCCGGTTTATTATATACACGTATTGCTTTCAAATATACTATCTAGTTCCCTTATGTAATTTGTTGTCTTGTCTCCCCTGACTAAATGGTAAACTCCATGCTCTGGCCAGTGGCTCAGTTGGTTGGAGAGTTGCCCCATATATCAAAAGGTTGCCATAAGATTTGTGGTCAGAGCACATTCCTAGGTTGTGGGTTCAATCCCCCGTTGGGATACATACGGGAGGCAATCAATCGATGTTTCTCTCTCTCAAAAAAAAAATCAATGAAAACATATCCTCAGGTGAGGATTTAAAAAAAAAAAAAGGTTAACTCCATGAGGACAGAGACCATTGTCAATTTGGTTCACTGATGAATTTCTAAAACCCAGAACAGTGCCTGGCACACAGCAGGCACTCACTAAATCTGTTGAATAAATGAGCAAATGGAAGAAATATCAAATTAATTTTATTTTTATCTACCTAGCATAAATAACAATGCCACGAATTGGAAGGCAGACAGAATCACAACAGTTGTGCGTGCAGTCTTTTTTTTTTTAAATTTTTTTTTTATCCTCACCCGAGGATATTTTTCCATTTTTTTGTACAGATAGAGTGGGAGGGAGAGAGAGAGAGAAACATCGACGTGAAGGGACACATCGAGTGGCTGCCACCCGCACGACCGACCAGGGCCGGGGACAAACTGCAACCGAAGTACGTGCCCTTAGCGGGAACCGAACACGGGTCTCTCCGGACCGCAGGCCGACGCTCTAACCGCTGAGCCAAACCGGCCAGGGCATGTGCGTGCAGTCTTTAGTAAATATGTTAAAAACCAGGTTTCATGTTGTGCCTTTGATTTCAAACCGGTCTCACAGAGCCTTTGGCCTCCTCAGAATGCTTCAGGATTTCTATACATAATGACAATTTAAACTGCCTGGAGTACTAGAGTTTGCTTTTACCTGCTTTATAACAGATATTAGGGTTCTACTGAGAGCAAAGTGAAAAAAAAAATCCTGATGCTGGAAACAAGTGCAAACCGCTGCCCTGGAGCGTTGTCGGTGCCAAACTTACCGGAGGCAGCAGGGTCTTCCAGTAGACTGTGAGTCTGATTCAGTACAGCATCCACCACATCCGAGCACAGGGAAGCTGTGCACTGGGGCTTCTCTACCACAACTGTTTGGAGAAAATGTCTATGAATTTCAGCCTCCTTTTTGCGGAACACAGTGAGAATTGTAGTGTTGGTAGAGAGAGGAGAGATGACTCCAGTGATGGGGGGCCAGCCGTCACCAGGATCCACACTGGCAACCTACAGGAGAAGTTCCAGTTAGTTGAGAATACTGCAGACACATGTGTAAAGAACACGGCTCAGTGAAAGGCAATGGACCCTGCTGATTATTAATATAAAAAACTCTGGAGCCCCGACCAGTTTGGCTCAGCGGTTAGAGCGTGGGCCCTCAGACCAAGGGATCTTGGGTTTGATTCTGGTCAAGGGCACGCACCTCAGTTGCGGTTCAGTCCCTGGCCCTGGTCAGGGTCGTTCAGGAGGTGACCAATCGATGTAACTCCCTCGCATCGTTGTGTGTGTCCCCCCTCCCCACACGCTCTATCTGAAGATAAATGAAAAAATATCCTTGGGTGAGGATTAAAAAAAAAACTATGGAAGAGACAGGCTTGATGGATATTAGTGCTAGAACTAAACTTACTGATCCTATAATCCTAACTCCACAATTTTACAAATGAGAAAAGCCTAAGGTCACCAGGAATATTTACTGAGCATGTACTATGTGCTTATGATAACCCACTGAATCCTCCCAGTCACTCTGAGGTACAAATGATCATGATCCCATTTTATAGAGGACTGAGGCTGAGGAACAAGGAACCTATTTAAGGTCACCCAGAAGCCGGCATGTGTGAATTCCAAACCCATGTTCTTGACCAAGAGGCAATGTGACCACGAAGGGATTGACTACATCACATGGCAGGCAGCAGAGCCGAGACGTGATCCAGATCGCCTGAACCCCCTCCTGGTGCTCTATCACAACACATCTCCTAGAACATCTGCTCAGATGACTGCCCAGCTTTTCTCTGGATGTTTCACCATGGGGCTCAGAAGATAGAAGCCTTCTGAGGTTATGAAGGCAAAAGACATAGTAAGGCAAGGAATTTGCTGGTGGTTTAAAAATAACCATCATCGCCCTGGCAGGTTTGGCTCAGAGGTTAGAGCATCAGCCTGCGGTCCCGAGAGACCCGGGTTCGGTTCCCGCTAAGGGCATGTACCTTGGTTGCAGTTTGTCCCCGGCCCTGGTCGGTCGTGCGGGTGGCAGCCACTCGATGTGTCCCTTTCACATCGATGTTTCTCTCTCTTTCTCTCTCTCTCTCTCTCTTCCTCTCTCTCCCTCCCACTCTACCTGAACAAAAAATGTCCTCGGGTGAGGATAAAAAAAATAAATAAATAACCATCATCTTTATTTTTTTTTTATCCTCATCTGAGGACATTTTTCCACTTTTTATTCAGATAGAGTAGGAGGGAGGGAGGGAGGGAGAGAGGGTGAGAGAAAGAGAGAGAGAAACATCGACATGAAAGGGACACACTGAGTGGCTGCCACCCACACAACCCAACCAGGGCCGGGGACAAACGGCAACCGAGGTACGCGACCCTCGTGGGAACCAAACCCGGGTCTCTCTGGACCGCAGGCCGACACTCTAACCGCTGAGCCAAACCGGCCAGGGCTAATCATCATCTTTAAATCCAATCTAGGTAGGTATTCCTTTTCAGAAGGCATTTCTGAGTTTGCCTAACTATTGGACACTATTATATCTTATTTTACCGCATAGGGTTTTTAAAAAATAAAATGCATTTTTTACATAAAAGGAATAAGTACATATAGTAGTCTCCCCTTATCCATGGGGGGTATGTTCCAGGTCCCCCAGTGAATGCCTGAAACTGCACAGTACCACATACTATATATATTATGTTTTTTCCTCTATGATAAAGTTTAATCTATAAATTAGGCACAGTAGGATATTCACAACAATAACAATAAGAGTATTTATAACAATATATTACAATAAAAGTTATGTGAATGTGCTCTTTCTCTCTCAAAATACCTTATTATACTCCCACCTATTCACTTGCATATCTGAATTGTCGGCATCACTAGCCTTCCTTTGGGGTCACGATTAAGTAAAATAAGGGTCACTTTGAACACAAGCACTGCGATACCTTGATAACTAAAATGGCTACTAAACTACTGGGTGGGAGGTGTACACAGTGTGGAGATGCCGGAGAGAGGGATGATTCAAGTCCCAGGCAGGCGTGTGCGAAGAGTTCATCATGTTCCTCAGAACTGCATGCAATTGAAAACTTATGGACTGTTCACTTCTGCAATTTTCCATTTTACCATTTCAGACCGCATTTGACAGTGGAAAGTGAAAGCGCGGATAAGGGAGGCTTCTGCCCATCACTTCACGGTAATACAGCCACTGCATTTGGCCCACTGCCTTTTTTCTTATGTGAATATAATTTAGCTTAATGGGATCCAAGGTACATGCAATTTTAAACTGTTTCTTCACTAATGAGCACTGCCATGATGCTGCAATGTAGGCAGTATTATTTACAAAAACATCATCGGTTTCGCTAAGACTGTATTATGTAGGACAATCCTTGGTGCTTCAGAAACACACTTATTTCACTTGACTGGAGTGTCACTGAATAAGAATGACTCAGCATGTGGAAGATACCTACCAGATGTAACTCTTCAGCAGTCAGCCGGTTTACCAACTGCTGAAATAACACCCTGTGAGTTGATTTATTCTCCTCTGGACTTTGCAGCATCCAGCTATCAGTGCCCAAGATGCCGCTCATGGGGAGAGACCACTGGGTGGCTGTGCCTTCTAGAAAAATTCTGACTGGTTTCTGAAAATGTCTCTGATGCATGGTCAAGGGCTCTAGGATGACTGTCCATGTTTCTTGACTCTCTTTGCCTGTTACATAAAGAATGTAATAAACAGTTACTAAAAATAGATTTAATAGTAAGAAAAAAAATTAGACTGTCAGTTGTACTGCCAATTAGTTCACACTCAATCCTCATTCCACTGCCGACAACAAGTTCATGTAGCTCTACGGGAAAAGCTGTATACAAACGGAATTACAAGGGCACGACCTGATGTCAGAACTTCTCAATAATTATGACAGAGGTAAATACTTAAGGAATACTCATTACTTATAAAAAAAAACGACATCACTTCTAAAATCCATAAAACAGTGCAGAGCATATCTTGTGAGGAGATTAAATTCTAAAAACGAAATTGCTTAAATAAAACTACTCTTGAAATTTCCATAAACTGCACATAATATGTACATAGCTTTATGTATACATCTTTATACAGTATTACTTCCGTGTGAATACGTAATGACTTGAAATTGAGATTCGCTATATAGTGAATAAGATGGTCAAGTAAATTTAGGAAGATTCCAACATGCTGGTTCTTCCTGGTAACAAGCATCACTTTCACTTCCTTTGACTAATGTGTTACCAATCTTAGTCTCCATGGTCTTCAACTTAACAGTCTCTTCCATGAGGCAACGAAACCTCACCACCCATTTGCGTGGGCACCTTAACTACATTGTCTTTCTTTGCAGTTGAGAGAGTCCTTTTTCTTTGCTTAATCCTCACCAGAGATTATTTTTTCCATTAATTTTTTAGAAAGAGTGGAAGGAAGACAGGTAGAGGGAGACAGAGAAACATTGATTGGTTGCCTCCTGCACTTGCCCCAATGAGGGCCAGGGTCAAACCTGCAACCCAGGTATGTGCCCATGACCTGGAATCAAACCCGAGACCCTTCAGTGCACAGGCCGAGGCTCTAAGTGCCGAGCCACACTGGACAGAGCAACAGGTGAGAAACTCTTTGAAGTCATCCACTCATCCTTCTTTTTCTACACGGGCTGGCAGCTGACCTGCACCAGAATTCTATCCTTTCCTCTGATTCTCTGATTTGGCTTGGACATATTTTAATCACAAGCACTAATTGAGTGCCCGGGCTGCTGGAAATTCTAAAGAAGTTGAAAGCATGAGCCTGCCTTGAAGAAATGAATATAACTGAGACCAACCCTCTCCCCCCAAACACTAGTTGTTTACCTTCAACAGGGAGAAATAACGTTCCTTCCATCCGTGGAAATAAGGCTTCATACTCAGGAGAATTATAGAACAAACAGTTTAAAGTGGACTCAGTTGGCAGAGCTGAAATCCATGCAGAGAGGTGAGGCTCACGTGACAGCAGGGTCTCTCCCACTTTCATAAAATCCTGGCTCAGAGTCTCCAATGGCAAGACAGTGCCTCCCATGTGGTGAAGCAGTTCACATACTGTCCAGTACCCAAGGTGGTCTGGGGACGCCCACAACTAAAATGAAATGACAAAGAACCTCAAGTTATTCTAAATTAGGCATTCAGAAATAAAGCTAAGGGAAATCAGGAGAAAGTACAGTTGATTTCTACACTAAAGGATCATATGACACAATTAATGTATTTGTTGAACCCAACACAGATAATGTCCAGCATCCTATTACTGTACCGCCCAAGAATGTAATTACTACATAATACACCTTCAAGATAGTGTCCATTTAGTGAAAAGACCACTTGAATTCTATTTCTTATCAAAGAACAGAAGTGAAGCAAATCACTGGGTACACCATAAAATGTTAAGAGTCGGGCCCAGCCAGTGGGTGTGGCTCAGTGGATTCAGTGTCATCTCATGGACTGAGAGGTCCCGGTTCGATTCCTGGTCAGGGCACATGCCCAGGTTGCAGGCTCAATCCCTAGTAGGGGGCACGCAGGAGGCAGGTGATTGATATTTCTCTCTCACATCAATGTTTCTATCTCTCTCCCCCTTCCTCTCTCTCTAAAAATATCAATAAAAACATATTTTTTAAAAAATCCTCACCTGAGGACATTTTTGCATTTATTTTCAGACAGAGCGGGAGGGAGAAAGGGAGGAAGAGAGAGAAAGAGAGAAACACATGGAGTGGTTGCCACCCACATGACCCCAACCAGGGCCGGGGACAAACTGCAACCGGGGTATGTGCCCTTAACAGAAACCGAACCCAGGCCTCTCTCGTCCGAGGGCTAACACTCCAACTGTTGAGTCAAACCAGCCAGGGCAATATAAACATATTAAAAAAAAAAAAGAATCAGAAGGAATACAAATCAGTACACATTAATAAAATGGTTCTGTCCTACACAATATAACACAACAATGGCCAGGCATCACGGGAGTGATGATCACCGTTGACCCACCCACCACACAGGACTGTGTGGGGACCAAATGGGTCTTCTAGTTCTAGGTTCACTACAGCCCTCATCGCCTCTCGCCTGGACTCTTATCATAGCCTATAGAGCCTGTGTCCTGCCTCTAGTCTTTCCTCCATGTTGCTCTATAAAAAGTATTCTTCTGAAGCACACATCTGGAGCATGCTACTTCTCTAAAACTTTCAAGGGCTCCCTATGGCCTCCATGATAAAGTAATTCTAGCATAGCTATAAAGTCCTTCACGGCCCTAGCCAGGTAGCACAGTTAGTTAGAGTGTTGTCCCAATAAACCAAGGTTGCAGGTTCCATACACCCCATCAGGACACAAACAAGAATCAAATCGTCAGCGTCAGAGGAATGGTGGCGTGAGAGATCCCCTTGGCCTCTCCCCCTGAAACTTCAAGTTAATCAAGTATAAACAAAGGATTCCCTGTTCAATCTATAAGTACACCTGAGAGACCCGCGCATTGAAGCGTCTAAAGGTGGGCAACTGGGAGTAAACGGGAAGGCGAGAAGGGAGGAGAGCCCAGATGGCCACAGATGTAGCCCTGCAGCCAGGAGCTGGTGACCAGCTCTGCCTAGAGAGGGGAGGAAGCCAGTGGTAGCAGACACTTCCAGGGGCCGGGAGAAACAGTCTCGGTGGGCTCTCCAGCAGGGCAAGCGGTGGAGCCTAGGCAAGGACATAGCATAGGGGTTCTGCCGGGGCTGTCTGCTATGGGATGGTGGCGTTTCAGACAAAGAAACAGAGTCCTCCACCCCTTGAACTCCTGAAACTCGCCTCCATTTGCCTTTGATGTTGGGTCAAGGACACATTACCTGCAAACTGACAGCTATTGCAGTAGAATTGCTGTTTCCTTTTGTGATTGATCCCCAGGTTGGGTATGTAGGATGGGACCTGTGGAAGTATGGGGTCACCAATATGGTGAGGGCAAAGCACATCCCACCCCAAGCAGCACATCGGTACTATCTGACAGAAGAGGAGGTGGTGAGCTCTGGGACATCACAGAGGTAAAAATCTTGTGATTCAGCACCACCTACTGGAAAATAGTAGAAAGACCTCTTCCTTGAAAGCTGCTAGGGAAAGGTCAACAATAAATGCCTTGCCCTGCTCAGTTTTGCTCAATGGTTAGAGCACTGGCCCCCAGGACCAAAGGGTCACAGGTTCGATTCCCGATCAAGGGCACCTACCTGGGTTGCAGGTTTAATTCCCCAGCCCTTGTTGGGGTCATGCAGGAGGCAACCAATCAATGTGACTCTCTCACATCAATGTTTTTCTCTCTCCCTTCCACTCTATCTAAAAAAAAAATCGATGGAAAAATATCCTTGGGTAAGGATTAACAAAGTAAATAAATAAGTGCTGAGACAGAGGAGACCAGCAAATACCATAAACAACCATTTAAATGAGGAGCTCAGGCCCTGGCCGGTTTGGACTGGAGAGACCTGGGTTCGGTTCCCTCTAAGGGCACGTACCTCGGTTGCAGTTTGTCCCCGGCCCCAGTTGGGGTTGTGTGGGTGGCGACCACTCAATTTGTCTCTCTCACATCGATGTTTCTCTCTCTCTCTCCCCACCCCTCCTTCTCTCCCTCTCTCCCTCTAGCTCTATGAATACAAAGTATCCTCAGGTGAGGTTAAATAAATAAATAAATAAGGAGCTCAGAACAAAAACGAAAAATCTCCAGAAAACAAGCTGGAACACATGGAAATATGTGATATAAATGACAGAGAATTCTAGATTACAATTCTGAAAATACTCCGTGAGATGCAAGAAAACACAGACAGGCAATTCAATGCACTCACAAAACAAATAAACAAACAAAACGAGTACTTTACCAAAGAAATTGAAACTTTAAAAAAGAACCAATCAGAAATCCTGGAAATGAAACATGCAATTAAGGACATTAGGAGTGAACTACTGAGCATAGGAAACAGCCGATCAGACGGAGGAAAGGATTAGTGACAATGGAAGATAGAAATCTAGAAATGACACAGAGGGAAGAAGAGAGAGACCTGAGCATGAAAGAAAGAAAGAAAGAAAGAAAGAAAGAAAGAAAGAAAGAAAGAAAGAAAGAGAGAGAAAGAAATCTATAAGAACTATCTGATTCCATCAGAAAAAGCAATATATGAATTATAAGCATACCAAAGGACGAAAAGAGGGAGAAGGAAACAGAGAGCCTATTTAAATAGTGGATGAGAAATTCCCAAACCTATGGAAAGAACTAGACCCTCGAAAACAAGAAGCAAACAGAACACATTGTTACCTGAATCCAAAGAGGCCCTCTCCAAGCCACACTGTATTAATACTGTCAAAAATTAATGACAAAGAAGTAATTCTCCAAGTACCCAGGGAAAAGTAGGAAGTGACCTACAAAAGAAAACCTATCAGAATATCATCTGCCTTCTCAGTTGAAACTCTACAAACCAGAAAAGAGTGGAACCAAATATTCAAACAACTGAAAGAGAAATTACCAGCCAAGAATAATATATCCAGCAAAGTTATCCTTTAAATATGAAGGAGCTATACATAAACTGAGGTATTTTATCACCAAAAAACCTCCATTACAGGAAATACTTAAGGTAGTTACTCTATCTGAAACAAAGAGCATAAGGTCACAACACTGTGAGTAAGATCAACAAAAACTTACAGCATAAACAGGGATGATTTCTGACAACAGAAACATAAAAGGGGAGGGGATAAAGGTCTGTACTGGCAAAGAAGGATAAAGATCAGATGTACTCTAAAGAAAAAAAATACTGTATAGATGCAACCTTATTTTTCATAAACCTAATGGTAACCACAAACAAAAACTCCAAAATTAAAAGACATAGATAGCTTTAAAAAAGGAGGAAACGGGACAGAATACCACCAAACAAAAACAACAGACAGAAGCAAAGGGAAAGAAGCAATGGAGGCACAGAGCTACCAGAAAACAAACAATAAAACAACTATAGGAAATTCTTGTACATCAGTTAAGTACCCTAAATGTAAATGGACTGAATTCACCAATAAAGAGGCACAGAGGAGGAAACTGAATCAAAAAACAAAATCCAGCCATAGGCTGCCTTTAAGAAACACACATTTAACAGAAAATCAATAAAGAAATACCAGCCTTAAATGACACACTATACCAAATGGACATAATTAACATTTAAAGAGCCTTTCACCCCAGAACAGCAGATTATACCTTCTTCTCCAGTGTACATGGAACATTCTCAAGGACAGACCATATGTCGGGTCACAACACTCACCTCAACAAACTGAAGACTAAAATTATACCAAGTATATTCTCTGACCATGATGCCTTGAAATTAGAAATCAAATGCACAAAGGAAGTAAAGAAATTTACAAATACATGGAGATTAAACAACATAGTACTAAAAAATGACTGGGTTAAAGAAGAAATAAAAGGTGAGATCAAAAGATACAGAGAGTCATATGAAAATGACAATACAATATATTGCAACTTCTGGGATGCAGCAAAAGCAGTAAATAAGAGGGAAGTTTATATCATTACAGGCCTATCTCAAGAAATAAGAGAAATCACAAGTAAACAACCTAACATTACATCTTAAAGTACTAGAAAAAGAAGGACAAAAGAAGGCCAAAGTCAGCAGAAGAAAGAAAATAATAAAAATGAGAGCAGAATGGAATGAAATAGAGAACAAAAAGACTATACAAAAAATTATACAACACAGGGCTGGTTCTTTGAAAAGATTAGTAAAATTGACAAAACCCTGAGCTAGACTTACTAAGGTAAAAAGAGAAAAGACCCATATAAACAAAATAAGAAATGAAAGTCACCACAAATGTCACAAATATACAAAGGAGCATACTAGAATGCTATGAAAAACTTATGTCATCAAATTCCATAACCTAGAAGAAATGGATACAGTTCTAGAAATATATAATCTTCCTAGACTGAATCATGAAGAATTAGAAAATCTAAATAGACTAATCAGCAATGAGGAATTGAAACAACTGTCAAAAACCTCCCCAAAAATAAAAGTCCAGGACCAGATGGCTTCACCACTGAATTCTACTAAACATTTAAAGATTTAAAACCCGTCTTCTCAAACTCTTCCAAAGAATTGAAGAGGC